GGGGGGGGGGGGGGTTGATGCCAATGAAGTTGACATATGCTAGCAGTGAGGCGAGGTTATCCGATTGCAAGGCAACACGGTCCACTCACCATAACAGAATTAATGAACACAAAAACAGTCGCTCACTGGCATTAGATATGTTTGATTGTTATTTTCTAATCATTCAGGGCGCAAGAAGTTTTTGTACTTGTACATGTTCCAAAATGCGGAAAGTAGCAAAACAAGGAATTAGCAGTCAGACAATTATCAAACAAGACGCACAGCAACCACCCCTCTGTCAATGTCAATAACATCGGGAATGTGATATATTTCGTAGACTTAGGGATCATCATCCAGTCCCTCAATGAACTCGGCTATGGTCGACCAATAGCCATGCTGCACGCACGTATCGTCTACAGTACACAAACGTATGAGCACGCACGTCCGCAGCGATATGCAGGCAACTACTTACTGTGCGTCCCCTGCTCGAACTCGACAAACTGTGAAAAGGAACCCCCGGAGCTGGCCTCATGCACAGTCTTGCCGCCCTCCTCGCTTCTTTGCTCTCCCCCGCGCCCGCTGGCCCTCCTCTGCACGATCTCCCACAGGCCTTGCATGTGCTCGCGGGGAACGACCTCGTCGCATACGCCGCTGAGCATCAGAATGGGCGTCTTGCGCGGGATGAGGGGCACCTTCGATGCCGAGTCCCACTTCTGGTGGCACAGGAACGCGAACGGCCCGAGGATCGGGAACGCGTTCGGCACAAGCCGCGGCAGCGAGAGGAAAGTGTTTTCGAGAATGAGTGCGCGGATCTACAATATGTGAAATGGGAAATGCGTGAACGCGGGATGTGCGGAAGCGGCCGGGGACGCACAGCATGGGGATTGCGACTCGCGAGATCGATGGCGACTGCGCCGCCAATGGACTGGCCGTACAAGACCTGCAAAAATGGTAATCACGCTGCAGTCACGAGCGAGGCTATGTACGTACGATGTGTGAACGAGCGAGCGCTGGATGCCCGAGAACGTAATCAAGTGCGCACTGCGCGTCAATCTGGATACCTGAGAAGGTAATTCGAATTAGACATTGCCAATCCCCGGTCAAATGTATTCCGCTAGAGCCAGACGCGAAGGACGGCATTCATGAAAGGGCGAGACCGTTCGCGGCCTGAGCAGCAAGATCACGAGCTCGACCGGTCTGTGTCAAGCATGACTCCGCACAATCTGGCGTTTATGACACGAGCGAAACGCAATTGACTGTCAAAGTGCGACCCACAGACCTTTCTCTGACGGGCTGCCCTCGGAATGGCCATATCTACGACACACCGACGTGTGAGTCGTGCGTCTGACGGCTATCGGATAGGCGGAATGAACACACCCTCGGTAAGACAACATGAAAACGTTGCATCGCATCTTGACGTAGAAAACTTTCGCGAGGGGAATGCGATGGCCCACGTTGCCTCCATTCCCATGGAACATCAGCACCGTCGGTCGGCGGTTCGCAAACTAAGACCAAAGGGGCATTTTCGTCAGCAACCGTGCGTATTCTCACGACAAGAGATTTGAAGGTCAATTGGGTAGCAGCGTGAGCAGATCGTCCGAGGGCAACGCACACGAAATTATGCAGTGGAGCGCTCACTGGGTGAAGGGGCAGTAACTGACAAGAAGTTGCCCGAGACTGGCAAGCTATAGGCAACTATGCGACTCAGCGCAAGCGGCCTCTTAGACTTCAGCGTGATTCACGAAGCCACAATTTACACAGGATTGAGAATGTCCCGACGAAGGTTATTTTGAAACAGTATACCCAGCGAATTGACTACGTTGTGGGCGCCCCATTGCAGAGCTCCTCGAACGAGTAAGCGCAAATGTAAGGAATCTGTTTGTCGATAGAGTTATTCAAGAAGCAGGATGTGCGGAGGATGGGGGTCTGTACAATAACCTGGAAAGCCTGCGGCCTGGCAGCGGAAGATGCAGAGAATCAACTCAATTGGAAAAACAGCTGGAATCTGAACCACAATTCTGCATTAAGCTTACAGCGAATGCACTGGACTTACCTCCTCATCCGTCTCTTGTTCATGAGTCTCAACCTCAGGAGCGCCGACGTTCGACATGTCCTTGCGTTGCAGCATTGAATAGCACCGCAGCTTTACGCCATCCGGCGTTGTTAACTCGGGGGCTTGAAATGGGAGACCAAAGTCGATAGGAGCAGGTACCTCTGCGTTCATGGGCCGCCGTAAGTTCCGAGTCAGCGATTCACAGCGAATATGCAAAGTGCGTACCTGTTCTTGAACCAGGAGGGAATGCAGACGGGTATATCAGGTAGTTCTGGCCAAAGAACAGGAGGCCTACACCTATTCTCGACACAGTTCAGTTTATAGCTCTATACCATCAAAGTCTGCGCACTCACCAACTGTACCAAGCCCTGCAGCAGTCGCAAAAGTCCCCTTCGAGATTGAGTTTCATACCTGGCGGTAGAAACTTACGACGGCAAGCTCACTTTCGCAAAGTTCTCAATCGACGGCAGTATTCCCGACATGTCGACTCGAGTGCGCGTATGACGATTGGTGGATAGACTAGCTCGCTGTTCCCAACGGCGATCGCGACTCTAACTCTTGCTTTAGCGCTTCAGCCACCGGCGATGTTTGGCTTTATTGGGTTATTGGCACTCTGTTTCAAGCGTCTAACGTCTCATCCACTTCGCTCTCAACTTGACGTCTACTCTTCAGTCTGCGATATTTCATGCGGAACTTGAGCTCGCTGGCGACTGTAAGGACTTACCCAAGCAGTCCTCGCTGCAAGGCTATGATGATTGTGAGATCCTCGGCCTTTCGCTGGGGTCATGAGCAAAGCCGTATTGGACAACTTTCACCGCTTTCATAGATGCGTTGTCCACTCATCGAAGAGTCAAGCCTTTAGTCGTGGCCCGCTGCGGACAAGGATCAAGAGAACCGAATACGTTATTGTAAGATCCGTACAGTTGGTATCACCAAATGGTAGATATGTCGAGTAGCGCATCCTCAAGTCGCCACCGCTGAATGGCATTCTGTGGGCGCTGCATTCGACGGCGTGCAAAGCCTCGTGTCGATAGCAACGTGCCCCGTTACGTAGCGGTGTCCCGGAAGTAATTATTGCGGAATTAGAGTGTTCGATCGAGTTTGATGCCTGCGATCGCTGACTAGCGGAAAATCTAAATGTTTTTATGACTTCACCGGCTGCGTGCTGGATGAATTTCGCCGACTCCTTCCAAGTTTAGCACGGCTGTCGGCCGTTGGTTCGCCTAGTAGATGTGAAACCGCACACTGCCGTAACGGTAAGTCGAGCCCGTGCTGCGTGTGGTAGCGCGATTGGCTCATGGAGCGATGCCTTTCCAGGGACTTGTCTTCGCCGCTGCCTGTTTCCATGGGATCACCGACATGTCATTCCCGTGTAATTTATCCGCTCTTGAGAAGCATCATCTCACTCCACACTCGGTGACATGCGCGAGGGCGGGTGGTCCGCTCGCTCGCACACGGGAAGAGGTCAGGAGGTCCCGTCTGCCCCTTGCTCTCAGCTGTGGATGCCCAACGAAACGATGGCTAGGAATGCTTTCCTCCAGGCTATACCGGTGAACGACATGCGCGTTGGGCCAGGCAGCTATTTTGGCTACCCGCCCGTATGCCGCACATTCTGCGCACTTCTGCCGGTTTGATCGACTGGAAGACCCAATTACGCGCTCGCGTATCGCTAAACCCTTGCTTCTTCGCCGTGACGGGGTCGTCCTGAGACATACCGCGCGACTGGGTCTCTCAGCTGGACCGTCCCAGTCTCGCGGAGCCCATGCCCAACTCCGCCAGGCTTGCCGCACCCGCGCGGTATATAAGCCCGCCCCGTTCACCCTTTTTTTTTACATTGACTACCGTCAAGTTTCAGCATCTCGTTCTCTCTCTCACCAACACTCGTCACCCACTCCCCACATTCTTTTGAAAATGCTCTCCTTCAGCACCCTGTCTGTCTTTGCCGCTCTCGCGCTCAGCACTTTCACCTCTGCGGCTCCCGCTCTTCCCGGTGTCTCTGACGTCACTTCCGCCGTTCCGGGTCTCTCTGCTGTCTCAGGCCTCACTGGGTCGCTTCCGGTTGTCAACGGGCTTCTCCCCCGAGACACCAAGAATGTTGTCACGATCATTAACGAGACCCAGTACAAGGTGACTGAGTACACCGTCGAGTTCCGTAAGTTTTCTTCATATTCACAAGTTTGAGTACTGTCTGAGCCGTCCTTAGACTACATCACGGCCCAGAACGCTACCATCGAGGTTCTCGCTCCCCTTGTTGAGAACATCAAGGGTGTTCTTGGTGATGCTCTCGTTGAGATCAATGGTCTCGTCGGCCAGAGCCAGACCGTGATTCTCGGTGTTGAGGGTGGTGCTCTCCTCGCTGTTGGCGATGTTGCGGCTGCGATCGTCGGCCTCCTGACAGTGAGCTTTTCCAAACAATACGCTGGTTAAGTTGCTGATTTTCCATAATAGCTTGTGCTCGACGCCGTCTCTGCTGTCCTCGCTGTGGTCAGCTCGGACGCCACTGAGTGTGTGACTTACCTGCTGTCCGGTCTTGTGTAAGTGTATCAATTAGTGTGCTGGATGGTTAAGATGACTTATGGTTATCTCAACAGTGAGGTCCTTGGCTGCCTTGTGTGCGCCATTGTCATGCTTGTCAACGGCCTCCTCGGCAACGTGGTTTCGACCGTTGTTAGCCTGCTCGGCGGTGTTGTCGGTATCCTTTCCACCCTCAAGGTTACCGTCCTCATCAGCATCCTCGGCATCACTGTTTAAAAGGTTTGTTGGTTTATATTGGTGTTTGCCTATTGCTTATCCTGCATCTTATTTCTAGCCATGCCTTGCCTGATCGTCTTGCATATGCATTTGCAGTAGTATTTTAGGGAGAGAATAATGATAATACCCTGATTCGGAATCTTGTTTGATATTAAGTGTGCTATTTCTGATTAGAAAGTAAGGTATTTTTTGATATTGTGAATGTGGTTGTCTGGCGGTGATTGATGGGCATGTGGCTGGTCGTCTTCCCTGTGATGAGGGTATTGATAAATTTTCTGATGTTTACTACAGCATGCGCGTTCCTTCTCTTACGCATGTGTTCGTTTTGCATGAGCCATCCGGGAAATAAATCCTCTTTGTTGGCAGGGAAGCTAGATGACGGTTTGTGATATTCGGCCTCAAGTGCGTTTACTGAGGCTCATTTATTCTCACAGCTGATAGCAGAAATTGAGTGATGCGAAGACTCACAGAGACTCACAGACATAATCAGTGGAGGAAACTGCTATCCCTTATGCTCTGTGTATGCAATACTTGTGGTCTCAGGTAATAGCGCGGTGGTTACGCTTCGCTACTGGGACACCCGGAACATCACAAATGCACCCAGGTATGTGTGCGTCTCGCCCCGTCCCGAGCACCACGGTGAGAAGGCTTCTCGCCGGCGGCATATCCGAAGAAATGTGGTACCATCTGTCACTCAACATTCTGCTGTACGGGCTTTACGAACTAGAAGCAGAAGGCAACACGCCGGGGGCCGCGCTTTCGACGTCGGACCAAAGTTACATCAGCTGTTACTCGCTTTGAAACCTTTGCTTCGTGTGGTTTCGTAACGACATTTGCTTTGGCCCAGTGTAGGCGCACTAGCTTTCTGATCGCAGCGGGAAACCATTTCGTGCCGAGTGCTGAAATTCATGAAGTACGGCATCACGGTCGTCCCTGAAGCCATCACTTTGTAATACGCATTCCATTCCACCCATCCTCATCGAGCTCAATTCATCTGAGGTATTTGACAGCCTGAGTCCGCTGATGATCGAACGTGTAAGTTGGTACCAGGCCAAGTAGTCACTACCCGCTAATCGGGTCGGCGCGGAGCGCATCAATGTACAGATCTCTGAGCACATAACTTGAACGCGTTGCGGCGTGTGGTCAGAATCGCACTCTAGATGTCTAAAGCACAAATCGAAGTTGAACACCGCCGGCAATAGAGGGCTTGTGGGAGTCGAGCGGTACCGATGCGGACTGCGCTCACTACGAATAGCTTCCCGACTCGTGACTGTGGGACGCAACCGCCAATTGAGATGCACATGCCACAGGAACGCTCGCCGCCTATTCGCCAGTCCGGCATCGGATTACAACGTGCCGCGGTAAGTAGAGTAGTCAGCGAATATCATTGATGCTCTGTGCTGCAGTGAAGTACATCCAAGATAATCAATGTAGTCAAACTTTGAGTTCAAAAGGCCTCGGACACGTTCCGGTAATTCGCATTGACTCGCTCGCGCATGCGCATGCGATGGGCTACTACTGCCAGCTGCGGGCTTTGGATCTGACTCCATCTGCAGCTTATCATGGTTCTATCCTGATATCGAAGGGATGATTACAGTTGTCATCAGACCGACGCAGCACGGTGCTATTGTATGGCCAACTGCTGCGATCTGCAGTCTTTCTGTATAAGAGTCATGTTGTGTCTGAGTTATCTGTACCACTAGTAACATGTCCCCGATAGCACAAACCGGAGTCGCAGATGCCAGCTCTATGGAGCAGGTTGGCGACGACTATACTGACCCTTTCTAGTGTGCCTTGGGTTAAACGAGGCGTGTATCAAACAACGAATGCCAACGAAGAATGACTCATTTATCTGCTTTCAGGTTCCGAATTATTCCAGGAGCCAAGCACCTACGGGTATGTGTGTCCCCCTCAACGTCTTTGTGCTGATTACCGATTACGTTCTTGTCAACGCAGAGCCGGTGTGCTGCGCGATATCTATCCAAAGCACTCGCTTGTGTTGTTTCGCGACAAGGGTGGCTCTCGATCGACCCTACTCGACTTTCCTGATGCCGAGAAAACCATCGCATCTCCGCCTGAGTCTGTCTTCTCCCTCACCTTTCAGCCACGTATTCGGCGGATTGGTATGCATGGCCACCAGGAAGGTGCATCAGGGACACTTGTCAAGAGTGCTAAGTACGGCTGCTACAACGTAAAATGGAATGTATGTGCATTCACTGACTCACGAATATCCGTTAATGATTGAGTCCCCACTTCCAGGACCTCGCTTTCATCCTATACACCGTAGAGGTTCGTCGCGGGCTCCCTGCTTAACAAGCACGCCGCTCATGTTTGTATTTCAACGACTCACATGCACTGTAGTACTCCACGCTGCGGGGCGATGTCAGACTATACTACCTCCTCCACGAAGGACCAGAGGAGCCATCACATGCACTGCTACTGGCGGCAAACAAATGGGGGATGAAACTCCATGACGAGATCCTCGTTTTCGAAATGGGTCATTGGCGAGAGGACCGCGACCTATGGCAGGACGTTCAGAAAGCAAGCTGGGACGACGTAATTCTTAAAGAGGAATTCAAGGAGTCCCTGAGGACCGACATCGATGGCTTCTGGGAAGCCGGCGACGTGTACAGCTCCTTGTCGATCCCATGGAAGGTCAGTCTTCTGATGCTCTTCCTGGTGTGCCGCCCTGAGCCCTGAACTACTGTCTGCTTAGCGTGGAATCATAATGGCAGGTCCTCCTGGTGCGTATTCTCAATTTTATGCTTATGTCGTAACAAGCGTCTGACTGCCACGCAGGCAACGGGAAGACGATAAGCGTGAAGGCGGTCATGAAGGATTGCTACGCCCGAGGGTACGCACCCCTCTACGTCAAGTCGTTCAAGCATGGCATGGGCGAAGAGTACTGCATGGGCGCCGTCTTCCAGAAAGCCCGCGAGATGGCACCCTGCATGCTCGTCCTCGAGGACCTCGACTCGCTCATCAACAACCAAAACCGCTCCTTCTTCCTCAATCAAGTGGACGGCCTCGTCGGCAATGACGGGCTGCTCCTGATTGCCTCCACTAACCACTTCGAGAAGCTGGACCCTGCGCTGAGCGGGAGACCGAGCAGATTCGATCGCAAATAGTACGCCACCCTTTATGAGAACCATTTGGCATCGCTTTGATGTGTATCGCCAGCTCCTTCGACGACCCGGGAGAGGATGAGCGTGCCCTGTACGCCAAATACTGGCAGAACAAACTGCGAAACAATTTGGACATATCGTTCCCAGATGACCTCGTCGCCGAGATTGCCGCATTAACGTCCGATTTCAGCTTTGCCTACCTCAAGGAGGCATTGTACGTGGCTCTTTTTTGCATCACCCAAACGCTGCTGATTATTCTGAACTCCGTTCTTAGTGTATCGACGCTCGTGGTCCTTGCGACTGGAGCCAAGAGAGAAAGTAGAGCTTCCTTCGCGACTACGATCAAGGATCAGATACATACTCTTCGCGAGCATATAAAGAACAACCTGCGAGAGGCTGTGCAAGATACCGGGACGAAGGATACTGTGCATGCACAAGCGTTGTTGCCTCGAGGTTTCGTCGGCGGTCACTATGTGCATGCCATACCTGCCGAACCTCTTTAGGTGATGCACAGTGCTCACCGGGGCCTGCAGTTAGGGCAGCGGAGCATCGTACATACTCTCATGAGCGTCGTTGTAGCTCCATATCGTCTAAGAAAGCAAAATATTGTCGAAGACTTATTGGATTTCGGTTTCGCGGTTGTCATCTCAAATGCTATCGAGTCTCTCATCCCATTACATGTGTGAAGTTTGCTCGGATAGGATTAAGAAGCAAACGACACTTGGTTCTCTCAAAGTATACCGTACATGCAGATCGTAAGCACTAGTGTGTGTATACACACCATGGTTATTCGCCAGCCAGCAGCGTAGACCGCCTCCCATGAACTTGCTGTAGTGGGCGCAGATTCAAACATCAGAGCATTTTATGGTCGTAATCAATCAATACACGAATAGATTGTGTGCTAGTCATGACAGTCGTACAGGTCATACATACAACAACAGGGTATACGACAGCGACGATAGCTAGAGCCGAACCTACAGATCCAATTCCAATCCAATTTAACAGAAGTGCCACGCTCAGTATCTCAAGGCGCCGTTTCGATTCGCCTCAGTGCCTTCGGTCTGCCTGAAGATCGTCTGCCCCTCGCAATCCGCTCTGCCAACCGTTCCACCACACCGCCGTCACCAACGCCTTCCTCTTCCAGCGCTCTGCGTATCAGCGCTTCCATAGACTGCTCCTCCACACCGTCCTCGCCATGTGCGAGGCCAGCGAGCCGCATACTAGGCACGGGGATCAGTGGGATACCCGCATGCGCGTACTGCGGCAGCCGCTCATTCAGCATATCAGACCGCCGCGCGTCGTCAAACGAGCGGATGTACCGCCGCATGTGCGTGGTCTGGACACCGAGCGCATCTGGAGACGGAGCTGGTGGTGCGGCAAAGCCGCCAGGCCATGGCGCAGATGAGAGCTCGCCCGTGGGCGATAGCTCCGTTGCACTCTCCGCCTCTTGTCTACACAGGGTCAGCTCAGGGTACATTATCATCAACTACACGACTCTTGTGCTTACCGTAAGAGCTGGAAGACACGTTGCATCTTCCCCACAGCCAGAATCTTGTTCTTGATCTCCTGCCTGCGCTCGCTCGGATGGACGTGGCTTACGGCCATGCGGGCTTCGTCCTCTTCCTCCTCGTATACGTCCGCTAGCGCGCGTTCGCGCTCCTCGTCCTCTTCTGAGGACGTGTACGATGAACCGTCCTCGAGCTCGCGGTCCGAGCACACTGATAAAATGGCGAGTAGCATCTCCGTGATCTTCGCGCCGACGAACGGCAGCGACCACGTGAATGCGTCCATGAAGTTGGGCAGCCAATATGGGTGCGACGACGCATTGTACTGCCGGATCGTGATGCTCTTATTCTTGTACTTGATTACCGCAGCGCGGTTATGATACGCGTCGAGGTAGTTTGGCGCGCTGAACACAGTGATCACGGATGGAAACTTCTTCGACGCTGTCTTCCGATACATGGTGTATCTAGGATGCCCATTAGACTTGTCCGCGTATACCAAGAAATGACGTTGTACCCAGCGTCTTGCGCCTCGTGCCCACGGAAGATACCGAGCAGGTTGTTTCTCTCCAGGAACTGGCATGCCGCGTCATAACTACAAGGATGTCAATACAAGCTATAACGAAGTAGTGAAAAGGCGCACGTGTAGTAATAGCTGCATCCCCGGGTATGGTTTGCGATGAACGAATGTCCCGGCGGTAGTCCCTGGGGATACTCGGGCGTCGCATCTTGCTATATAACGTGAGCGACCTCAGCAGATTTACATTATTCGTGCAATTTCACACACCTCATGCCCGAAATTAGGTATCGGGTCCGCCCACAGGAGATCACACAGCAGGCCAACCGACGCTGGTTCGACAAAGCGATCGATCTGCGCGGTGTTTCCAAGTTCATAGTCATCTTGCATGAACAGCAAGAGGACATACCTTCTCAATGTCCTCCAGACGCATCAGCTCCGGCGAGATCCCGCCGTGCACGCAGAAGAACTTGCCTTCAATCAGTGCCGTTACCGGGAGTGCTTGGAACGACTGGATGCACGCTTCGTACACCGTCGCAGAGTACTTGTGCAAGCACTCACGCTTGAATGTGAAGTACTCTGTTAGGTGCCGACACTCGTGATTTCCTCTTATGAGGGAAAGACGGGTCGGATACCACAATTTGAGGGCGTATAAATACAGAAGACACTGACGTGGAGAGAGTCAGTACCATGAAACCTTTTATGAATGGAGCCGCGGTCAACAGAAGCGTCAGCGGTGCACCGCAACGCCTCTTGCAGTTGCGTCTATAGGGGTAGCGCATACAATGAATCCACCCGGCGCAACACCGAGAAACCCTCAGATATAACGGTAACCTCTCATATATTACTATCGTGAGATTATCACGCGTACGTCTGGAAAGGCAACGGCTGCATACGGCTGGTGACTGGCCTTGCGCGACTGCAAATATCTCATGAGGATGACAATGCCACGAGATCTAGTGCGGAGTGAATGTATGGGCCTGGCTATACACAGTGCATGCCTCTCTGTCTGCCCATCTAAGCCCGTCAATTACTCAACTTATGTGGGTCGTCATGTCGCATACGGTCTATACAACCGCGAGCAGGTATACCCGCGCTCAAGCGACAGTATAGAGTGACGAGCGCGCCAGATTATCCTTGGCCGCTCTGGAGCCGTACCGCAGCATCACATGAAGATGAGTAACAACTCATCAACCAGCCCGTCGAGGAAGAAGTCAGGGGACCAAGCAGTATGGTGTGCATTTCTGAGACGTGTGCAGGGAGGCATTGTGCTTACCTCAATCCCGAAGTACCCTCGGTCGACATAATCTCCCAGAAATAAATAGTTGTTCTCCGCGAAGGAACCTCCCACTTCGAAAACCTTCATGAGATCGTACTAGCCAAGGCGTATTAGGAAATGCGCATGCACGTGCCTCAGCAGTTACGCACGTATTGACCATGTATATCCCCGCACACTGGCAGACCGATCAACAAATTGGGAGCGCAGATCGTACAAATATACACACCTGTAACGGGGCCTTCCACATGCAGCATATTAGGCTCTCTGCTCAGCATTGCGGTTGTTTGGCCCAAGATGAACAGGGCTTGCTGTTCAGTCAAGCGGCCTTCATTCCAGAAGTGGTGCCTGAGAAGGTCAACGTTTGGTCTGTGAATTCCCGCCTGCACATCTGGGACGTAGAAATCCTCGTCCCTCGGAGTGTATGGGATTGGAGGCGACACCTGTATAGGATCGCACATCGATTCAGCGTTATGGCAGGTCTTGCAGTGAACCCGGTCGGACGCGTACGCTTTCAACTTGTCGTCTCTGGAGGTCTTGCAGCTCAGGATCGTACTTGGGTGGGATCACGGGCGGTCGGTCGTTGATCTGGTGCAACGCCGACGAGTAATAGGCAACATCGTCGCCGACGGGGGGCGGAGCCATGGATGAGAGTCGGGGTGAGAGAGGTGCAGCGCCATATGCACGATATGCTTCAGTCAAAACATAAGCACGTGTTCTCAGAGCTATACAGCGGGCGCCAATCAATAGCCTCAATGCGTTTCAGACGCTGGCTTTCCAAAGTTGGAAATAGTCGGGCGGGGTGGCGATTGATGCGCTTGAAGTTTGCAGCCCGGAATGGGTTTGTAGTGACTATTCCTGCAGTCCCGCTTTTGTCCCGCCTTAGCTGCGGAATTCCTCACGGGACTGCTCGCTGAACGAATCTAGGCGGAGTTAAAGATGCATATGTTAGAACAGCGGGAGATATGGTCGACGAGCGCGTTTGTCCACGGGCGTAGCGATGCCCGTAAGGGACAATCGCGTGCGGTACGTACATCGCGAGCGATTATTGTATACTACGAAGGAGCCTCCATCCCCCTGGCTACTATCGCATCCGAGCTTGCGAGCTTGTTCGTGACTGCATGTTTCGACAGCATAACACGGTTTCCTCGACCAGACTAATGTCATTTGTTGTCGAAGTTCATGAACAATGATGGGGATGAGGTAGACAGCCGTTGTCGCTCAAAGTCTGTTTATTTCAACAGTCTGTACGATTACGAGGGGTTCTGTGAGTCTCTACTCTCTGGCAAAGTACTTTCTAATTAATCCCAACCAAACTGCCACTAGTAACCGGCGGTCCACGGACTACAAGACAGGGATCTAACGACAGCTGTGTCGTCGTGAGTCTGTGAACGAAGCGGTTATCATGCCTGCGCATTTCACTGAGCCTTGGGAAATAAATAGTGATGTCCTCTTGAGTCAAAAGGTTCTGGCTGAATACATTCGCGCATTTCCGTTGCAGGGGTGAAAATCGTGACGGTCAACCCCGTATACCCTGCTCTCGAAAATGTAATTCGACGTAGCGGCCGGGCGCAGCCCGCCTGCGCGACTGCACAAAAACTATACTGATAGATCGACATGATTCCCGGTAGTACATACCACGCTCCGTGAGGACGGGCGGGATTAGCCCGCGCGAGGATCGTCAATGTCTTTGACTCAGGAATTGGTCAGGCACGTCTTAATATCAGGATACAGGGTATAAAATAACCTTGCACACAAAGGACTGCCGCAGACTTCCTGAGATCGTCAAGTGCACACCAACATGTCTCTTCCTACCAAAACGCGCGAATACCGTCTTCCTCAGGTGAGAAGTACGCTGGTAATTTTGACGCATTCTTCTGATATGAATTCAAATAAAAACTTGCAGTACGATGGCTTCCACAACCTGACTCTTCAAGAATCTCGGATGCAGCCACCTACATCCAACGAGGTGCTCATCAAGGTACACGCAGTGTCTCTCCAGGTAAGATTAAATCTTTTGTGACAATATGAGCGGGGAACACGTCCTGACATCGCTCTATGTAAGTACCGCGACCTCCTGATCGCAAGGGGCGTGTATGCAGTCGACGTCAAGGATAAAGTTATCCCCGGCTCCGATTTCGGTGGTGAGATCGTCGCGCTCGGCCCCGACATCCACGGCTGGGACATCGGCGACCGCGTCATGTCCAATTTTGCCATCGACCATCTCTTCGGCGACCCCACCCCCGAGCTAAAGCGCTCCCACCTCGGCGCGCCCATCGACGGCGTGCTGACAGAGTACAAGATCCTCCCCGCGCATGTATGCCTGCACCTGTATGACTGCAGACACTCTGCTGACATGGGGGCCAGTGCCTTGTGCGCATTCCGGAGCACCTCTCGTACGAAGAAGCCTCGACGCTGCCGTTCGTGTTATCCCTTTTCTGCACAGAGTCGGTCTGACAATACGGTGGTTCACTAGTTGCGCTGCCCTAACAGCATACGCGGCGCTCATGGGCCCCGTGCCGCTGAAGGGCGGCGACACCGTGCTTATCCTCGGCACGGGCGGTGTGTCCATGTTCGGGCTGCAGTTTGCTGCGGCGTCGGGCGCGACAGTCATCGTCACCTCGTCGTCTGACGAGAAGCTGCGTATCGCCGCGAAACTCGGCGCGAAGCACCTCATCAACTACCGCCGGACGCCTGACTGGGACAAGGAGGTGTTGAGGCTCGTGCGTGCCAGTGCCCGTCACATTCCACGAGATGTACTGAGGTAAACAGACGAACGGACGCGGTGTAGACCATGTTCTGGAAGTCGGTGGTGAAGGAACACTAAACAAGTCGATCGCGTCTGTGCGCATGGCTGGGAACCTGAACATAATCGGGATCGTCGCTGGGGTGCGTCTTCCATGTGGTATACATTACCGGCGAACTTGAGCGCATGGATTCGATTTTCAGCCGGGTGACGTGAGCGGACTGAGGCTCAAGGTGCTCCTCAATGCCATCAATTTGCGAGGGATTGTTGTGGGTTCCCGTGCCCAGTAAGTGCTTGCATCTGGTCGTAGTACCTGTTCCGATTACTCACTTCAAGCGCGACATAGGTTCGAAGACATGAACCGGTTGATCACCGCTACGTCTCTACGGCCTGTCATCGGGAAGGTATTTAAATTTGAAGAGCTCCGCGAGGCGTATGAGTACTTGGATAGCCAGAAACATGTCGGAAAGGTGGTAGTCAAGGTATCGAAAGATTGACCAACGCGGCTGGCTGTAACACGCGAGGCCACGATGTATGTCTGGTTTCACGCCTTGTAACATATTGCTCGGGCTAAGAGCTTCATGATATGGTTGGCACGGTACCAAGTTGACAATAAAACCGAGATTTAAACGGCTTAACGGATACAGGCGTCAGTATTGTCAGCCTGTGTATTGGCCCAATGGCCAAAGCAAATTCTTGTTGAAGGACAGCGAGATAGCCCATGAGTCTGTGAGTCAACACTAGATCCGATTTCCGCCCAGTATCTCATGCGTACATGGGAACTCGAACAACGGGAGTACCCCTTGCTGACCTAAGGCTGGGTCTCGTTACTGACCGTCGCGCGAAGAATATTGATATCGAGCTTCCTTGCTTCTATTGGTACCGACCATATGTACTACCCGCCAGTGGCATGAGTTACGACGTGCATGAAATGCCCATCCTCTAATGAGAATGATGGTAGAATGTCCGTACACAGGAAGGGATGTGAAACAAGCCAAAGCGATGCCCATTCCGCTCGTGTAGAAAGCAATCACATCTGTGGTGGGCTTTCCTTTTTTTCACGGTCGATTGCAGTTCCCTTTAGACACTAGACTCAGTAGCTGTTGTATCTGGCTTCACAATGTGCCAGGAACTCACTTACTGGACATTCGATAGGTCAGTCTGAAGGCATACCCTTGCGTCATTATGGTAAGGTGGTGGTTAAGCGACACCACTGCGCTGCGCTGCACCGCCGTATACTCCACAAATAGCACGTACGTACATCATGTTGAGAGCAACTTGAAGAATCTTGCCAATGTCCAACGTCTGTGGCGAGTTTGTAGACTGTAGTATTGCTCATAGATCCCCTATGGCGCTGGAAGAGGCCCAGTAATATACCGACACTCCTGTTATCGAGTTGCCCAGGACACTGGTGGTACGATCGAAAGTACGATGTAGAAGGGTAAATAGCAGAAAGTAAGTGGAAGTTCATTCCCACGGTCACAAAACAGTATACCAGATAACAGTGATGCTCTGAATAGGCTGTAACAAGCACGACCATCTATCTCGCAGTCTTCCCTCGCATTTCACCCGATTCACGACATGTCTCTCCCCAAGGTATTGCTAACGCTCTCATCAGGGACATTGCGTGCATGCTCATGATGTCCTCTGATCATAGCGGATCATCAAGGTATGTCCACCCGCAATGCCGGCGGACGAGCTGACCACCCGACCAATCTGGGGCACCTAAAGGAAACCGAACGCCTCGTTGCAGACCCTGCACCCGGGATCTCTGCTGCTCCTCATGAAGATAACCTGCGCTACTTCGATGTGACGATCCAGGGCCCTGACGGCAGTCCTTTCGCCAGTATGTACCACCCGCTTCCGCAGTTCCCCCCATGTCTGACCCGGGCATTGTCCGCAGATGGCGTGTTCAGACTAGAGCTCTTCCTCCCGGAGGAGTACCCCATGGCTCCCCCAAAGGTGCGCTTCCTCACCAAGATCTACCACCCTAATATCGGTATGTCATACGCAACTGGCGTGGATTACAGCTGACAACCCCCGCATGCTTCTTAGATAAGCTCGGCCGAATCTGTCTTGATATCCTGAAAGGCAAGTTTGCTCAATAGCTTGCCGCTCCGAAGCTGACCAGCGAACCCCCTGCTGTATGTAACAGACAAATGGTCCCCCGCCCTGCAAATCCGCACCGTCCTTTTGTCGATCCAGGCCCTCCTCAGCTCACCGAACCCCGATGACCCGCTCGCGACCGACGTTGCGAAACATTACAAAGAGAACGAGAAAGACGCGCAGCGCGTCAGCCGAGAATGGACGGAGAAGTACGCGAGCGCATGATAGCCTATCGAGCGGACGTTTGGGTACCGAGAGGAGGAAGCAGTGATGATAGACCACGGCGGGATATACAGCAACGCATGACGTCAATCCTTTCGCTGTAGCTCTAGGTATGTAGTGTGTACGCTTGTAAACGGGCCATCTGAAGATACAAACTCAGTGTACTATTTTTCTCATGCGATGATGCGAGTCCATTGCGTCTTTTTCATTTGGTAATGAGATCATTTCATTTCATTCATTGCATCTAGTCCACGTTCCCATGACAGAAGAAACAGAGAGCAAGTTACGTATAAAGACACCGATATATGTCGAGACAACCCAACAACAACGAAAACAAGTACATATGATGGTTTATGAGTCCAGGACTTCCTGTTGTGTGTGGTACTGAAACATACCGACGTTGCAATGGACACTAGGCCTGAAATGGCTACATACTGCTTAGCCTAATTGGGTACAGTAATTTGCCGCACTAAGGCTGCATATTACGGGGGTTATTCTGATGGAGCTTGCTGTGGTGCCTGCTGAAGTGTCGCCTGTTGGGACGATCCTTGTTGTGACTGTGATTGTGCATCCGCGCTACACGAACAGCCTTCCCGGGGTGTAGCCATATTCGGGTGCGGGCACGACGCAACGAAAGTGGTGAACCCCAGCATGTGGTCCCCGCACCGGCATGGCTACACAAGGCACAAAATATCAGTAATGTCAAAGGCTACACAACGTGCACGCGCACATGCACAAGAAGTAGCCCCTCCTCCGTCGGCTTCACCCGCTGTGCGAAGCTCGCAGTGAGGTTCCAGAAGTACGTCTTCCGGAACGGCACGGTCGTCAGGATCCGCTCTTCGAAGAATTCATCTGCACGCTCAGGCGCGGTGCCCGTGCGCAGGCTCGTATGATCGCGGTCGTCGCGACTGACCGGGGGCGATGCAATGCGGGCGGTGAACGCAGCATCCCCTGGGAACGCGGTGGCCCCGCACGTGAGGTCGCGCCGCGACGCGAACGAATTCAGGTCGACGAGCCCATCGCGTAGCATGACCATTGTACCACACTGCGAGGGCCAGTACTCGTCGCTCTGCGAGGGCTCATAACCCTCGAACCACCACGTCCCTGTGGGAACCCACTCCTGCCAGGGCACTCTCTTCCACGCGCGGCGGAGGCGCCCCGCGTACGGGTTGTGGTGGTCAACCGCGTCGAAGAACGGCTGTGTGCGTGCGAAAACGAGGAAGGAGGCTTCCTCCGACTCCGACGTATCCTCGTGCTTCATCTCGAGGACGAGCCCGAATACTTGCGCAGCAGGGGAAATGTGGAACGGCCTCGCGGAGAACTTGTGCGATGCGGGGTCCGAATGACGACCGCCCTCGCTGCTGTAGTTCTGGATGGTGAGAAGAGCCGAGACGTGTGGCCTCGGCGTCGGTAACTCGAACTTCGCCACCAGAGAGGTCTTGATGCTGGTCCCAGTATTTTCCACAGCATATACGTCTATGGCAACGTGAGATTGCAAGATGGAATCTGCAGACAAGAAAATCAGCCACTCAGCAAGATGCCGTCAGGGAGGTGGATCGCATACCGGTGGGTCGCATACGAATGGGTACTGCCACTAGGCAGTTTTCTGATAGAAGGAAGCCATTGGTTTTGGTTGGCCACATATCAAGGCTCTTCAATAACAGTCAGACTACAAGTTGTCAAGCTCAACACAGGACACACCTCTTTGGCGCCGGTAGTCCAGTCGATTATGATCATCTGCTTGTCGGTGCTTAGACCGATGAGTGGCCCTCGGATTTGCAGCTCATTGCAGTCAGAATGTATTGGTAACTCAATATCCTTAACGTCGGGGCAAGCACGTTTATGAGGAGTGCCATCCGAGAGGTGCAAGAACTTCACGCTGGACAGCTCTAAGTCAACGTTCGTGCAGCTGATCGTCATCGGTATACTCACGGGATGTGCCAGACAGTGCTCTCTTCCCATAATACCAAAAGGTCCTGACTAGGGTCCATACTGAACCTACTCCAATCCTCTCCAAGGCGGGCACTCCATTGTACCGGCGGTTGCTTCCCGTGTGACCCGATGTACTTCACGTCAATGCTATCGAACGGCTGCGGCTCTCGCAGGTCAGGGCCCTGGCCAGGACTTCTGTAAGCACAGACAAGTAGCCCGCCCTGACAGTCCCAGTGTCTGAGCAACCCGGGAATGCACGGAAGGTATATGACCTTGTCCTTCAAAAGAAAGCTAGCTTGCCTGAACGCGCCGTGGCGATCGGCAAGGGCCTTGAGCCGCTCGGATGTGCTACCTTTGTTCTCTGACGAGCCGTCCACGCAATTTGCAAGCCCCAAAGAAACGATATACCGCAGACGTTTGCTCCCTGCGACGATTTGACAGGCATGCCTGCATACCTATGCACCTGATGTGAAAAAGCCCAGGTATCAAAGAAAGAAGAATACGCACCTGTTGGAAAGATAATATATCTTTGAAACACGTCAGAGACAGAATCTCAATAAGGATCTCCGCCGGAAGATCTTTGATATTTGTGGCGGTGGGGGATATGCAAGTGGATTTCCGGGACCGAGCAGGCTGTTTCTGCCTCTTCTTTTCTCGGGGCATGATGGCAGACCAGAATCGCTAGAAGCTGGGACACATGTTCAAGTGGCGAATTGCGCTGTTAGCCTTTCATAAGCAAGACTCGACTCCAAAACATTGGTCCGCACCTCTGACAAGCCTTGGGTGAGCGCTTCGCTTGCAATATCAGAAATACTGCGTGTCAGGCGTTGACCAGAGTCAAAGTAGCTTGACCTATCTGCTGGGAGGAGAAGGAGTGGACTGTCCGTATGTACCAGACGAGTCTATGCTTGTTCCGTGATAGGTAAGGGTAAGTATGCTGGGCTTGAGCGCTCGCTACTAGTAATTGTGGCCCATTTTATCGTGGGAAAATGCGCATTTGAATGGCTTCTATACGTGGGAATCGAAGTATTACTTGATCGCCGTTATTGATTGGACACGCTGAAACTGCATCGCGACTCAGACTTCGTCGCTTCTGGGGTATTAGAATCGCATCAATTATGTGTGGTCAACCTGAGTATGCGATCAATGTCCGCTACCCTGATTCCTGAAAGTGCGGGTGCTGTCCTGCAGCCAAAACTACAGCTTCGTAATTGCTCTGTCTTGACGGACTAAATTATACGTAATACATCGTTCGGGAATTGCATGCAGCATGTATTCAAGAGCGGTATCGGACAGCTAGTCGTGTTGTATTCCACAACCCGCTGGGCAGGGCACAACCGATTTGTACCATGAGCCAGCGCATCAACGTCAATATGTCACGGGGTTCTATAAGGCCGTCGTCTGTCAGATGCTAGGTGTGAACTTGACAAAACAAATAGATCCCTTCGCCGCTGTATCTTATCCACATGAGCCGCGTACGACATTGCAGCTCTTGTATCAGCTTACCTGCCACAGGCGCCCCATTTCCCTCCCCCGAAACATCACCGAGGCTACCACCATCCCGCTGTGCGCGCTGGCGCACCGCACGGCTCAGCAACGACGGATCCCATATCGTCCAGAGAGCAGTGTGCGTGATCTGCAAGTCGCTGCTCGACATGCTCTGCGGGCGCCCGGACTCTGAGTCGCTGAAGTCCGCGAGACGCAAGACCGATATGCGCGTAAACGGATCGCTCGATGACACAGGGGGACCTCCTTGCTTGCCTCCTGGGAGATAGTACGCCGGGTCGACGTTGACTATGTAGATCTCGTCGGAAGCCTGGGTTAGAGATCAGCTTTAGGGAATCCTGGATGGTTGAGCTCTCACTGCCTGTATAGCAAGTCGGTTTGGCTGTCCTTCCCAAGCAAGATCTCGCAACGGCTGTCCGAAATATATGCGTTTCACGATGTCGGAGAAAGATACAATTTCACGATCAACACGCGCAAAGTCGGGGACGAGGTACAGCAGACCGAAGGCGGTGATCGCGGCCAGGTGCTTCCCATCGGGCGAGAATCGCGCTGGAAGGCGTCAGAGCTGCATTGTCTATACAACGCACCAACAACGCACCTGCTATGAAATAGGGCGGAAGACGGGATACACCACTAACGTGGACAAGGGCTTGGGCATCGTCTGAAAGCGGCCCTTCCGGAGGATGTACGACCTCCATTTCTTCCAGAGCGTCCGTACCGGCAACCCAGGCCAGGCTCCCTTCTGTGAGATGTTTCATCTCCGGTGCCACCCTTGAGCGGTTGACGTCAGGTAGCTTCCGCAATTGCATCCCAACCTCTCGGTAAAATTGCGGCGGTTTGTCTTCCGCAAGCACCAGGATCCTCGTCGCCCTAGAGTCGTCTGCCATGCCGGGCTTCACCTCTCCACGGCGAGGTACAATCACGACGGCCGAGTGCAAGCACACGGCGATGTAGCCCTCGGTCACATCGAGATCCATCACAACACGGTCCGAGATCGGGGCCAGAGCGAAACTCGGTGGAGCACCGACAACGTGGTCCATATCAAATGAGGAGATCCGCCGTAAGAGCGTACCGTCCCGGACGTCGAACAAGAGCAAGGCGCCACCATCTTGCGAGCTCATCAGCGCAAGCACGGGGAACCGCAGGCGGAATATCCGCACGACGCCGACATGCGGTGCGCCGATGTATGCATGTGGTGCGTATCTTCCCCGCAGGCCTTTCTCAGAATGCCCGAGCGGCAATTGGGCGGCAGTCGCCCGCGCCTCTTCGAATTGGAACGCACGCGCCGCAGCGGGCGATAGCGTGATGGGTGTTGGAATGGCATGCACGCCAGTGTGCGATGAGGTGTCGACGGAAATATCTGATGCGCGGCGCCATATCTCTATGCCTCGATCTCTGCTGGGAAATACCAGGAAGCCGTCAGACAGCTCGCACGTGCTGCGGAACAAGTATCTCTGAGACGGATCAGCATCTTCTATCTTCTGTGCGAGTCTCATCACGTACTGGACTAAACCTCCAAAGGACGCGGTTGTCCTCCATTGCATGCACGGTCATGCCGCCCGCGCGCGATAAGGACAGCATTGTCTGCTGCTCTTCATCGATTTGGAAGCGCAATACGCCGTCCTGGGATGTGTAACCTCCCTCCAGAACAAATCCATGCCCAGCCCAGTTGTTGTCCAGCACTGTCGAGCGCCTGCCTACTTGATATGATCAGTTCGCGACTCAAGGATCTCGAAGATCGGGATCTGAGAACGCACAGAATTCCTTCCAGCTCTCCACACCACCTAACCATGGACCCCTTCTGGATTCCTTCGATTTGATGTCCTCGAGTGAAGTCTCCGATAATGCAAAGCGATGCAGGATGGCCGCTTGATGATATATGGTCTGTTCATTATCATTGATGAGAGAACGCGCCCCGCGGGATACCAGTTGGAGCGAGCGCAGATCACGTATGGAGAGGAACGAGAGCACATACAGAGAGATATCTAGGGGGAAAGTTAGCAGCATGCTGCCTCGTTCACTACAGGTATGTGGAGCGGTGCGAGCTCAAGGTTGTTGTTAGGTCCCAAAATTTGGTATGGTATCAACACCACAAGCGCTCGGAAGCTGTATGAGAATAGATATGACAGAGCATCATTCAATTCCTAAGTATTGCAGACAGCTTGACCGAGAGCAGAAGGCCACAGCACTCACAACGTTTACGTTTTCAACGACCATTATTCGCGGCTGAATGTGGAAGGAAGGAAGGATCAGCACTTGACGCTACTGTCCCATACCGGGTAGTCGGCAGACCCTCCAAGTCGGCACCCTTGCCTGATTGGCCCAGGAGCCAAATTCATTGATCGGATTGCGAGCATCCCGAGAGATTCCGGGGAATGCTGCTCTCTGATTGGCGGTAGGTCACGCCTACCGACTTGGGAGATCTGCCGGTATGGCACAGTATTTTGTCGATGATTGAGTCAAATGACGTCATTATCGGCCCAGAACCGACACCTGCTTGCGCTGATGTTCCACGTGCAGTCCCGAGGTTTGAGGCTTATTTTGTTGAAGCTTTCGTGGGTTTATGTCGAGACGGAGGATATATGAGAGATCTTCGCTTTGTAGCACAGAGGTGTATCAACCCAGGGCCCCTGTGCGAAAGTAACCAGCAGCCGTGACATTCTACCTTGAGGATGCGATGTGCGAGATTATGAAGTGGCAGCCACCTCGGGTATGTAGCTGCCTATCAAGCAGCATGAGATAGTACGAAGCAGTTGTGCCATAAACGTACTGTGAATATACGCTGCAGACAATTCGTTGAGCGGCCGTGCGAGCATGAAGGCGGTGGAAGTCAACCGGAATGTCACATATTTGTATCACGCGCCTTGTCCGAGGAGTAGTTTGTTTGAGGACAGAGTCACGACTCACTACTCGATGCGTGTAATCCTATGCAGGAAACTGTAGCAGCAAACTTTCAGAAATTCACAGCACGCCGATCATGGGACCTGCGGCCGAGACACGCCTAGTCCTCAAAGATTGGACCTGACAGGCTGACTCACACCCGTGCGGCGGTGTTCGACTACAGGAGTCCTTTCTTTACCTCTTTCTCCTGTGGATATCGCTCTCAGCTGAAATTTCTGACATGGCGATCGGCCTAGTACGGGCACAGGAGTTGAAAGGTGCCATCCTAGCCGCACAATGTGCGAAGGACCTCGAGGTAATACATGTTCTAACCCCGAGCAGGTTTCCAAATCAATACGGCGACTGAAGGATAACTAGGGTGTTCGAAGGCTTTTTGAATGCGCACGCGATGAGCTCGTATGGTCGCCTGCCCTGTCTGATGTAAGTATTACTCACCGATCCTTCCTGCTTTCGGCTATATGGCCTGATTCGGCAGAGGATTGGAGACCTTCGGCAGATAATATCGTCCGTCCCGCCATCGACCTTCCCCGAAGACGAATACATGGAAGATCTGGCAGCTGAAATTAATCAGAAGTTTGAAGAAGACCTGTGGGTGACACCAGAAAACATGATCGAGCGGTGGTACACGGAGCCTCCACTTCCCTCCGTGGAAACCGTTCATCTGACATTCCGGGATGCTACCGCTGATCACAAAGCATTTGGCGCCCTTGAAATTTGGGCGGATGAGGAAGTGGAATCTATAATAGATGGAGCTGTCCTCGATACCCTACTTCGGTTCCGCATTCGTGCGAATAAGAAGTACAGGCATCCATATCGGCCATCTCTCGATTTCGACATACTGCTTCCTAAGGCTGAGGGGGCGGAGTCGGAGCTCATTAACATCGACAACCTCGATGAATACTTAGTCCAGACCATTCTCGCCCGTCTCGGAGACACAAAAGTCATCAAGTACGTACGCAATGACGACCAGAATGGCGAAGCGCAGTTCTACGTCGAGAATACGGATCCCTGGGCGAGGACACTCCCGGATTGGCTCTCACCCGCCCCGCCAACATGGTGTAGATACACCCCACCCGTCTCATATACGCGCGCCGCATCTCGGACTGCTGCTGACGGAATTCAGTACAAGGAAGTGCCTCTATTATACTTCGGTGGGACGGGCCGCGACATTCTGCCAAGTATCACAATGCCTCCCCTCGTTGTATCGCACGTATACCTTCCTGTACAGCACCGCGAAGGTGACTACTGCCATGCACTAGGTGATGAGGTCGACCATGTGGTCTCTGCCGACAGACTCGTCCCTCCGCTTACCGACGCACAGGCACGCAGCCTCCTCGGTCGTGCCATTCAGTTCTCAACCGCACCGCTTCCCGAGCCGCGCGACGACAACAGGCCACAGAAGAAGCGCAAGAAGACCAGGCCCCTTTATACCACCTTGCAGACAGTGGTGGTCTGGGGCTACGATCCGGCTACCTCGCTACTCTCCTGTACCTCCCCATTTGGACTGCGGAACACTGATTTTGTGCTGGATCTCCGCGTGGCGGACAGAGAGGTCATCGCCGCCGATAAGCAGGAAGACCCTTATGGCGTAACCCGAAAGTTTGCGCATTGGCTGGGCGTCGTGAGCAGCCCACAGGACCGGAAACTGAGAGAGGAACGGGCAATGGGGACTGCCGCGATTTCTGTGCAAGCACAAGACGAGAATCCAGAAGAGGTGGCAGATATCCCAGAGGAGAATGACGGCACCCTGATTCCCATCGAGGGGCTCGTGATGCGTCTAAACATAGACGATACAACGCGCATCTTCGAGGTACGACTAACCTTGCACTTCACCAATGTCGGATCTGACACGCCGGATAGGTCTTGGTCAAAGACCGCATGCTTCTGGGCGATGCCACCCTCGCGACGGTCCATGGCGGCCTTGACTTTGACGTGACCGTCGACGGGCTCAAGCCCGGGATCTGGCACAGCCTCGTGGACGACGATGGGGAGGTCGAGCTGCTCTGGGCCCGGCCGGGACACGTCGACTACGAGGACCCCGAGCCCCTCGAGGATGACCAAATGAGCACTCCATTCAGCATGGAAGACGATAGCAGGTGGGCAGAGCTCGGGGTGTATGGCGTCGACTCGGGGATCTCGGGTGCCATAATGCAGTCGGTATTCGTGGAGGACGGCGTTCTAACCAGCGATGAAGGCGGCACGCGCGATGTCATGGATGTCCTCACCAAGCAGGCATTTGAAGAGCTGGGTAGTGAATTCATTGCCGTCCCCGGCGGCATTGTATGGTCCGGACAAGACGGCACGTACGTTGTGAGAGGACACAAAGATGACGACGGCTTGCTGGTTGCTATCACCATCAGGGTTGAGGAAGGCAGAGTCCCTCCTTTGAATCTCAGGATGCCCAAGAACTTGTAAATGTATTTCGTACATCGGCTTAAGACCGCTGAACCGCTCCAGAGGACTATTCAATGTACAATGCTGTATTAATACATTTTCGAGTTTTCGGCTGTGCTATATACCCTCATGGGCAAAACGTCCACGCGCGAAGTTGAGATGGACTCCAGCTCCAACTCTTACCAGTTTCCTTATCGCAAACACCTATTGGGGTGGGTCTTGGCTAGAGCTGTGAACGTTTGTCCGACCCATATATCGTTTATGTTCTCATGCTGTCATTAGCTATTGCACGACTCAACGACAGTCTCTTTGTTCCACCCATGTAGAACAGGGGAAAGCCGTATGAAATGCTTCTCTCATACACCCTTGGTCCCCTCTGCATTTTCACAAGGATCGCTGAGATAAAAGCTACGTTACAAATGACAGTTTATCAAGTACAGCGCTCTCAATTTGTACCCTAGTGCTGCATAAAGTTGACGTTGTCGCATGTTGCATCGCTTGTGCACCAGGCCGTCTCAGTTCACGCGCGAGGCACAGACTCTAAGGCACATCCAGGATGTGGCAATCCTACTGCAACACACAATATATTCGTGAGCAGTTTTTAAATAAACGCTAGCGTCATGTCAAAAGAACGATTGCGGAGGAATGTAGTAGAAACTTCAAGGAGAACACCGTCACGGACCTCAGAGCCTTGACTAATAGACTAATAGAAAGAAGTCCTAGAATCAGATGAATGGGGGGGATATGAATGTCGATACCTGGCGGCAGTGTTCTACCGTCCACGACCGAAGGGGCCTGTTTCGAACATCTCCCTGACATTGAAGCCGAAGATGAGCACCACCGACAGCATCTCTGGGACTACGTGAAAGATGTAGAATGTCGCCTTCGAGCCGGAGTCATTCAATGAGCCGGGGGCGGTGGAATCCAAAGCGTCCGTCTGGAAACGCATGACCACAAGTCGGTACACCGCAACCGTGGACTGCGCAGGGAGGAATTCCGTCAATCATGTGGCCTGGGCATGCGAGAAGCTGCGCGCTCACCAGCAGCAAGATGTTGACGACGATGAACAATGTCTTCCGGCGCGATACATTTCTGTCGACGTACGCGCCCACTATCGCGGCGAGGCCGGTCAGCTGGAGCAGGACGAGAGCCATCCCAGCCGCCAGGTATCTGCATGGCGTTTTAATGTCAATGCCGTCGCCCGTGTACGCCCCTAGACAGCACACACACCTCAACACTTGCACTTCGCGCGCCTTCCCAGATTGGGTGATCGCATCGTAGTATATGCCGCCGGCAACCGCGCCCAATCCTATCACCGCGAAGTAATGGGCCTGGAGGATGAAGCCTCCAGCCCACAAAACACGACTTCGATAGGCGACCTCTGGGTTCACCGGCACGTCATCGGGTTTGGTGGACGGCCTATCCGATGCCCCGTCGGAACGCGGTGTTATTTGTTGCAGCTCCTCGTCGGTCCTAGCCGACTCGCCCTTGAGCGCGTTGACCAACAAACAGCGGGTCAGACCGAGCAGGGTCTGCCCCATCGAGATGAAGCCGATGGCATAGGTCGTCTGGAGGTACGTCAAGATTTCCTTGTTGACGCCCCCGCCTGTCTCGTGTGCTTCAGCAGTGCGTAGTGAGAAGTCCGCTACTCTGTACGACCAAAACAAAAATCAATCGTGGATCGCTCACGACGACGCGCAGACATACCTCCCGAGAGCAAAGCTGGCCGTGGCAATAAGGAGGGTGGTTCGCGAGGCCGGAGAGAAGGCGCGGTAGAGGATCAAGGGCGCTAGGAGGCCGTACAGCACGACGAAGACGACTGAGGGCGCAAAATCAACTGAAAGAGGGGCACCGCCCACGGGGGACGGGAACACTTCGCCAGCGGGTGAAGACATGGTAAATATAAGCTGAATAGAGGGCCTCGCTCTCCTCGTTTATCCCTTTTATCACCTATCTCTTGAGGGCGCATGTTTTACTGCGTATTGCTGCGCCTGAGCAGAAGCGGTACCAAATTGGATGTTGCGACACCGCACCGGCTCCGTTCCATGGAGATTGACAGGAAAGAACCATATTATAGGCGTCCATCCAAAACGCAGCATCGCAAGTCTCCGCAGTCAGTGCCTTCCCAGCATGCTCCCGATTCGAGGCAGGAGGGCGTCAGTCTTGTCCACCACAGTTGACTATTTGCAAAGCACATCGCGAGGCTCTCTCAAGTAAGCTTTGCCATTCCCCCGCACGCATTCCTGTGTATTTCAGAGAAGCATCGCGGCGTGAATCTCGCTCCCTACATCTTTGGATGGCTGTCTATTCAAGTTATCCATGCCGACGAGTCGAGCCGAGCTGGCACGGCGCCCGAGTGCACGTCATGGACCAACGTACAAGAACTGACATCGGTGATTTATTGCTACAGCATTTGGGCGGGCGGCATCTGTACGGGAGCAATTGGTGGAGAATTGGCTCGAACGCAGCAAGCGGCAGTAATACCACTGAGGCGGACAACCGAGGCTCGTGTTAATGGACAGCTAGCAAAGTGAACCTCAAAAGAGATAAGAGTTGCCCGGGATATGTAGCCTTAGAGACTTATCTCCCGCAGAGACCTGAAAGGGATTTGCGGTCAGTCACTGCTTACAAGCGCTGGTAAACTTTGGCAAGCTCTGTAGACGCTCAGTGTCGATCTCAGATTCGATACTTGTTGAAAGAGGCAGTCCTCCTGACTAGAATGTTGCCGTCTTACCGAGCTCTTCTTCTGAAACGCGGCCAGAAAACGCATTCGATTTACGGCGTAAGGGTGCGCTTCTGTTACTGCTGTATTATGGGACAGTGGAAACATGCGACTCTGACTCTCGGACCCTGTGATTCAGAGTCGAGCCTCGAGGTGGTCCGGTAATGCTACTTACCTTGGTCACCTACTATCCACCTCAAAGAGCACACAACCGGCAGCGGGCGATCTCCGGGCGCAGTGTATGCTATGCTACCGAGTGTACAATGTCCGCGTCCGACCCAGATATCCATCAGCCGATCATTGCCAGGGACAGCCTCGAGGGTGACAACTGCGCGTTGATTTCGACACTCAAGTGTTGACAGCGGTCGAACAAAAACGGGGTAGATGTAACCGGGTGAGATTGTGTGCTCTGATTGGCTAGCAGCACGCATGCTAGTACGTAAAGTAAATCTCATGCGTTCACAGAATCACACCTGCCTGCCAGTGTGGGTACTGGCGCCTGCAAGGCCCCGCGGTGCGTATCGGCGCACGCACATGCATGTCTGTTTCAGGAGCGGGGAATGCACTGAGCGTACTCGTGATATCCAGTCTCCTTATAATCTCTTCTTCCCGCTGACAGCTTTGCTTTGCACGAGAATTAAAGAATAGGGCATAACGTCGCCTTGTACGAGCATCGTATACGAAGAATAGGGCACATAGCGTCGTAGAATATAATAATTTAATACGTCCACACGACAATACCTCTACAACAAGCACGCTCCACAAACAATGTCCGACGCAGCCACAGCACTCATCCGCGACCCAGGGGACCCGTCTGGTACATCTGCCGGAGGTTGACACCGAACAGCAGCGTCACCGCGATGAGCTCCGGTACGATGTGGAAGACGTAGAAGGCGATCTTCGACCCGTCGCTGTTGAGCGACCCCGGCGCGGTCGACTCCAGCGCGTGCGTCTGGAAGCGCATCACGAAGAGCCGGTAGGTCGCAGGGATCGACTGCAGGGATGGCGAGTGAGCACCATCGCCGGGCGGACAGCAAGCGCAGGACGTACCAGCAGAGCGGCGTTGAAGCAGATGAAGAGCACATGCGTGCGCGGAATGCGGGGATAGCGCATCCACGCGATCAGCGCGAGCACGATGGTGAACTGCAGGAGGCACAGCGCGGTCCCCGACCCCAGGTACCTGTGCCGCCAGACGACAAACACGAACATGAGCCGCCGCCCCGGACACCCCCACAGCCATCGCGCACTCACCGCAGCGTCTGCACGAGTTGCGCCTTCGCGGGGTCCGTGATCGCCTGGAAGTAGAAAGTGCCCGAGATGATGCCGAACGCGAACGCCGTCCAGTACGTGAGCTCCGCGGCGAAGGTCACGCCCATGATGACGCGCACGCGGCGCGCGGTGCGCGGGTCCGCCTCCGCCTCCGCGGGCTTCTTGAGCTCGAACGCCTCGCCGGGTTCCGCGGTGAGCGGCCGCCCCTCCGCGTCGCGGTCCGCGCTCGCGAACGGGTCGGACGCGCTCGCGGCGTGTTCGCGCGCCGCGTGCACGAGCATGACGCGCGTGAGCCCGAGCAGCGTCTGGCCCATCGAGATGAAGCCCCCGGCGTACGTCGTCTGCATGTACGTCACGATCTCGTGGTTCACGCGGTCGCTCGGGTTGCGCGCCTCGAGCGCGCGCACCGCGAAGTCCACCGTCCTGTCGGGGGCGCGTGTCAGACGGGCGCGCGGATGACGCGCACTGAAGGCTCACCTCTCAAGCCCGAAGATGACGCATCCGATGAGGAAGACGTTGCGCGACTTGGGCGAGGCGGCGCGGTATATGATGAGCGGCGCAAGGGTGCCGTACAAGACGGCGAGCACGACGGACGGCGCGAAGTCGAAGTTGAATGGCGCGCCGCCGACGGGCGAAGGAAAAAAGTGGCCAGCAGGCGCAGACATGGGCGTGTCGTAAAGAGGAAAGGAGAAGACAGATAAAGTGTCGTAACAAGTGCAGTCCGGCCGGTCCGCGGGGCGTTGATGAAGGAAGAAAGTAGTTGTGGTGAAAATTGTGCTTTGTCGCTCCAGCACGATCAAGCTTTATCTATCGCTCGCGTCTCTCGCTTGGCAACCGTACATTGCGGTGCTAAAGTGTTGAGTGCTGCGCGAGCGCGTTACAGAGCCGATTGCGGCAATGGCCCTTGTTCGTAGAGCCAACGCACCATTGGATACAATGGTACAGAGATGGCGCTGACCCGGCTGTGTCGCATGCAATATGCGTATTGCGTCTACCACTGATGCCACGGTCGAGCGCTGTCATGGTTCGCAAACCGCGACGCCCGAAGGAAGACCTTATCCAGAGAAGGAAGACGCCGGAAAATGTGTCGGGGATTTTATGATGGCATACGTCAAACACATGTAGGCTGATCTGTCCAATGGCTGAGACTCACCGAGGACGACTGGAAATGGTGAATCACGTACCATGCGCTGCAGAGCATCCGGCACGCAGGTCGATAATCACAACAACACGTCCCGGAAGCAATCGCCGTAACAGGTACGCGGCGCCGTGCACTTTGCACTAGCGGTGCATTGCCGTGGGATACCGATTGACAGCATGGTGACGAACTGTCCTGCACATCATCTGGGCGCGCGATGTCGGTCCTTTTCAATGCATCGAGCATGGAGTCCTGCACGAGATAGGCAGGTGGTGTCCATTGTCGCCAGGACTGCCCATTCCGATCTATGCGGAGGGCGGATAGGAGGGAGTATGCGCAGCAGGCAGCGCGTAACAAGCTGTGATGGGGAAACTCAGAACGTCGGAGGTGGCGGTGCACTACACTTCGTGGGCGGCAATCCGCAGTGGGAGGCGGGCGGAGGCCGAGCGGCCGGCCGAGGGCCGTAACAGCCTGTAACAGCTCGTGAAGGCCATGCATACAATCGATAGACGCGCTGTGCAACGAGGTTAGACCGTCAACAGGGCTGTGATTGCGGAGTATACGCAGATGCTGTATACCTATGATATTCCCGATGGGAATACTCGAAAAACCGGATGAGTCAATGCTGCCACAAACCCATGCGGCACTTTGCTTCAGTAATCTATGTGGCTTTATGGGGAGTACATGAACAGGTGCCCGTAGATAGTACATCAATATCGTGTCCTTCAAAGTTCTAAATTTTGCACGGCCTATCATATCTGTACGACCACCGACCTTAGGTCGATCAAGAATGGCCCTGAGTGTGTAAAATATACAATTGCAATGTAATCTACGCTGAAGCCGAATCTTCATGATATCTTAGCGCTGTAAAAGGAGTAGCATCTTTCTGCGGGTAGGCCGCTGCTTGGTGTGTGGGCGAGTGATCGGTGAACCTCGCGTGAAGCAGGATATGGCGGATAAGACGGAATGGACCCCGCACTAGCAGCACTAGTGGAAACTGTATCACAGTAGGAGGACCGCGAGCTCGTCTCACTGCAGTCTTACTAAACGAAGAATGTATTGTGTGGAGGAGACTGAACTTGCATGGAGGGCGAGTACAGGCCCAAGCTCGTAGTATTTAGACGAGTCCCGCCTCACGGTCGCTCGTTCGTTCGCGGAGCGCCTACCCTTTTCAGTAGGTAGTTCGAACCCCAACCGATCTCTCACCAAGCAGTCAGGGTTGAACTACCAAAAAAGGCGGGCGCTCCGCGAACGAGCGATGGTACATGCGAATCAGATGGGGTATATCGGAAGGTCCGCCGCTCAGCGTCGCGCCACAGGCAATGTCTCGGGCAATCGTGCTCGACCACATTCAAGAACACATCGTCGCCCCCTCCCCCCTGCACAAGTTGCACCCCTCCCCCAACAAGCGAGCGATCGCGGCCCCTCCACGCGACCCTAAGGCTACGTCCTGCGTGCGTGCGGCATCGCTGCGGAAAAACGACAACGATACATGAACAGCAAATTTGTGCACGAAACTTCCCTGCACGCCGAATGCGCGTGCCTGATGTCCTTCGGTCTGATTGACAGTTGCTAAGTATTGATCTACGCGTAGAACACGTCGAGTCGGTTTCTTGCGCTGATGCCCAAATCGACACTCCCCCGCCGGATTGGCCCAGGAGGCAAAGTCGTTGATTGGACCACGAGAGATTCCAGGGAACCTTGCGCTCTGATTGGGGGGCAGATCGCGCCCGCTGTCTGCCTGGGACGGGCCACGGCCGCACAGTGAAACTGGGAAAAGTCGGACAGTGCCCGATTGGGCAGCTACGCCCAAGAGGAGGGCAAGATCTGAATCGGGTACACACACCGATTTCGGATTGGGTACTCATCCAGTCTCCGGGGTCCTAAAACGCGCTCCGTCTCTTCCACATCTTTCACGCTGCTCCTCAAAAGTGTATCATCGATGCCTATATACTTCCTTATAATATCAGTGAAGATGAATGAATTTTTGAATGTGTGCACGCCCGAATAACGTGTACTAAACAATTCCATTTCTCACGTGATTTGTGCGTGATGTCCGCGACCACGTGAGCTGTGTGGCTCGGTCTAAAGCGCGTCGCCGTGAATCAAGGTGATGCGCCTCTGCTCATCTTGCCTTTTCTATGGCTGTATAGTCGAACCTCTGGTCTGAACCTCATTCTGCACATGCTTTACTGTTTCTGATGCTTTCTCATCCTGGAAACTGCTCCTCTTCCGGTCCTTCTGTTGACAAGTCTTTAGTCCCGGCCACCTTTCACTCTCTCGAAGGCATATCAACATAAATATCCAGCTCTGCATCCTGGATATTCAGCAGACAGCCTTGAGGATTGCGCTCCAAAACCCGGTGAGATGCAGAGCATGATGCTGATCACTGACGACAAGGAGCAGCGCTTGGGTATTCCAAATGACAAAATCCCGCATAAGTATATACTGCAACCCAGCGCAGCTGCAAGCACCTGTATACTATTGCGTCAGCTGAAATGTCGCGCCTGGACACAGCGCATGATACTGATGCGCGACCAACAAAATATGCAAGACAATGATTGCTATGGAGCCAATACAACTAATATTTGATGCCTCAAATGTACTATATACAGCCTAGTACTATACACAACTTACTCTATGAGAATATACCTGTTCCTCGCACATTATAATGAATGCGCTGGCTAATCACAGCGTGAGTTGGACTTAGGAAATGCGGATTGCGAGGATCACCTGACACATCTACTTATAGAAGGATCTTTCATTACCCACTTTCCGGGGTCCCTGGAGTGCTCTCGGACGATGTCGTTTATTCAGGTTTTGCACTCCTCTTGGCTACGCCTGAACCGGCGCCTTTTCGCGGTTTTCCGGGTAGCGCCACCACAACGTGACAGTACATTCTGCACATGACTGTGACAACACGCGACTACGTCCTCGACATTACTCGGCACTTACACTTACAGTAAGCAAGCGGCACAAGTGTTGACTTTTGGGTATGTCGGGCAAGCGTCGCTGCCGGCCCGGGTCACGTGGTCGTGCGCCGGTGTGGGAATAGGACTTATGTAGGCGTTGCGCGCCATAGGTAGCCCCATCGGTTTGTAACCTTATCCACCATTGATCCCTGTCCATCGAGGACGTTGTCTGCCGGCGGTCTTTCCGGCGTCGTTCTAACAACAAGCCCATAGCATAGCTCTCTTGAACGCACATATGTTACATGTACTTGTCATCTAGCTTCCCTTCCAACAAATAGGGTGAACCTTCCACATGGCTCACACTAAAACGAACACATCCACAAGAGAAGCAACGCACATGCTGTAGTAGACATCATAAATTTTGGCAATACCTTCGCAACTGCTCTCTCAATACGGTAGTGAGGGCGATGGATGTTCGTCGACATTAATCTAGCCCTTGTGCAGAGCGGATTTGGAAACATGCTGGAGTGACCATCAGTGACGAAATTCATTAACACTGGTCCTTTTGCATCGGAAGACATCCGAGGACACGACAGAGACCCGTATTTAGAATACAGGCAGACATGCAGGTAGGAGTAGAAAGTCCGCATCAAACTGTCTAGTCCTTTTTTTTATTACGCGAAGGCGATATTACAAAATCCGCAAAGTACTGTAAAGCATCTTAAAGGGTGGAAGTCTTTTAGTGAGTGGCCGAACCACAGTACTGCTGCAAATGCATATGCAAAGACGGTCAGGCGAGGGGTGGGTGGAAATAAAGCACAACGTAAGCACTAGCCAAAAACCAACATAAACCGACGAACCTTTCACACAGTGCTGCCGAAAATGCTGAGGAGGACGGTAACCTTGAGCGTCGAAATGACACCGACAAGGCCGCCGAGCTGGATAGCAACAGTCGAGACCACGCTGCCGAGGAGGGGGTTGACAAGCATGATAGTGGCGCACACAACGCAGCCAAGGACCTCACTGTTGAAGCACTCATGAGTAATCATCCAGCGCACTAATTCAAACACTTACACAAGGCCAGACAACATGTAAGTCACACACTCAGTGGAGTCCGAGCTGGTCACAGCGAGGACAGAAGAGACGGCGTCGAGCACAAGCTACAAACGAATAAGCAACTGAACCAGCATGCCAATAGGGAAAACTCACTGTCAGGAGGCCGCCGATCGCAGTCGCAACATCGCTAACTGTGAGGAGATTACCACCACTAAGACCAAGGATCACATTGTGGCCCTGGCCGACGAGACCGTTGATCTCCCAGAGAGCGTCGCCGAGAACACCCTTGATGTTCTCAACAAGGGGAGCGAGAACCTCGATGGTAGCGTTCTGGGCCGTGATGTAGCCTGAAGACAGCTCAGACGATGCTCAAACTCCCAAAATAACAGGAGCTTACGGAACTCGATGATGATCTCAGACAAATTGAACTGAGTCTCGGTAATGATCGTGACGACATTCTTGGTGCCGCACGAGACATCTGGAAGCGAGCTGGCGACGCCTGAGACAACACCGACAACCGGAACGGCGGGACTCGCAGAGGTGATGACGTCAGAGATTTCGGAAGGAGCAGGAGCCGCAGAGGTGAAAGTGCTGAGCGCGAGAGCGGCAAAGACAGACAGGGTGCTGAAGGAGAGCATTTTCAAAAGAATGTGGGAAGTGGGTGACGAGTGTCGGTGAGGGAGAGAACGAGATGCTGAAACTTGACGGCAGTCAATGGAGAAAAATGGGTGAACGGGGCGGGCTTATATACCGCGCAGGTGTGGCAAGCCTGGCCGAGTTGGGCGTGGGCGCGATTCTTGTCGCTTGCTCGCTCGCGGGCGAGCAAGCGACTGATCCCTTTGCCACTAATTGCACCGCGGGCGAGCGATCGAGCGACTAGGGCTGCTCATTTCTTGTCGCTCGCTCGTTCGTTCGCGGGGCGCCTACTCTTTTCGGTACGTAGTTCGAACCCCGACTGGTCTCTCACCAAGCAGTCAGGGTTAGACATTAGACTACCAGAAAAGGTGGGCGCTCCGCGAACGAACGACAAGAATTGAGAAACCCTAGTACATTCAAATCAGATAGGATATACCGGAAGGTCCACCGCTCAGCGTCGTGCCACAGGCAATGTCTCGGGCAATCGTGCTCGACTACATTTAAGAGCACGTCGCCGCCCCCTCCCCCGCGCACAACGAGTGAGCGATCGCGGCCCCTCCGCTCGACCCTATGTCCTGCGTGCATTCGGCATCGCTCCGGGAAAATGATACCTGGAACAACAGATTTGCGTACGAAACTTCCCTGCACGTCTGATGCGCGTGCCTGATGTTCTGGTTGACAGCTGCACGTAGAGCGCGTCGAGTCGGTTTCTTGCGCTGATGCCCAAATCGACATCCCGGGGCCCCTGCCTGTTTGGCCCAGGAGCTAAAGTCGTTGGTTGGACTACGAGAGATTCTAGAGAATCCTGCTCTCTGATTCTCTGATTGGGGCCCCGAGACGGCACAGTGAAACTGAGAAAAATCGGACACTATTGGGCAGGCTTCGTCTGAACGGCGCCTTTTCGCGGTTTCCTGGAATACCGCCACCACAACGTGACTGTGAGGGTACATTCTGCACATGACTGTGACACTGCACGATTAAGCGCTCGATGTAATCAGCGCTTGCACTCAAGCAAGCGGCACGGGCTCTCTTGAACGCACATATGTTACGTGTATCTGTTCTCGCTGGCACATCTTGAAGCCAGACCGGGGCTGGTACTAAGGGTTTTGTGGTCAATACAGAGCCAGATTCCATGTGCTTTATCCTCATTTCTGAATACTCTTGGTTGCGGGCCTAGAAGGGAAGGTGATCTACTTCGTTCAAGTTGCCGCTGTCGCGCGCAATATAACCCTGTCGGGACCGAGGCGTGCGATGCTCTTCCGAACGTCAACATTTATCACAAATGACGCCAGACGTCTTCGGCTAGCCTGCGAGATTAGGTGCGTGGATAGAGGAAAACCATAAGTGGATTTGGACATGAAGATGCCAGGCCTCCCCGAGATTCGTGCGCTGGGTGTCACATGTCAAGGTCCAAACGCGTCGTCGAGCGTGGTCCCAAGGTGTCAGCCTAGCTCGAAAGGCTGGGTCCCCAGGTACGTCGTCTTGACGTTTGCAACAGAGAGATAGAACTGACCAACAATGCAATCATAGAAGTGCACGCTGCGGGTCCGAGCGACGCGCACAGCACATTACATAGAGGCCGCACAGCTGTACCCATGCCCCCCTCTGCAGCCTCTCGGAGCCAACGATGTCTGACGCCACGCGTTCAGGATGACAGGCGGTTTGCTACGCCAGGGCAGTGGCGGACGTCACCATCCACTAGCACTAGCGGGTACATTTAGACATGTATGGGGGCCCATATATGGCCCCTCCTCTGCTTGGTTGGTGCCGCGCCCGGCAGCCCAGAACTAGAGGTGCCTTACCTCTCTCTTGTCTGCTCCTGCTCCCCGGCGCACGCACAGCTTGCTTTTTCCCATCTCGTTCCGGCCCCTCTGCCCCCGCCGGCGAAGACTTTGTTCACCGCTCTCCTGCACTTACAGTCTCCCCACTTGCTGTTGGCCTGGAGATTTGGCCTTGTCTCTTGGACGTGGTTTTGGGCAATCTCTTAGGTTGGGGTTCCTGCGGAGAGCTTTACGAAGTGGTGAGTCCCGATGGTAGAGCCATTGCTGCACATCCCCGAAGCCGAAGCTGCAAGGATTCTTGATGCTAGACGAGATCTATGCTATCCTATGATCTCGCTAACAGACCCCGCGCGACGATAGCCAATTGTTTCGGACGCTTCATCACATTCTTATGACTTGAATGAGGGTGCGTTTCCGTATGTGCAATGCGCACCGCTCGCTACGAGATATTTGAAAGTATGACGCGCTAAGGGGCAGACATGCTTTGTTCATGCCAACCATCTATCTTTGATTTTCCGAAAGCTCATGGTTGAACGACTGGTCGCGCAGCCATGGCAGTTTTCTCATATTTGACGCCATCTCGTTCGAAGCCATCATAGTTGACTGTTCATATTATGGCAACTGATTCTCTGATATTGAAATAGCGCCTTAGAACACCCCCTCGCTCTTTGACGCGGTATTGAGATTGCGTGGACGGCTCTGCAGACGGTAAGTCCTCACAGACATTAAGCGGAACTATCGATACGTAGTCACAACGTTGTGCATTTACATGCTTCGCCTAGCATTTTATGCAACTATATGCGCATTTTCCACCTAAAATCCATCTTAGCTGACTGTTTTGTCTCAGCTGCTGATCCTAATCGAGTTGGCCGGTTTGCTGTTGTTGTGGAGTATCGCGGAGATCGTTGCGCTCCGTAAGTAACGCGCATATTTGGACCGAAGGACGTATAAACGTCTGCACCAGGTAAGCATTGAGCATTAAAAGACTGCAACTGTTCCGTTGCCAACCAACGACTTGACTAAACAAAGTATTTATGTCAGATAAACCTGTTGCAGTGCGAGATGACATTTGCTACACTCCGCGCACTGCACACCCTGATTGGTGCGGCTCTCGACGATATCGAGGCCGTGTATCACGATGCGGCCACCAGTGGCTCCAAGACGAACTCCGTCGCGGGCTTGCCCTCGCCGCTTTCGCCGTCTCTTTCGACGCCAGCCTCCACCCCTCTCCATGCCTACTCATACTCGCCGACGCCTTCCACGCCCTACTCACCCACCGACTGCGACAGGGACAGCGCACGCGACCTGTACCCCTCTCCCTCCCCGCTCTCGCCCACGTTTTCCGTCTCCACTGCCCCACGCGGGGCCTTCGCGCCGTACACAGCGTACTCGCCTGTACCGCACTCGCGCAGCGACTCGCTTGCGGACACGCTCTCGCTGTCGCTGTCCCTCGGACAGCGCCCGCCCTCACCCACGCCGTCCTTCTCCACGCTCTCCTCTTACTCCGGCACGGCGTCCTCCCGCGCCTCCTCGCGCCTCAATCTCGGCGACGTGATCGACCCCGAGCGCATACAGCCGCCCGTCTCGGCGTTGGCGCCCATGCATATCAAGAGCGAGGGTGTCAGCGCACAGTGGACGCATGACACGCCCCCTGCATCGCCCGCCGTCCCTGCGCCGACCTCAACGCCCGTGCGTCGCCTTCCGCTCGCCTCCGGCCGGTTTTTACGGCACGCCGCGTCTGAGCTGCTCGCGACGCCGTCCCGCCTGTCGCAGGCGGGATTCTGCTCGGGCGCGGCGGCAGGCTCGCCGCATACACCCAAGTCGGCGGGCGCGGGGAAGTACGCGGGGCACCACTCGCTCGACGGCGCCCCGCCGAAGGCGCAGAGGACGCCGCAGCGCGGGGTCTTCGCATCTGCGTCCGTCTCGGACCTGCTCTCGACTCCGCAGTCGAAGGCGCGCCCGCGCGGGTCGATGGACGCGCGCAGCGTGTGCACGGCCACCTCGCTCGGAGGGGACGGGAAGGGGTCGCCCTCGCCCATACGCTTCGCGCCGAACCCGCATCCCGACCCCCTGGCGGACGGCGCGGACGGTGCGGAGACGTACGAGTATGGGCAAAGGCTTCCGACTGTACTCGGGTCGCCCGCGACGCCCAGGCGCGCGCCTGATAGGACGCCCGGCGATACGCTCGCGACGCCGACGTCGGCGCGGCCTGGCAGCGGGGAAGGCGCGGAGCGTAGTGCAGACGGCAGAAAGCAGCGCCACCGGCCGACGCCGCTCCTGCCTGCACTTGTGCCCACAGGGCAAGGTCAAGGCCAGCTGCCGCCGACGCCTGCGTCGCTGTTCTCGTTGTCGATGTCCTCGCCGACGTCGCGGTCGTGTCTGGCCGGCGAGTCGGATGTTCTGGACGTGGATACGCATGCTGCGGGCGCTAGTCTCGACAAGGACAGGCGGAGCCAGGGCCCGACGCTGGGCGCGCCGTGGGAGGAAGGGCAGAGCGCCGCGCGGAAGCCATGGTTCGAGAAGGGCGCGAGGGTGAACGGGCGGGCGCTGGACTGGCCAGCGCTGGACGAGCCTGCGTATGTTGCGCGAGGGAAAGATGGCGATCAGGAGACCTCGGCGGTGAATAGAGATGAGAGCCCTGGGGACACAGACGAGGATCGTGCGCGCGTGTTGAGTGAAACGCTGACGACGCACCCGGCGGTGCTCGCGGCGGTGTCAAAGCTCGTGGCGGCGTGCGGACAGCTGAGCGCGAGCGTGCAGAGGCCGTTCCTGACTGTGTGTGACGCGGCGATGGGGGTGAGTGCTTTTTGTGAATCCTCAGCTGGCGGGTGCAACTGCTTGGCACGCAAGCGTCGCGCGAAGGGAGGCTGTTGTTGACGCATTTCTTCGCTTGCTTAGTACAACCTCCCTGCGTGCTTGCGCCTGCTCGAGGCAGCGCACGTTCCGGAGATCCTCCGGGAGGCGGGTCCGAAAGGACTGCACGTGAGGGAGATCGCGAGGCGAGTGGACAAGGTCCGTCGGGCAAACAGAGCGCGAAGGGCGGATTCGAACGAAGCACGGAGTACGGAGGCTGGGATTGGCGAGGAAGAGGCTGGCGTCGATCCTGTGTTACTCAGTGAGTGTGCATTCTCTTGCCACTTTTTGATTTGGTGTGGGGATATCCGGGTCCACAATGTCTGCCGCATATATTCACTGGCCTACGTACACGTCTTTGCACGCATATACCCTGCATGCTCGCTCCTGCGCTCAGGCTAATAACATGCTGATTTGTTTCTTATGCAGGTCACGTCCTCCGGCTACTCGCGACGCATCACATCACGCGAGAGGTGCGCCCGGACGTCTTCGTGAACAACCGAATTTCGGGTGCTATCGACTCGGGGATGACGCAGGCAGAGCTTGCAAAGACGTGAGTTTCCGTTTGTTGCAAAGATGAAGGATTAGATGTTTATGCGCTTTCTTGTCAGGCCAGAAACGAAGTACGAGGGAACGGATGGGATTGCTGCGTTCGTTGGGCTGTGGTGCGTGTGGTTGTTCCTGGGACATGCGTGCATGCTGTCGACGCCTGTTTAATCAGCACGGACGAGCTGTTCAAGTCTGCAGCGTACCTCACGGACTGCTACCTTCCTTCGCCTGAGGATTCTGGTCTTTTTGGGACCCTTTCATCCGCTCCTCAGCCGCAAACCGCTGCAGAACGAGATGTGCCAGCTGTGAACACCCCACACAACGACGACAGGAACTGGGGCGGCAAGGGTGCAGGAAGCCAGGTGGACCTCGCTGACCTCGCGCTAGGGACTCGCGATAGCCCGAAGTCTCCTTTGAGGACGAAGAGATCGTTCCTAGGCTCTCCTGTACCATCAGTGGAGAGCACTTCAAGTAACGTGAGGCGGCGTCCGCGGGCTCTGTCAATTGTCCCGACACCGGCGAGCCCGTCGAAGATGCCTGCTCCTCGCCGCCCGCGAGCGTTCTCGATTATCCCCTCTTCGAGCTCGAGTGGTCCTACTGCGGCATTACCTCCGCTACCTCCGCTACCCTCGACGCCCCCCAAAGCACGAGGGCTTCAGCCATCACAGACGAAGCACGATGCGTCTCCTACGAGGCCTTCTGCATTAGCTAGCCAGATCTCCAGCCAGAAAGAAGAGAAGGGAGATAATCCAATGCATGCCCCCTTCAACCTTGCATTCCGGACGAACGCGCCTTATTTTGAATGGCTAGAGAGACGCGGGAACGGAGGAAGGCTGAAGAGATTTGGACGTGCGATGACAGGGACCGGGGCTTGGGAGGTGCCAGGAGCGATTGTCGGCGGTCAGTGTCTCGTATGCCTTCGTTTCATACTTGCCTTCATAGGGTCATTCCACAGGTTTCCCATGGCATTCACTCCCGCCTTCAGCAGTCGTCGTGGACGTCGGCGGAGGGATTGGCTCGACGTCGATGCTACTTGCCTATGCGTTCCCACACTTGCGGTTCCTCGTCCAAGACAGAGCGCCGGTGGTCGAGATGGGCGAAGCAGTGGGTATAGACGTGGTGCCTTTCTACACTGCTCTGATGCGTGGTTTGGTGAACAGGCATGGCGCAAACGTTGCCCGGAGTTTCTGGATTCCGGTCGAGCAACCTTCCAAGCACACGACTTCTTCACTCCTCAACCGCCTTGGCCAGCCGTTCTCCAAGCGGATAACCGAGGGCAGTCTGCATCCCCTGCTGTATTCCTTCTCCGTGTAATCACGCATGACTGGCCTGATGCATATGTGACAAGGTGAGCTGGGCCATTGATTCATGGGCGCTTAGATTGTTGACGGGGAGTTCCCAGGATATTATTGCAACTTCGTCGAGCCGCAGGTCCAGACACGAGGCTGCTTCTCGCAGATTATGTCCTGCCGCTAGCCTGTATTGACGAGGATCCTGATCCTGATTCGCCGAGATCAGATTGCCGCATGGAAGACAAGATGAAAGCCGATCCCGTTGAGGGCGCAGTGCGGTCACTTGTCCCGGAAGGCTCCCCACTACTGCCAAACCTGGGGAAAGCAAGCACTAATGCATATTGGCTGGATTTGACGGTACGGCCGTTGTTCTGTGCTGATGGCTCTCGATTGAATCGGTCTGTAGATGCGGTCGATGTTCAATTCACAAGAGCGAACGCTCCGGGAGTTGTCCACCCTTGCGCAGACAGCCGGTTGGCGAATCGTCCAGGTCGTGCGATCGGAGAGCTCCTTGTTCGGACATATCACCGCTGTCCCTGTCGAAATCCCAGCAGAGAGCCTTGCCTTGCTTGATAATCCTTTGCCAGGTACGGAGGGAGCAAGCACAGGGTCGGGAGCGCCGGGAAAGACCAAGAGGCCCGCCATGGGCGACACGTTCTGCTCCTTCGTTGACCTTCCGTCGGACGACACCGTGCGCAAGGGTGTCCGTGCGAGCAAACGTGCAGCTGGTGCTCAAGGTTGGCAGGCGCGCGCAAGCGAATGGAAGCAGCGTCTGGTGAAGAAAGGCTCGGCGATCTTCAAGGACAGGAAGGGTCAGAGTCACGCGCTACCTCCAAGCCCGGCGCCCCCTCCACTTCCGGCGACTCCAACAGAACTGCTCCCTCCATCGGACGTGGCGGACCATGAGAAGGAGCAGAAAGGAAAGAGAAGTCTGGGAACTCCCAAGAGCGGGGGTGGCCCGCGGGGATTGCGCAAAGTTCTCTCGCGCGCACAACTCAGCGCAGGTGGGGTCGAACGACAGCGCGAAAGAGTCGAACGGACGGCTACCGTTCCGAGTGGATGATGCCTCTATAAAGAACCTATCACGGAGTTTGGTTGATGTGTATTCGTGTACCTGCTTTCCTCTGCTTTTCTCTGCTTTTCCGGATTTGCTTGTCGGAATACAGGTCCAGTCATGTGCTTGTTGAGTGCCGCAAGTTTAGCTGGTTCTTTTATATTATGAGAGTGGACAAGCAAGGTCGTTCGATATATAATGTTGTTATTATTCGTAACATGACTCCATCATGTCCCATAGAGGTAAATAGTTTGGGCTACAATATCTTTTGTTGTACGATATTGCGTATACGTGCCCACCGGAAATGGAGTCTGGCTGATTTATGAAGCTCTCAGAGTTACACAGAAGCAATCATTTGTGGCCCCGTAGCGTGAAATATTCTTGCCTATAACCTCCCATAGAGATGGCACACTCAAGCCAGCCCTGGAAGCCCCAACCGTATGGATTTCGTGCGAATGTTGCCTCATCCCTGAGGAGCGTTGCTGCCTCCTTGTGGTGACAGTCTTCGAGAGTTGTCGCTCCGTGAGCGCGCGGTCGCTTGAAGGGTAGTCGTTATGCAGAGTCCTCTAGACCCTGTCAAGGGAACCTTCTGCTGAGTGGACAAACTGGGAGTAGGGAGACAAGTGCATATAGAATGGATTAGCTCGCCGTACGCATGGTACTAACGACGAGTGACTTACAACATCATGGAAACCGCTGTTCGACGTGAGACCTGACTGTGGTCAGTTGGGATAGCTATCGATTTGCCTTTCCTTTTCTTTGGCATTCTCCCAGTCGCATGCCTTCGGCGCACAAAGCGAGGTCCCGCGTGTAGCTTCTGAATGCTTCCGACGCAGCACATGGGGCACAAGGCTCGCCTGTATCCGTGCAGTCTGTCTCTGTGCACTAGGATCCCATGTTCGTGGAAGCCATCCACGTGCGCAAGTACCGCCACCAGCCCGTCGGCGGGACAGCCGCCTGTTCGGGCATCCTGTGGACTGGGGAACTATTAGATAAACTTGATATCACACTGGAATATAACAGGGTGTGGGCTCACCTCGTGTATCCCCCTCAGAATCACCATCATCAGGCTCAAATTCACCAGAGGAAGTAGATCCCATGATACTGCTCTTGTTTTCCCTTTCATCCTTGCCTGTTCGCATACCCCCATCCCGGCCCGTATCCGTAACGAAGGCTTCCTCCCGTATATAGCATGAACCCCTCCCTATGCGATGAACATATCCTCTCGCGAGCTAAAGCCGCACACCTCGCAAGCGTGCTTGAGACGCCAGTGCTTGTTACTGGCTAAATGTCTCATATATGCGTTCCTGTTGATGGATTTGTTGCAACTGGCGATTCGGCAGGTGACTGTTGTGGGTGCACTTCCTTGTACGCTTTATTATAAGGCGGGTGACCAGTGCGTTGCCACGTATTGAAACGGGGCCATCCTCGTACAGCCATGCCCTCTTCGCAGCTCGGCACTTGAATTGGTCCCTAGGGACGAAGAAACGTTCGCAGGCTCGATTTTCGCTCGGGCGTGGAAGGTCTGTACGCCTCAAAATGACCCATATGAGGAGCCAGTGGAATGACTCGGCCGTCAGCATTCCGGATCTATTGCGAGCTGAGTAGCATGTGGTTGGGCAGCCGAAGGATAGTGACTTGTATGATGCATTGAATGGGAGGAAAGTGGTTCGAGGCATTCAAGGACAGTGGTGCTCATCCGGCCTCAAGTCTGTTGGTATATATACTGCCCCGCTGTGGTCAATGCTAGGACTTTGCGAAGACGTGGAGACAATATCCTATGAAGTTCGAATAATTTAATCCGCACTGCCGCTTGCTGCATTGTACATAAAGCATTTGTGGCATGCATTCTTGTGGAGTATTTCGAAAGGTGGAGAGGCGTTAAGCATCTATGCAGGCACAGGCACAATGTAAATGATTGTGCAAGACCAATCGTACATACAATCTTATGTCAAGGTATCACAAGCTCAAGCCTGAGACGAGAACACGTCGCCTTCCGCATGTGGTAGTAGTCTACCTGATATGGTTAGAGGAGACTTCATCGTCAATAACGCGGCTCGTAAGGGAGTCATACTAATGCACAGATATGCATAGACGGGACCTACGCACCGTGAACTATCATGAAGGGGCCCACCGTTATGATGTGCACACTGCACACTGCACCCACTATTTCCATCAATCGTTATGTCGCGCAACGGATTGTAGTATCACCATCCTATTGTCCATCTAGGATATATAGCGTGAGATGGGGTCCAGCTATGATACAGCAAGATCGTGGGATAAACGAGCGTGGTTTGGGTATATATACCCAGATCTAGTGGGTCAGTACTGGGTGTTACAAGCGATAACCTAGATAACACGACGAACACATAGCTTGCACGGCTCGACGGCGCAAGCATGAAATATTACACAGCTATGTACGGGAGTATGAGTACGAAGGGGGGGGGGAGGGGGGGTTCTCATCCTCATCCTTCCTGAGAGGTGAGCTTGCAGTAATCCTGGGATGGTATTGTGAGAAGATGTTACAGAGTCAAGAGCGAAGTATGCATACCGCATTTCCTAATGGATTGAGCGCCCAATTCGGGAAGTTTACTTGAACACCACCAGCCCCACCAAGGGCGAACTAGGTGAGAGGTCAGCGGGGCTCGCCGCCAATTTACCATATGACTCACTGAGAAGATGAAGACGAATACTTGAGCTCCCTACGTGACGTACCAATGTCGTCAGTGTCATGTTCTGATAACGCATGGAAAAACATACTCCATCGACAGCAGCTCCGAACAGATACTGATAAAAGACCCGTCAGACCATTGTAAGCGATGCCGTAACAGATGCGTACATTGTATTTCCTGAACCACCCTGCATGATACCTGCGGATGTAGAAGTGTGACGTAAGACCAATCACCATCCAAGTGTTGATGTAGCCGTTCGTTCCACCAGCAAGGTCGCCGATGTAATCTAGCCAGAGTTCAGCATTCAAGACCAAGCCGGCACGATGTTGCAGGTCACACGTACATGACAGAACAGCGGTGTTAACCATCGGCAGCCAGGCCCAGCGGAAGCGCTTCCAGAGGAGCCAGGGAATGACAGGAAGCCCAAGACCGATGACGATACCGAGAGGAACAATAAAGTACGGCCCGTTGACGCCGACTGTTGTCAGAGGTCAGCCTTTATCCCACAGCAGACGTGATAAATAGACTACTCACAGATCTCCTTCCCCAGCGCACCCCAGAGAATGGCTATGAAAGCAATCAACATTTGTACGCCCGCTACGACAAGGTTCGCATACCGTTCGCGTTGTACGACTGTACTTGCTGACCACTCCACACGCGGCTACCTTCGTTGCTAAGCTGATGAAAGAGTATGAGGACTCCTCGCTGCGAAGCTTCTGCGAACAGGACATACCAGGATGCTACGCTCGTTGTTGACCACGTCCTGCATGATGACATCTGTAAACGAGTGAGAAAAGGTGTCGAGGGAGAGAAAAGAAGACGCTCACAATTGAGCAGGGCACCGATAACTGTGCCAGCAATTTGTACGCTGAAAGTCGTCTGGATGGGCAGTGTCAGAACGAGTCCATACGCGAGCAATCTTTAACAGCCTACACGAGGAGGGACTACAGCAGTTGGGAGGCTAAGTCAGTTCCGACAGCGGACAGGGCGATGGTAGCTATGCTCACGCTTCATGTACTGGCCAAGCTTGAGATCGCTCAACATGCCAGACGCCTGAGTGAGCGCCTGACTCGAGTAGAGTTCGAAGTACTACATAGGCACTATGTCAATTGCGCATGTCACACGACATTATTGCCATGACTGACCATGTTCGCCTGTGACGAGCCAGGGATGAGCGCGGCGCCCAGCATCTGGAACAGCGGCGTCATGTAGGGGATCCATCTGTAGTAAGGAGGCCGTCAGGTAATATGTACACATATTTATGCGAAGGACGTACGCAGTAATGGCATACATCGCGCCATAGAACGGCAAGGTGATGACGGCGAAAATGAGGGCAACAATCAAAGCCCACCAAGGCAACCTGTCCGTGTATGAGCAATATTCCCTCTCGCTTAAGTAAAGCACTCCTCACCCCGACTTCTCAGTGTAAATGCAGACCACTGAAAAATGTCAGCGTCGACGCGCACTCGCTCGTTACTAACTGGACGTACTAGCAGTGATAAATGCTGTTATACCGCAGTGAATCAGTATCTACATCGCGATTCGAAGCAAACTGCACTAACCTGATACTGCGATGGCAGCATACCACCAGAAGGGCACTGCAAGCGCCAGTTAGTCCTCCTATGAGCTTATGCGAAACAGCCGATATGCACCCTCTTTGTAGATCTACCGGCATTTCGTCAGGATCGGCGCCACTGCGGGGTATCGTAATCAAGACTTACCTGCATCTTCTTGTAGTGCATGTCATTGATTGGCTCGCCACGGAAGCTGCACAAACACACGCGTCAATGAGCCACTCATCAATGTTTAGCCAAGGGTATCAACTCACTAGTCCCTGAACGCCGCGTATATCTCCTTCCCATGCCACAATCCGATGTGCACGAACGTCGCACCAATGGAGAGGTTGATACCGAGATTGTAGATCTGCGATATAATGTTCTGAATCGCCAAACAGAGCGGTAGACGGGATTGGAGACGTACGATTGTCGACCCGCTCTGCCAAGGCTGTCCATGGATCTCGTACGCAGTCTTGTTGAGACTCAGGTCGCTACGGGTTGCAAGGGATGGCGCTCAGATGGCAGCTAGATACGGATTGGTGAAACGTACGGATTGAGGATGAGATTCTGGTTATAGATGGTCCCGTTCTCGTCTGCAGCGAGCGCACTGACGTTAGCAACCAAGGACTCAGACTGTCCAAACAGTGCTCACAGAATCTGTTGGTGGAGATGTATCAATTCTGCAACCTGTTGTGAGTGAAAGAGGAGAACGTACAAGTTTTGCGAGATGAAAGGGAAGTTCTGCGAGTGCCAAACGTTGCGGGCATATACCGCGGGAAGGATAATGTAGCACAGGGCCCAGCCGATGTACGCTGTGAATCACAGCTCGTCAAAACATCCCGTGTCGTGAGTTATCAACGCAACTGATACTCACTGGAAATCTGCGTCGACAGAGGCTGGTAGAATGGTGCGCTCGTGATGTCTGCGGTCGCAGTTAGCACATGACACTCAGGAAGATAAAGGGCGGTGAAATTACGCACTCGCCCAGTCGACACCGAAACCAAGCAGCCCAAGGCCCTCGTTCGCCTCTGCACCGCCGAAGATATAGGACACCCAGTCCGAGTTGCGCGCGCAAAGGCAAACAATGTTGAATGAACCCAATAGCGGTGCAATCCACTACCACTGGGATGAGTATACACTTGTATATCGAAGACGAATGAGGAACACACCTCAGGGAACCACTCATACACAAAGCTATTCCCCCATCAGCGGCTAATGCCATACAATGAACAAGAAGTCATACGCACATGATACCGGTGAGTATCCAGAAGAAGCGCAGCCTTTTCCCCTGGAGCATCTCGCCCTTAGAGCGGTGCAGAACATCGAACAAGTTGACGTAGATGAGGTTCTGCGGATACAGCATCGTCGTGGGGTACACCAGGAAGGAACCTGCATCTCACGTCAGATGCCGTGTGCTAGGACTCGAGATGCGGGGGAAATGGACACGCACGGAACATTCCCGCAAAGCCGTACCCGATCAGCTGCGATGCGAGTAAAGTGAAGATCGCGTTGCCCGGCTGCGCATGCAACTTAGCATTGCTCGATCACGATCGCGCAGCAGACGCCACTTACATTGACAGTGAGATTGTAGAACAGGTCATCCGCGGCAAATACCATGCACGCCAGCGCCGAGGTGCTATGAGATGGTGTTAGCCGGGAGCGGAGTCGTCGAGATTGTACGTACGCAGCCGTGTTAGCCATGATCTGCGCGGCAACATGCTCCTTGAGATCTGAGAGCGGGTCAGCCTGGTTCTGCTGCAGCAACAGGCACATAAGACGTACTAAAAGGCCCGGGGTTCATAAACCTCCAGAACCAGTTGTCTCGCCAAAAGCGACTGCCAGGACCGGGAATGACGAAAGCAAGGAATGTGCCAATCATGTATGCAAGTAGTTGTAGGAACAACGCAGAGACCAAGAGGACTTGCGGACGGAATTGCTGCATGTGATGATGAGCCGCCCGCAATTGTTTACTCACACAACACGCGCAAGATGAGATACTCACGAAAAGCATACCGAGCACGGCACCAAAGACTGCGAGTCCGACACCGGCAAACCACGTACGAAACGTGTGGATGTACATATGTGGGTCGTCGTCCGTACTCACGAGCGCGCGAGCGAAGTCATCCGCTGTTTGCAAAACCTTCTCGCGCCCCTGCTCGTCGTAGAGCTTCTCGTCCACCTCGACCTCCGCCGTTTCCACGGCAGAACTACTGGTCTTGGACTGGAGCTGGTCAATCTTCTCGACAGAGTTGTAATCCGACCCGGACTCGCGCGTCGGCGTGCGCAGCGGCTGGTCGTGGGGGACCTGCGGGAGCTCGCCGACCAGCGCGGCGGCATCGTGCCCCTCATTGGGAGCGTGCTCTTCGTGGCGTGCCATGAGTGGGCTAGAAAGCAAACAGAGTGCGCCTGCGACGGCAGGGGGTCTGCGAGGTCAATGGACGAATGGAGTCGAGGAGCCAAATATGCGGGCTTCCTGAGTATATATGACGGCTCTCGGGGAAGGCTCGTGTGTCGGCGCGATCATATGCTTGGGCGTCCGCTGATGTGCAAAAATAGGGAAAAGCCATATGGATCTGGATCATCGCAGGAGGGCTTGTCCACATGCTCACACCACAACCATGCAAAATAGCGCTGTTTCGGTGCTTCGATTGGAGATGGAAGCATAAGCTGCTCCATGCGCACAGCTCGGCTGGTGCAGCGGTCCCATAGAGGAGACTCGATGCAGTACGGGCATTGCGAGGCAGCGCAAGAGGCAGAACCTGGGCGGAGCAGGCCTGTGCAGGCGAACAGCGTTGTGCAAGCGAACCGGAAGGACGCATCATCCGCTGGAATTCGATCGCGGCGAGATCAAACTCATCTTTGCGGGGGGAAATTCGCCCGTCCACGTGGCGCCGGCGCCGCGCGCTACCGGAGATTTAGCTTCCAAATGTTACAGCAACACGCAACGGCCCACGGTCATCGGTATATTTGCTCATGGGCGCACAAACCAAAGATTAAAGTCTATCGTGGTTGTCATTTTCTTTGCGGGACCTCATGCATTTATTGGCACCAACCGGGGTGCTAAGTTCAAGAATGAGCAAGATTCATCATACTTCAGCAACTGACGCAATATTTACCACCATGGGGGCTTCAACGTGGCTGTACGGGCAGATAGCTGTTGCTAACTTGTGGGACATCAGGGATAATTGATCCATGTGACCCCGCTCGAGACCGAACGCTTCTTCCTGCTTCGCTGCACATGTTTGACGGGCTGAACTCGCCTTCCTAAACCCGCGACCACACTTGTTGCAACTGTACGCCATTGCATGATCCGAGCATGCACGAACCAGCCGCGGACCCATCGAAGCGTGTAGTTTCAGTTGGACGGGGGACCATATGGCGAGACCCAGGCTCCTTCCCGCCGTCTCCGGAGGCCCATCCGAAAACCAAATGATACGTTGCTGCCATAGACTCGTCATCACGCACCGAGCATGGCGCCGGATGACATCTTTCTAAGATAAATACGGGGCCGAGCCCACGTCGCCCGTGTTCGCCGAACTTGACCTTGTACTACATATGCGGCCATGTTCCGAGGTCGTCCGAGTCGAGCACCACCTAGCACCACTCATCGACGGCCGTTGGGTAGATTTTGTAAGCTCGGAGAGGTGGTGAGCCGAAGATAGGAAGGCCGTATTTGCAGCGCATATAGGCACTATCTCTGCGCTGGGTCGCGGAGAACAAAGTTAGCCATGGGCGCGTCTTACGATTGCAAACGGCCTAGCAGGCGCTGGGAACGGAACATGAAGATAAGTAGGCCGTTGCACTACGATAGATGATTTATCACTGCGGGTCGGTCGACCACTGACAGAAAATGTGTTGCCTAGGACGACGAGACCACTAGTCCACACGGAGCTTTGTTAGTCACTAGCCGCTCGGTCGCAAGAAAATTTGCTTGTCGCCTCTCACTGCTCTTACAATCTTCTTGACTGAAAGACATATTAAGAACGAGCTTCTGCTTGATTGAGATGTCGAATAGCCGTCTTGGTCTCATTCTCTAGCGTGAAGGCTTCGATATGGACTGCTAGGGATCGTTGGGAAGTCCTGGAGATACAGCACAATACAATGAATTCGACAAAGGCGGGGCAGCCTCCGAGCGCATTGAATGTAGTAGCCCCCGTGGGGGATGCTGCGGCCTGCCCATTGACTCACTAATTGTCGAGCACGTGATCTCGCCGTGCAACCACGTGCAAGACGCGCTTAAGAGCCGCTAGGCTTCTGCAGTGCGCCCATCAATCTTTCCCGATCCTTCGACTAATACGGCCTACACCGGTCTGACTTGCATTAATGCCGTAACACGATGCCCTTGATGCAAAACACGATATGCTCTTCTCAGGTTTCAAACGCCCAGGAATCACCACTTGCTTTCGGAGGGACTAAACACTTTGAGACACTGAAGCATTCTCGAACATGCGGGGAGTGCTATCCTAGGAAGTACTACTTGCTGTTGAAACTTAGTTGAGCGTCGCGACTCGAACTCTATCCTATTGCTGCTGTCTCACCCGATCACCTGAAGACTCCCCATGAGATGTGTAAGCACCTTGATTGCTACAAGGCGATATGCAACTAATCGCATGTCATCTGGCAGTCTGATCTCATGCGTAACTATGCTCGTGATAGACCGAGGCCATTTCGCTCCAAAAGACACGTAAAGCTGGACCCAGAGCTAGATACCACAACAAAAACAGAGTATATGCGTGCGGTGGCTACGCGGGCGCAATCTTGATGAGTGCATACGGTGCGCCACCGTACCTACCTACGCTGTTCTCTTCCAGGAAATTATTGAAATTACCTTTTGACTCCGTGCAGGACAGGCCCCACCGCCATCTCGCTGAGCCCCATGGTGGGCACTCTTCGGGATTTGCCGCGACGCTTTAAGTATGTCCCTTATGCACGTCGACTGTGCATGGACGATCGTCCTCAACGAGGCTCGCTTCACAGCTGCGACCGTCATTGCCGCAGCTGTCTTCTATGTGGGCATATGCCTCAGAAGCTGCTCCATGGCCTACACGTTGACGAGGTGGTAATTATATGCGCACAAAAGTGCTTACATCCTTCGAGTACCGGTGGTTCTCATGCAATACATAGTTCGGACTCATCGCAGTCATCTCCGGGATATTGCCTGATTGCCCGACTCGCTATAAAATGTATGTACCCTACACCAGATCGATACTCGTATTTGGCCTGACATGCAGCGCCAGTGCACGTTCCAGAAACTTTCTACAACCAGCTTCGCGTGAGATGCTCTGTCACATCGCGCGCCCGACTGTTCCTCGAGCGTCAGCGACAGCTCATTTCCGCTACGACGACTGGGACTCATCCCACAGTCCAGAGCTTGAGTATTGCAGGTACTGATCGCTGGCCTCGAGTTGATCATTACCTACGCGGTGTTACGCAAATATGCAAACGCAGGGTTCATAGACGATCGTGGGACTCTGGGAGCGTCCCGGAGAGCCAGGGATGAGGTGCGTCAACACCGGTCCGTTCTGTGGATATAGCTCAAATTGAAAAGGCGATGAGGGCACGGTGAAACGGTCATGTACGGGGCTGCCGGAGAAATAATTTACCGATTTAGACACGGAAGTGTGACTGACCGCCCAGGACACTCTGCATGCACGCCTGTGATGTATGTGTTAACGTTCTCATTATCAAGCACGGCGTTCCGGACGCCTGTGACGAGCCGTGTACATTCGGGCATGAACATGTCTTCATTGTCTGAAGCACTGGCTATTGATGAACTAGTGTGATGATACAGATCTATCCTCTTATCGCGACGAGCTGACCAACTAGGCAGGTCTCTTTTCCAGAAGTATGACTTTCTGTAACATTGTGAGTGACACGTCTGTCCTCACTGAAAAACTACGTCAGCAAAGAATGGTGCAAATTCTCTCGTTCTTCAAGAGAAATCGCAATTCTTGCACAGGCGTTCGTACTTCCATTCATCCTGCAGCTTGTCCTTCATCTGGTTGATCTGAACCGAGCATCCCTGACAGAGGTTATCGATTAGAATACTTGGCACTGCCGGCCACGACGCCACAACATTCCTTCGAGAAAGATCCGTTGCATGGTTAGCACACACGAACCCCCTTCTCTGTTTGTATCTCCAGTATATTTGTATTACTCGCTGGTGAGGTACGTTAATACCCATAGCTACGCACACATTCAAAGACATTCTCATGAGAACGGGTGGATCCAAGTATCCAACGGCTCACCGGCGACTTCAGCGGTCAATGAATGCTCGCCGTGATCAACAATGTACCCGGCATCACTGGATTCGTGTCGACTCATCAGGATTCTAGCCACACGGTGATGCATGGAAGCTGCACCATAAATAAACCTCGGCCATACGGGTGGCTCAAAGCGGGTGACTCAGCAAGAAGAACGACTCCACGGAGGTGCAGAGCGAGGCATCAGAAGAGGCGAAGCTGGGATACACACCAGATCGCAAAGTCACCGCTCGGGAACCTAAGGGCCTCCGCGGCTTTTCATTTCGGAAGGAACGGGAGAAGAAGGTCTTCAGTTCGCCGTTCAACTGCTTGTTCCTCCATCATCAACAGTGTACTCGTCCGTGTGAGGCTCGGTCTATCAGCACTGGACGGCTGTCAAATTCTTGTTGCCGATATATTTCCCAGCGACCTCCGGCAACTATCATGCCAGCATCGACCGCGTGAATGCCGCTTCGACTTGCTCGTGACAAGCCACCGGTATCCCGGACGAACGCGCCGGTGTTTACGTGTGCGTCGTCTTCTTTCCGTGCCCTTCGCATGCGGGCGAAGTCCGCAGGCTCGTTATGGGTATGCATGAGTGAACCGGCAACCTACCCGCTGCGCACCGGGAAAGAGCAGCCTGGGTTGCGGCTCCTCTTTCGGCCTTCGCCCTCCCGGGCGTTTCTACCAATACAAGTTTGCGCAGAAGTTCGCGGACCTCGCGTGTCACGCGTGTAGCAGCTGCACTAACCGTATGCGAGCACGGCATCGCAGCTGGAAGCTTCGTGGCGCATACAAAGGGACATATGCGCACAGGGGAGGAAGCCTAGGTCGTGGTTCTGCTGCCGATAGTGCGGTATCCGCGTCAGGCTTGCAGGCATCTGACTCCCAATAGGATCCGCCGGGGTGCGTGTGAGTGCCGCTGAGGAATAAGCACCGTACATGGCCCAATGGGTGGTGCTCATTCGACCGCATTTGTCTGATGTGGCGATAAGCCGTCCAGAATATGTCCTAGTGCGTTAGCACAAGGCCTTGTCGGCGGACGCCGTGCATGCCTGCCAGGGCTGCCGTCAGTTCATCCACCGAATGTCATTGTTTGATTCTGATGGACTACGTTCTGCGAATTGTGTCTCGCTCGGCGTTGTTGGGGTGCCGCAGATGAACAGAGTCTTGAAACTCGAGATGTATGTAATGCCTCTTAGCTTTGACACGACGATGGTAGGGTCCGGCATTCAATATTCCGAGGCAGTGCTAGTGTTCGTCTACATCCCGGCTTTGCAACATGTGCACCTTCGAGGATTCAAGGTTCAGGCCGAACTGCCGGACAACCGAGATGCCGAAGGACGAACTGCGACTTCGTAATTGTCATTTACGTTGCTTGAACCAGTCGCCGGTGTGACGTACAAGCCCAGGTGACAATTCTGCAGCCGTAAGTCACGACGATCAAGCAGGTTCGTGTTCTCGCCTGGGTGCTTTCAATGGGTTTCGTTGGCCTCGCCGGATCAACGTTTACTTCGGTCTTCTAGGTGCAGGTCCGGCAACAAATGGGATCTCTCGCATATCTCACGCTTGGACACCGGCGTGCAGAATGAGAGGTGGCGGTTCTGGGGTCCGGTTGGCGATGTAGCCGCCACGTCCTGACCATTGGGCAATTCATCTCCATGCTGTGAGCTAACGACTAAATTGAGTCTACCAGGATTCTTCATACGCGGCAAGACACGGAGCAGAGCTTCATGGTGTGAAGTTGAACCACTTGAAAGGGGCAAAACAAAGGACAGCTATGCGAGCTTCAAGTTCGGTGGGTGTATTGCTCGCAAAAACCCCCTGTTTACATATTTGACCCTTTCTGCGGTTTGGGAAATTCATGGCAGTCATCAGCACATTTTCGCTCGGGCATAACCTCCTGCTAGTAAAAGCTCCACCAACCTTCGCACGCTCAGGATAGCCTGAGTACCTCTAGGGCAATACAAGGAAGACAAGTTCCGAAATGAATCGTAATCAATTAATCATGAAGTATGCCAAGGCCATCGGTGTACTCAAGTGAACGAGACGGGCAGAATATTTACTAACCATGACGGATGCCGCAGGCTAAGCGACAACTCGAAGGACTTCAATAGGCTGATCATCGTGCACCTTCCTTTTGGAGTGGCATACTTTCCTTTTCTGGATTTGGAGGTCCCTTCACAATCGCTGGATCATCGATCGTCAGGATTCTGTACTTCCATGTCTGAACACCACCTTTTGTGTGTCTTGCACTTACTTCTATCTCTTTGCTTGTCATATTCACCCACCATAAGTATGAGGTCCAGACGCTGAGACTACAGTCTTCACTCAGGATCTGCGCACACCCACAGTTGTCTCTCGGCATTCTCTAGTCATTCTGCATCGCCCTACATAGACGGAGGATGCTTTTCTATCAGGTGCGGAAGGTGCTTTTATGAGTGTTCTGCTCATGCGCCGCAGTCGCGGATCGGCCCTTAGCGGGAGCAAGGACCCCGGTACGCTGAAAACCCGACACTTGACCGCGTAAGTGGTCCGGCCTTTTCATGTGGTCGAATAACTTGCCCCGGGCCAATCACGAGTAAGCGGAAGTAAAAAGGCTTTGGAACTTGATATTGCATTGCTTACCGCGCTACGCAGATAGGACAATGGCTTCTCAGTGACTCTATACATGGAGGCTTCGCTGGTCTAACCAAGTTTAATTATGCGCGTACCTGGCAGCTGTCCGGGCTTGCCGCTGTAACAATGCACACTCTTGGCACGTGGAATCGAGCCTGAGGGTCGCACATTTAATCGCTGATGGGATCGCACCCTTGTCAGAGGCAGCGCACATGCGAGTCCTGTCACGAAGGCTACTCGTTATTCGGCTGCTGCAAACGAAGGGCACGTCGCCTGCCAATGGGCGCCACCGCATCTCGAAAAAAAGTGCAAGAAGGTCCGCCGGTTCATATGACGAGCACGTCAGCTTGTGTGCTCGCGATTGCAGCAGGCAATAGGCATCTGAGTTCCACGCTAGGACAGGACGGCGTTGTCCGCCCCACGTAATGCCGCAGGCAGCCCCGATATGCCGTAGTTGCGAATCGAAGATCAGGTGCGTGCGATGAAATTGCGGACGTCGAGATGCGACGCTGCTCCTTTTGTCGGGTGTACGATCTAAGATGCAGGCGGAAGACGAGGCCGGGCGAAGAGGCCTTCCCTGACTCCCCTGATTCACACCCTCCCACTGTGCCAATCTGCATCTCTCCCTCATCTTCTGTCACCGGCCCACGCCGCACGTTCTGCGACGGAAGCCGCTTGAACGCCAGCCTAGCCTCATCCGCTCATACACCCCGCTACATATACTGCTTGCTCCTCCGTCATGCCTCCTCCCTTGCCCCGCGGACGAGTTTGACACCAGCTCAACCGCCGCCACCCCATCCAAGTGCCGCCGTGACTTCTTCCACAACGCCTTCCTCGTCGAACATCGGGCCCCATGCCATCGTCGCCCCTCTCTATGCCCGTCCTCACCATGCCACTTTCAGTGGATCCAGCGTCCGCAGCTGCACTTCTCAAAATTGGCCTCCTGCTCGTCACGGGCATCTCTGTACACCTGTCTCTGTCGCCGCCAAATCCACCGGCACCGTCAAAGCACATAATCGACCGCAGGACGCTCTTCGAGCGCTGCGTCCGCTGGGTCACCTTCTGCAGCAAGGTTCGTGACGCGTCTTATTCCGATCTTTCCTCGACTATCTTCCGTCAACGCGTCTAACACACCACCCGACTGCGTAGATGATGGTATGGGTCGAAACCTTACTCGACGCGCTCGCGGTCGCTGTTTCCGCCTTCCCCAATCTCCCCCTCGCACCACGCCTCGCCCGTCTTCTCTGCCCGTCCGCGTCCCCTGCTCTCACTGTGCCATCGTCACTACTCATCGCGGGCACGCTCGCCGTGCTCTGCGGGTCCGTCATCCGCCTAGTGTGCTTCCGCACACTCGGGCCGCTGTTCACCTTTGAACTCACAATCAGCCCCGCGCACTCGCTAGTAACGCACGGCCCCTACGCGATCGTGCGGCATCCAAGTTATACAGGCATATACCTCACGCTCCTCGGCTCGAGTGCAGTTGCACTGGCCCCTGGTTCCTGGCTGCACGAGTGCTGGCTGCAGCTTGGCTCGTGCGGCGTTAGCGCGGCATGGAATGTTGCTCTTGCAGTCCCTGTCACACACGCGAACGAGACTGCGGGTGCATTGCTCGATGTGCACCAACAACTACCGACGTGCAGGAGAACGTTCGGTGTAGGCACCTTCCTCGCATGGCTAGTGCTCGGCTTTTGGGCCGTGAAGGTCGCGTACGCGTTGCGGAGCACGAACCGCCGGCTCGCGACGGAGGACAGGGAGCTGCGGCGCGCATTTGGGCCAGCGTGGGAGGCGTACGCGGAACGCGTTCCCTGGCGGCTTATTCCAGGGGTGTGGTGAGCGCGCGCAGATGCGTTGGGGGTCGGCGGTGGTCTGGGGCCGAGCGTGCGGTGATCTTTCTGACTTAGGTGATGCGAGCGCGTTCCGGGCGCGTGAGGTGTAGGACATATTGTACAAGTTTCGCAGACAGACCGGACTGTCCTGTGTTATTAGCCATAGATGACTTTCTCTAGCCACTGTATCCCATGTACTACACGACGATACCCCCCTCCACGAGCTCGCGTTGGTTATGCTCCGTGTTTCTCTAATGAGTACTTGACGTGACCTACGACACGTTTATGTTATGAGCACGTGATTGACTGCTATGATTGAGTTCAAGGCAGATTGACATCCGAAATGAAGTACGAAATATCTCAATCAAAACTTATTTCTTCTTTCCGCCAGCCACAGGTGTCAATCAGACGCGCCCACATGTTACGCGTCTTGGTCACGTGGTCTCGGAGCCTCGGGCAGGGCTCGGGCATCCGGTGCAAGCTCTCTTCTGACCATAACCACCACTACCTCGCTTCCGGAGAACTTTCATGTTCCAAAATCATCTATCCTCGATACGGGGGTTGACGACGCCATCCCGTCGTGTCGCTGTTGAGCGCCACGACCGTACGGCACAACATTGACACACGAGCGCGCATGATGTCGGCATAACTGCCAGGCCCAGGGGCGGAGAGCTCGCGTACAACTGCCTCAGGGTGAGGTGCGTATTGAACCGCGGAATGCCGGGCACGCCGCCTTTCTCTCGTAGTTTTCTCGAAATATGCGCACTCACGCATACTTCTCTGGGGAACGCTGCATCAGCACGCCTACATTCGTCGAAGGCATATGGCCAGGCCATTTACGAAACAGGACCCACCAGGTACGCCGTTGGACATTTGTCCCTTTAATCATGTGGAGTGCTTACGAGAGATCTGTCGGGCTGACACATCTCCTCAAGACTGTACGTGCCTCTCTCGTGCGCTCCATATAGCACTATGTTTTCCCCCGCCGGTCAAGCTCGGAATCGCCGCCTGCCTGGCCAGGAGCCTCGTCGGAACGAGTGCATATAAACGCACTGTATCGCATGGAGCGCATATACGCACCTCGTCCGGCAGTTTTGGCCTCTTCAAGTCCACTACAAATTGCTCAGCGTGGCGCGCCCGCGAGTGCGAGATTCTCTGCCCTGATCCTCCGATGTGCCACCCCTCTCCACATCTCGCTAAGACGCCACAAAGGTGATCTCGATTGGGGCGCGGGCAGCAAATTTGACGCCGCTGTGGACCTCAGCTGGCGCCGGAGCCGATTTGCGATCAATCTGAGCGAGCGGCGGGCGTGCCGCCGGCAGTCCTCGACCGTCTGTACATGCGCCTGAGCACGCCGCTGCGGTCCAGGCTCGAGATCAGGCTGGGTGAGGTTGTGCACCAGGTATGGATACATATCCTGCTTTACGGAGTGTTATGTGTCTACGCCAAGCCACTTACCTCAACGAGGGACACGTTCAAGCCTGCTTTGACACCTGACACCTAGGAGCGCAGGCACTGTCGTCTTGTCAACTATTAGATATGCGTGCAAAGCGGGGTATCAACAATAGTAGTCCCCACTAGCGAGGATGTCTCGGCAGTTGATGATTCTATGGCCGGTCTGTTCAGCTAGGGGCTTATGATGCTCAAGTTGCGACATCAAACATAGATCTTCGCCCCGGTGTTCGCTCTTCGTGGCCAGGTGCGGTCCGAGTTGTTGAACTCGCATTACGCTGCCGAACAAGCCTCACTATTCTGATTGCAGGCGCCAAGATTTGATGCCAGCGAAGCGCCATCCATTTTGACGCGATCTCGTTCGAGGAAGGAGCGTCCGGGTGCAGTTTGCGGCGCAGATCCAGCGCGAAGCAAATCTCGTTCCGATTCGTGATGCAGAGGGCGCGTTACGCGGGACCTCGTGGCCGACGCTGCAACGATGATCAACTGCTCTTTCGCTTCGCCGATGATTTCGGCTTACCAGCCGCATATAACTTATTTGGGGAGGCGGAACGACGGGTCATATGCCCATTCTTTTGCGGGTTGGCCCCGTGTTTGCTCTATCGCGGATGCCGATGCCCTAACTGACGACACAGTCCTGCATCCTCGGAGTACCGGTCTTTCAGGTCATCCCGGGCGTGGATGTATCGCGCAGGTCCGTTTGCACTGCGTGCCAATCAGGCGCTTACCACACTTTTGATCTAGGTGGCCACAACGCTCAAGCTAGTAGTTGTCCTCGATCATCAGAGCTAATCTGCAGATCTTGATACGGATCACTTCTTCGCTAGCACAACGGCATTCCGGGAATTGTGCAGTCAGGAGGCGACGAGCAAGGAGTCTCCGACGAAACGAACACGGATCGCGGCGACTATTCAATGACCAGTAAAGGCGTACATGATCGCCGCATCGCAGTAGTGGGCTCTCGTGGTGGCTCAGTACCGCAGGACCACCCGTCCGACTAGCTTGCCGTTGCTCATATCTTCGAGGACGCTGTGCGAAGAATCAATCCGGTCTTTTGATAGTACCGACAAGGTGGCGTTCATACACACCTATTAATCTCGCTAATCGGCCGCTCTGTGAAGTGGCATCGTACTTTCCCGCGAGCTGCGAGCTCGAGGGCTTCACGGGCCGCCTGCCGGTTACTGCAGAAACCGTACAGTGAGCGTTCTCCAGCAGCCCCTTAATGAAGGCGAACATACCCTGTCATGGACCCAATATATTTGATGCCCTGTTTCACAGATGACTAAAAGCCGCAATGGTGACCGTTGACAGGGCCCAACATACCACGTCAATGATCCTGGCCATCGGAAGCCCAGACACCGTCTGGGCGACACCGACGCATAGCACAGTACCGTGCGGACGCAAATACCATCCTGCTTGCACATACGCCGTGTTCTACCATGAAGCACATTAGTCACGCAATCAATCTCATAACAACCGGCGCTGATTGCATCGCTTACAGAGGCAGTAGTGATCAAAGCGGCGTGTGCTCCTAGTTCGCCGCATGTCGCCTTGACGTCTGCGATGATATCTTTCGACTCTGCAAAGTCAATGTACTTCTCGGCTCCGAGAGACAGACAGAGCTCTCGTTTCCCCTCTCCCGAATCTAAGGCACATGCCATCAAGGCTCCGCGCGCTGTGAGACGCAGATTTGCAGCTTACCGATAGCCAAAACACGAAGGCCCTTTACTACTGCGTACTGAATACCTGATTCCATTCCACGATGAGCTTTCTGCGTACATTGACGACTTCGTGTACCTTACCCAGGTGACCTAACCCACCACCGGCACCGGGTATCACGATCCAGCTGCCAGGAGGGGTATCAAGCTTTGTGAGTGCGTTATATACTGTTACACCCTTCAAGTGGTGTTAGATAATTGCTTCACATATAACATGTCATTTTCCATACCGCGCATAGAATGGGCGCAGCCTCCGCACTGGAAAATCCGTCCGGGATCGGTATAAGATGGTTGACGAATGCGACCTTATCGATCAACGACAGTCAATATGTACAGAATCTAGGCGTGGAGCCATGTCCTACCGTATATTCGGCAAAAGTACCATCGACATGGGCACCGGCGATTTTCCTTGAAGGGCAATCTGCGAACACAACAACACATCCGAACGGGGATAACCAGCATGATGAGGGTCAAGATCATGGATCGTAAATGACCTTCTCACTCTGTTCGTGGCCTCTACGACACATCTCGCAGTGCATGCACGAGTCGATGACGTACTTTATGCCTACTCTGTCGCCGATGTTGACGGGCGAATTGAGCGTATGCGCACCGATAGCGAGGATCCGCCCGACACCTTCGTGGCCGCCTGCGCTTGGAAGTCGTGGTTTGATGGCCCACTCTCCCGCCATAAAGTGTAAATCGCTATGGCAGACGCTGGATCAAGCGACAGATCAAAGTCTGTAACATGTTGCACCAGAACAAGACGAACCCTGTGCATTCGATCTTGATGATGCATTCGCCTGGCTCAAGGTCCGCGACTTGCTTGACTGGATAGTCACTCGTCAATTCTGTCTTGATTCCTACCTCCCGGGTGAGGGCTGCGCGCGTAACTCTGGGCACGGTATTGTTCGACGACATGAAGGGTAGCGGCGAGTCTGTGATGCGAACGTGGGGATTGGAGTTGACGTCCACAAATTCACACCGACTTCAAGCAAGCCGACTACGTCTCATCTCATAGGGTCGGGGCAGAGAATTTCCCGTAGTCATGGGATCCGTCGTCGGAAGGATGAGGTGATACCGTGGTGTATGTGAACGTCGGAACCATACTGGGTGCGAATGCGCCCTTGTGATGAGTTCACATGTTACAAATCGTTGGTATATCCCACTGTGATCGCACAGAAGCAAATGATAGGTGACAGCTCCGTGGGCGCTTGCGATACCGCAATCGTAACTGAGTTTTGTCTATGCGTGGCCTATGTATCTGTGATCGAGAGCTGGAAAATGGGAAATGTGCCCATCTATGAGCACAATAAATGGTCACTGGGACTCTAGGATACTGTTTCGTCATGAGTCCAAGGTATCTCGAACCCTGCTTTAGCACGAATTTAGAGCACAAATTATCAGACCTGTGGGCCGTTGTGAAGAAGATGAATGAGCGCCACTCGAACAAACTTCTGTGACCGCAGCTCGAATTGGGAAAGGCCGACTACAAGCTACAAACACAACTGGCTGGATATCCGTACTGTTTCGATGAGACTCAGAGCCTAAATTGTGTGGACATTGAAGCTTCAAACATAATGCGCTCTGTCGGATAATGAGGGAAACATAGACGTCGCATGCGGAGGACAAATAAGCCTGAAGTGGGTTTCTCGATATCTATTGCATATGTGATGGATGCGATAACAATACTGGCAGAAGGTTTACATAAAATGAGTCCTAACGGCCCAGTCGATATCATGAGATACAGTATGCCAAGAGAGGGAGAATGATTAGAAACAAGGAACTTGCCATACTGGCACGATCACAAATTCGCTTGTAGCAAAGCGGTATTGGTGATCATCAAAATTTGAGGACCGCTCTTCCAATCAGCTTGCCCTTGCTCATGTCCTCGAGTACGCTGCATGACACCAATTAGGTCATAATAGGCCCAATTACGAACTGTAAGGAGCCATAGAATTGAACACGTGCGTACCTACTGATCTCCTCTATCGGACGTTCAACGTAGTGGCACCGCACCTTACCGCGCGCCGCAAGAGCCAGAGCCTCGATCACTGCTTGACGATTTCTGTGGATGACGTCAAGTCAGCGACTGTCATATGAACTCAGGCGCGGATGCAGGCTCACCCTGTCTGCGATGCGATGTATTTTATGCCCTATGTGCAGTCCTGTTAGTGGTGCTCGCTTGTTCAATTCAGGCCCTGAGCACACCATGTCAACAATATGAGCCATGGGTAAGGTCACTGTCTCCGTAACCCCTATGCACAAGGCTGTACCCTGCGGTCGGAGATACCAAGCTGCTTGTGCATATGCCGTGTTCTGTGCCAGAGCCATCAATGTGACAAGTGTGAGACTTGATGAAGTGCACTGACAGAGTCCGCAACGATCAAAGCGGCATGTGCTCCCAGTCCATCACAAATCTTCCGTACGTCCGAGACTACGTCTTGAGACTCCACAAAGTCTATAAACTTCTCCGCGCCAAGGGACAGACAGAAGTCCCGCTTGTCGCCAGAATCTGGGATGGTCGAGTTCCCCGCTGATGATGATTGAGATAAATGGAACTTACCAATGGCGATGACACGCAGGCCCTTGCACAATGCGTATTGAATTCCTGGAGGATCATATTAGAGCGTTATAGGGAGGATTGCCTTCAAGGAATTCACCGAGATGGCCAAGGCCGCCCCCTGCGCCTGGGATGACCAGCCAGCTCCCGGGAGGGATACTGAGCTGTTGCAGCGCGTTATATACAGTGACTCCCTGCAGGCGTGTCAGAATAATGTATCATGATAGAACAAGACGCGTACGGCACAAAGGATTGGTGCTGCTGCTGCTGCGCTGGAGAGGGTGTCCGGAATTGGTATGAGATGATGGATGAAAGTGACCTGACACACGCCATTATTTTCTCAGGGGTAACATAATCTTCCGTGACGTACCATATGTTCAGCGAATGTGCCGTCCACGTCGTATCCTGAAATCGTTCTGGATATGCAGTCTATTAGAAAGACATGTAAGCGAATATGGTCCGTCAGTAAATGGGCGCAGGCTATCATTATATTTCCCTCACGTTGTTCGCAACCTCTCAGGCACAGGTCACATTGCATACATGTATCGATGGCATACTTCACACCGACCCTGTCCCCCACTTTGATTGCGCTGTTCGGTGTATGCATTCCAATAGCGAGGACATGTCCTACGCCTTCATGGCCGCCGACACTGGGAAGTCTGGGTTTGACGTCCCGTTCTCCAGCCATTAGGTGGAGATCACCATGGCATACCCTGGATTTGGCATCAGTGCAAGGGTGACTCAAGCGAGTCTAGCTGGGACTCCATAATGTCGCCCATACCCGGTACATTCGACCTTGACAATGCACTCGCCGGGAGCGAGGTCTGACGGCCGCTTCAAAGGATACTCAGACGTCAACTCTGGTCTGATACCAAGTTCCCGAGTGACTGCAGCTCGTGTAGATCGAGGAATATTCGGAATGATGGAGGGCATGCTGCGAGCGAGCTTGTTTTGTAGGATAGCGATCGAGAGCCCTGCCGGTCCTGATTGCAGAGTTCATCTTTTATACATGAGGTGTACAGGCAAACACCTGCGAAACAGTCGGCTGTATTTGAAGAGCTGACTGAGAGTAAGCTACGAACCACGGTAGTCCAGGTGGATATACAAGCGGTGTGTGAACGGAGCACCAGAAAACAGAATAACGAATGTGCCAGTGTTCCGAAGCCCCGAGTGCCGAAGACTTCATGCGAGAATCATTCACATGATGTTTATTGAACGCCGAAAATGACAGCAAAACCAATGTTGATAGAGTTCTCCTCGCAATGTATACACATCGGCAAAGTAGGGCAGAAGCTCGCGGCAGGAGTCGGCAGTGGTGCAGAGACGGTGTGGCACGAGCGGCCGATCAGAGACGGGCTACTGAGTGTCATTCAGTAGCCCGTGTCACGATCCTCATGAAACAAACGCTTGCTATAATCTTCTCGTCCTCTCGCCGTCATGGTTAGTAGTGAACGATATATCCATCAGAAGGGACTTGTCGTATATATGTCCGGCTTCATGACAAATGCACCAGAACAAGGCGAACCCTGTGCATTCGATCTTGATGATGGCTCAAGGTCGGCGACTTGCTTGACTGGATAGTCACTCGTCAATTCTGCCTTGATTCCTACCTCACGGGTGAGGGCTGCGCGCGTAACCTTTGGCACGGTAATGCTCGACGACATGAAGGGTAGCGATGGTCGTGACGCGGATGTGGGGATTGGAGTTCGCGTCCACGACTTCACGTCGACTACAAGCAAGCCAACTACGTATCATCTCATAGGGTCGGGGCAAAGTTTTCCGTGGTCATGGGATCCGCCAGGAGCATAAAGTGATACCGTGGTTCATGTGAACGTCGAAGCCAAATCGCAGAGGCGAAAGCTCCGTAGGCGCTTGTGAGCCGCCACCGCGGTACTTAATTTTGTCTATGCTAGTGGCACATAACCCGTGATCCCGAGCTAGTGAATGGGAAATGAGCCCATCTGTGAGCACCAGAAATGGACACGGTGGTGCGCACTGGGCACTGGGACTGACAGGATATTATTTTGTCACGAGTTCAGGGCATCTAGCACCCTGCTTCAGCACGAATTATAGAGCATAGTTTTTTAGATCTGTGAGTCGTTGTGAAAAATCGGATAAGCCTAACAAGCACCCCTCGAACATACATCTGTGCCTACAGCTCGAATTGGAGGAAGTGGACTACAAGGTACAAACGTAAAACCGGCATGATAGCCGTACCGTTCGGTGAGACTCAGGCCGAAATGTGTGAACATTGAAGCTTCAATGACAAGTATAAAGCGCTCTGTCGAATGATGAGAGAACCGTAGACGTCGCATGCGGACGTGAAACAAACCCTGAAGTGGGAATCTCGATATCTAGGCAAACAGGATTCGTATGCGATGGTTAAGGCACAGCAGGGATGCAATAATGCATGCTCAAACTTCCTACAAATCGAGTAATGGCTCAGTCGCCACATTATGCCAAGAGAAAAAGTATGGCTAGACACAAGGAGCCTACCTAGCACTCGTGCGATGTGATTCTTCGGAGAACATACCAGCACAACACAAATCCACATGTAACAAGACGGTATTGGTAAGCTGTGGTTGGAGGCGTCAAAATTTGAGGACCGCTCTTCCAATCAGCTTGCCCTTGCTCATGTCTTCAAGTACGCTGCATGACCCCAATTAGATCACAATAGACCCAATGGCGAACTGTAAGGAGTCATAAAAATGAACACATGCGTACCTACTGATCTCCTCTATCGGGCGTTCAACGTAGTGGCACCGGACCTTACCGCGCGCCGCGAGAGCCAGAGCCTCGATCACGGCTTGACGATTCCTGTGGATGACGGTAAGCCGGCGACTGTCATATGAACTCAGGCGCGGATGCAGACTCACCCTGTCTGCGATGCAACATATTTTATGCCCTATGTGCAATCCTGTTAGTGATGTTCGCTTGTTCAATTCAGGCCCTGAGCGCACCATGTCAACAATATGAGCCATGGGTAAGGTCACTGTCTCCGTAACCCCAATGCACAAGGCCGTACCCTGCGGTCGGAGATACCAAGCTGCTTGCACATATGCCATGTTCTGAGCCAGAGTCATCAATATAAGAAATGTGAGACTTGATGAAGTGCACTGACAGAGTCCGCAACGATCAAAGCGGCATGTGCTCCCAGCCCATCACATATTTCCCGTACGTCCGCGACTACGTCCTTAGACTCCACAAAGTCTATAAACTTCTCCGCGCCAAGAGACAGACAAAAGTCCCGCTTGTCGCCAGAATCTGGGATGGATGGTCTCCCCGCTGATCATGATTGAGATAAACGGAGCTTACCAATGGCGATGACCCGCAGACTCTTGCATAATGCGTATTGTATCCCTGAAGGCTCAAGTCAGAGTGAGATGGCGAAGATTGCTATTCAAGGAAATTCACCGAGATGGCCAAGGCCGCCCCCTGCGCCTGGGATGACCAGCCAGCTCCCGGGAGGGATACTGAGCTGTTGCAGCGCGTTATATACAGTGACTCCCTGCAGGCGTGTCAGAATAATGTATCATGATAGAACAAGACGCGTACGGCACAAAGGATTGGTGCTGCTGCTGCGCTGGAGAGGGTGTCCGGAATTGGTATGAGATGCTGGATGAAAGCGACCTAACACGCGCCATTATTTTCTCGAGGATCACATAATTTCCCGTGACGTACCATATGTTCAGTGAATGTGCCGTCCACGTCGTATCCTGAAATCGTTCTGGATATGCAGTCTATCAGACAGTCATGGGACAGTTGAACAAATATTGCCAGTCAGTAACTGCGCGAAGGCTATCATTATATCCTCCTCACGTTGTTCATAGCCTCTGAGGCACAGGTCACATTGCATACACGTGTTGATGGCATACTTCACACCGACTCTGTCCCCCACTTTGATTGCGCTGTTCGGTGTATACATTCCAATAGCGAGCACACGTCCTACGCCTTCATGACCGCCGACACTAGGAAGTCCGGGTTTGATGTCCCGTTCTCCGGCCATTAGGTGGAGATCACTGTGGCATACCCTACATTTGGGATTAGTACAAGGGTGACTCTCGAGGGGCTACCTAGACTCTGTAATGTCGACCATACCCGGTATACTCGACCTTGACAATGCACTCGCCGGGAGCGAGGTCTGATGGCCGCTTCAACGGATACTCAGACGTAAACTCTGGTCTGATACCAAGTTCCCGAGTGACTGCAGCTCGCGTAGACAGAGGGACATTCTCAATGGCGGAGGGCATACTGCGAGTGAGCTTGTTTCGTAAGATAGCGATCTCAGGCGCCGTCCGTCCTGATAGCTGAGTTCAGCTTTTAAACTTGAGGTGTATAGGCAATCACCTGCAAAACAGTCAGCCGTATTTGAAGAGCTGACTGAGAGTAATCACTCACCTCTACGGTAATCCAGGTGGATATAGAAGCGGTATGTGAACTGAACACCAAAAAGGAGAATTCCGAAGCCCCGAGTGCCGAAGACTTCATGCGAGAATCATTCACATGATGTTCGTTGGACGCCGGCCATTAACTGGTGATCTGATACTTTACTGAGACTTCCTTCAGGCTGGAAATGCTTGGCTTTAAGATCATCCAAAAGAGCACATAGATTCTAACGGATACTAAGCAACGCAGAATAAGCGATAGTCTCGTCTGCGCCGCTCATCAACATCTGCAAGATGCCGGAAAGCGGATACAGTACATCCCGAAAGCATGAAACTAGGATATCCACACTTCGCCCGTCATAGCTAACCTATAGCATCATCGACCACTTACACAATAGAGGGTCTGAGTCATGTCGCTTTGATGCTGTTCAACCGCACCACAAGCGGCAGTAACGACACGTTCTCGCTTGATGCGTAGAACTGTACGCAATCAAGATGGACCTGCGAAGGTTCATTAGTAAAGCACATATATATACGCCATTTCAAACCAACATTGAACCTGTGCATATCCGATTGTGTTTGTCAACGCAGCACGCGGAATGACCACATATCACGAACCAGTGATTGAAGTTCGTCTCGAACTTGTCCAAAAAATCCCATCGCTTAGGCATCGCCCGGTCACCCTCGGGGCTGTCTGCCGTGGCACGAGCCTGGTTGGCTGACTTGGTGAAAGAAGCCGTGTAGAGAGCAAATGTCGAGCATGTCACAATCAACTTCGAGTAGGTCTGTTCACAGTCTTTAATATCACATTTGAAGTGCTGCAACACTCCACATGCCTTAAGGAGTTTTGAGCTGGTTAACATGCATTCTTTGAGACAGGTGTCCAAAAAGTCGACGTGGTCTCGCAGAAGCTGATCGACTGTCTCGACCTTGCCGGCCTTGAGTTTCTCTTCCAGCTTACGCCAGTTGGGTTCGAGCACCTCGAATGTGCAAAATGCCAGTACCTGTTGAACAAACGCGAGCATGCGTGTACGAAGGAGGAACACGCGCTTGCGCCAGTTCTCGAAATCAGTATGCCAGTCATTGGCCGGTGTCGATGCCGGCGACGAAGCGCGACTCGTAGGTGGACGTGTCGAACGGCGCCAAGGCGATGTCTTGTGTTCGATCCACATGGATGAGAGAGATTGCTCGACGTGTTTGAGATGGAGCAGAAAGCGGAAGATGAGCTGATATCGGAGAATGGTCCTGCGCGAAATGACAAGCGATAGCGGAAATTTGACGTTGTAGTCCAGCGCCAGCGCGTCAATAGCTGTTGCAGAGACATTAGCGTTACACGCTGTGCGCAACCTCAGATTCTTACCCAGCAATTGTTTCTTGTCGTCCTTTTCCTTCTCTCGTTCTTTCTTCGACTCCTCATATGCTTGGCCTCTGTCACCGTCCTCCCCACCAATCACGCCGTTAACCGTCACAACCTTCAACAGCCACTCGTATAATCCGCTGCTGGCCATAGTGACACGCACATCTTCCCGGAACATCGCATCTTCACCTTGCGTATCCGTGTTAAGCGCGAGATCCAGAAGGCTCTGTAGCTTCACGAGCGACGCGGACTTGGCCTGTTTGCGCAGCTCAGACTGCGATAGGTCAAGCAAGTGGGTGAGGAATGATGATTGCGAGAGGAAAAAGAAGCGCTTGAGAGAACGAAGGCGAGGCATGAGCTGTTGGTCTCGCAGGAGTAGTTGGAGTAAAGTGCGATTTGCATGCGCATAAGCCTCGTCAATAGACTTGTAAAATCTAGACCGGGTTTGGTGAGTCGAATATACTTTGCATTGGGTAGTACCCGTGCTACGTACTTGTCGTCTTCCATAGAAAACTCCTCGTCGTCCGTTGAATCTGGATCCCGACTGATCTCGATACCACATTCCCGGATAACATTCAAATACTTCCCAGCCAGTAACACCTTCTTTTTCCATCGCTCCAAAGGCGGAGGGATGCAGGCACCTCCAGGCAAGCGACCATCGACTGTACGTGGTGAAGGCACGCCTGCCTGATGTTGCTTTGATGAACCACCAACGGCTGTTCCGTCACGAAGCTAAAGCATCGTGCCATGAGTGCGATTGCAACTCGTCGAATACACTGATCCTGTACCGTATAACGCCTTTCCCAGTACTCGTCGACATAGTCCATCTCTAGTGTACCTCGGTCGATGAACTTGCTCTCCTTCACGCACAACTCCTCGTAGGGGTCGACCAAGCGTCCCGTGCGTATCCATACTTGCACCATCTCCACGTAAGGCTTGCCTGTAGCCCGCGAAAGCGCACCATATAGCGCGCGCGCTGCAGGGTCGCCAGACATGTTCTGCATCCGCTCATGTAGGATTGCAAGCACCTCACCCCCCTTGACGATGCCGCTTGCGCTGTCGTCCACACCGAGCGTGGAGCCCTTATTGATATCGGACAAGACGGCTTTGAGCTTCGCACCCCCGAGACCAAGCGCCTCATTCCGTGCTTCCTCCTCGGGATCCGGTGTGCTATCCGAGTCAGAGTCCGACATCGCGGCCGAAGGGTCGTCCGCAGTGGCAAGCTCCGTAATTAGCAAATAGAGCAAGGAAAGCGTGTGAAGCGTAGGGTGCACGTAGAACCACAATTTCTGTAGCGTGAACTGCGGCGATGTGCTGAAGGCATGCTCAAGTTGTGAAAGCAATGTTTGGTAGTCCTGTCATGCTGTGAGCCGTTTTATAAGCATACGCAGATACAAGCAACGTGACAAGACCTTCAGCATGTCGCGCATCGCCGCACATAGCGCGTGGTTCACAAGGCCGAAGTCGAGGTGGCTGCGGAGCTCAATGAACGAAGTGATAGCAGTGTAGTACGTGGCCAGGGGCAGGATTCGTTCCACCAAATCGCGCAACGATGGATCTGATATCACAACGTAAGAGCGACTGTATGCGCAGGTCGTGTAAACAGCCTACCAAGAGATGGTGACACGACAAAGCGAACACCCTGTAGAGGATCGTCGTCCTCAGGTGAATGATCAGGATGATAAGTGATGTGCGTTCCTTCGATCCCCTATTAGATTTGCTTATTTGAATTGATTTATTCGTGGCTGCCACATTTTCACCTACCATCAATACGAAGAGAAGGTCTTCTAGGATGAGAGCCTCCTGTATCTCCACCGGAACGCCATCCAGGGTGTCTCGTGCTTTCCCCTTTCCCTTTGACCTGTCCTTAGGGACCCCAACTCCGGAAGCAACGCGCGAATTCAGCGGTGCGCGAACGAACGAGGTCTCAGCTATGAAAGACGGCTCATCATATCCTCCTGGGCGGATACGATTAGTCTTCCGATCACCCCAGTGCATCACCTTTGACAGGAACATACCTCTGTCGACGCTGCCCCGCGAAGAAGGGACACGAGCTCCGGATTCATCACCGAGACCGTCCTCGAGATATTGGCGCGTGCGCCGAACGGACGCGATTGTTCCAGTTACCTGTAGCTAGAATTGGTATGTTGTGATATGATTCATGAAAGCTCTACAAGCCTTGGTGTATTCTCGAGTAGACAACCCCAGATTCTTCTTCCGCCCATGCGTCCGAGGCGTATATGGATCCATGAAGACCAAACAGGTGAACGAGCTTCTCCCAGCAAAATTTGATCTATTTGAGACGTGTTTCTCCGCTGTACGAGCTAGTATGAGAGCACAAGCGAGTGGCTGAGGGGTGTTAACTGATACTAAAAGCACTGAGTGCTGAAGCTGAAGCTTGAAGGTGAATTGGGCGCTTCTTGGACGCGTTGAAGCTCGCACGTGACTAAATGCCTCTTTTGGCCAGACTTTTTGCCGCCGGGCTTCGGACTGAAGCCACCGCACCTACTTTGACCTCCCGTCGCTGCCGACGGTAAAAGGCCAGCAATTGGCATTGCTGAACCAAGATGCGCGATGCGAACGTCTACAGTCTCAAGCGGGCAATGCCCCGCATGGTGAGTCTTGTCACCTCCTTTTCGAGTTCCGAATTGCTATATTTTCCCTCAGAGCTGGCACCCGCGCAACTTGTACAACCTCTGGCGGCGCTCCTTAGGCGCAAAGGTCGAGGACACCGTATTCACGCGGACCAACAGGAGTCTCTACCAGCAGCGCTGGGTGTCCAAGGCGCTCCTCCGCGCGTACCACGGCGACTACATCAATGAGAAGATATTCAAGCGGTGGTACCTGCCCCAGACACTCCCGGACGTGCGCGAGACCCTGTCAAACACCTCTTCTTCCACGGAGTCGGTGAACAAATGGGCGTTACGAGAAGACGCGGCGCAGAAGGAAGCAAAGCGGCTACAGAACGAGCGGGAGAAGGGCCTCGCTCCAGTGGGCAGCTTGATGTTCCGCGAGGTCGAGAGGCGGATCGACGTGCTGCTATTCCGGGCATGCTTCGCGCATAGCGTATATGAAGCGCGGAGAATGGTCGTGCACGGGGACGTGCTACTCAATGGCAAGAAGGTACGTGTGACGCTGTGTGCCTCCGTCATCACTTTTCTTACGTGGAGATGCATGAACAGCACACGAACCCAAATACTAGACTGGCGCCAGGTGACATGTTCTCTGTGGACCCAAAAGCGATCCGCTTCCTCCAAGCCAATGCAGCACAAACAGCTGAGTCCGAGTCAAGTGAAGAAACGCCAGAGGACGAGTCTGCGGCCGAGACGGCGGAGGAGGATTCGAGAGTAGTGAGGATAGAGTCTTCGGAAGACGCGGACGGAGAAGCCAGCCCAGCTTCCTCTAAATCCAACTCATCAAAACCCTCGACACCATTGCCGAAGTGGGCCAAACCCGGCAGCGGCGTGACACCCTTCCACCTCCCGCCTTACGCTTCACCCTTCCTGTTTATCCCCGCCTACCTCGAGCCGTCCTTTGCAACATGCTCTGCCGTCTACGTGCGGCATCCGACTGCCCGGCCAGGCTACTCTGAGATACCCACGCCGTACGACGCGGACGGTGAGATCGTGCGCGCGGCCTGGGAGTGGTACACACGCGTGCGCCCGCGAATGCGGAGCAAGAGCCAGCTTGCACGGATGCCGGAAAATAGGCAGTAGTGGTACTGCGTCGAAAATGCTGTCCATGCTTGGTAGTCGTGCTCATCTTTAGCATATCTCATATATTGCTTGATCCCAGCTCTTGCTCGGAGAACTTCAGTTACAGCCTAGAGGGTGTGTTCACCTGGAGGTCACCAGCGGGTCCTTTAGGTGAGAAGGTCCAGATAAGTCTTTGGTAGGTTCTGTGTAGAGTATGTGCATGCAGGTTGCCCACTATTTAGCGACTCACTGGAGAGTGTGATTGATCCTGTGTCTGCTCACATGGCAATCGGATCGATGATACAGCAGCTTCGCAATCATCGTACACATTGAAATATTGATTACAAGGGTGGAACCGACTGTTCCGAAGCATTCTTCCTTCATTGCTTCTCATAACGCGGATTTGGAGACGACTTTCGCATGAGATATATATAATTCTACCCATGAGCTGAAAATGGTATCTACACCGCGTTCCAGACCCGGAGGGCTGCCGTATTTGAGTCGCCCGGGGTAGCCGGGACAAGGCGCCTTGAACAGCTTTGAACCCGCCTCCTCTCCTTACTCATACGTTTCTTTCGCTGCGTCGACCGTCTGCTTTCTCGCTCCATCCTAATTGTATCATTCAAGTACGACCTTTTTATTGAGCTTCTCCATCTCTCGTCTTGCAGTGAGAGCCTCGCGCTCTGTACAAATTCTTACGTTCTCCGAGTCACGACAACCTGCACCGCCAGCACCCCTTCGCTGCCCACGAACCTCGCATAATGTCTACGGCTTCCACCGCTGCCATGTCCCCAGAAACCTGGCGGCGTGTGCCTGCCACGGCTGCAGCCCTTTTCGGCATCACGATCCCCTACCGTCCGCCTAGCAACCGCATTGGCGCGTTCTTCTGGCGGAAGCGCATGTTGTTCGAAACCACGACAGGCCTATGCCTGCTTGAGTCGTGGGAGAAGACGCTCATGCGTGCGTTGTATGCCTCTGGCCTGCAGAAAACGGTCTAACGACACCGCAACCTAACATGACAGTCTTCCTTATCTATTCAATCCTGACCCTTGCCATCACGGGCGTGTACAAGTACGCTCCACAGTCCGCCGTATACGTCACGCAGCGGACGGCCTACTACTTCCTCGGCCATGAGCCGGAGCACAGCGCCACTGCCCCGGTCGTGGATTGGACTGTGCACAATCTCACAGGAGAACTGTAGGAGAACCCCCGCGCCCTAAGGTCGGAGGCTGTTGGTGCGTCGGAGATGCTTTAATGTCTCGCTGTGGTGTGCTAATCTAGGCGCGAACAGGTACATTTTGATCAATACATGTATATGTTCGCTTGTTGTCAGCATCAGGATCTCTACTTACTATCTAGCACGGCATGTATGTCGTCTGCTTCCAGCTATTTCCGTTTATTTATCAATCGCTGTCCACGGATTGACTTCCCGAAAATTGCGCGACGAGTTGAAATACGCTCCACAAGGGAGAAGGTGAGTGACCAGCGGTTATTATCGTGTAAATGTACTAGTTATAGCCGCCGGGCCCCAGAATGCGCATGAGCCTTGGCGGTAAGCGCAGCACATCCTTATATACAGGCTGGAGACGATCGCCGTCTGCGAGACTAACGGTGCCCCTATATTCCAGAGTGTCATTACTTTGCATCATCGGGCCGATATTTTCGGCCCCCATCCCGTATCACGGAGCGCACTTTACACTTTACACTTTGCCAGTTTCTACAAGTTTTAGATCCAGGCACTCCAAGTATCCCGCATGATTGTTTGGACCGTCGATGAAGTCGAGCATGACACAAGCATAGCTGCTCGCCGATGTACCGTACAATGCCATTTTAGTAGTCGGATACCCTGAGGAAGCGCAAACACTTCGAATTCTCCTGATCAGCAATGGAGTATATGTACTTTCCTTCCAATGTCGCATGTCAGTGATTTCCGCTCTGTAGAAGATAAGTCGTCTGTATGCCGTCGACCTTGGCCGGCGTTAGACGCGGGGTTGCCGTCCGCGCCGCGTTGTGCCGCAGCGAACACCCCGCCAAGCTCGCTTGCAGGCCCAGATGATTTGATCTTCCTGCCAATCACAGTCCGTGCCTGTCGTTATTGGTGAACGTGAACCGCAGTATATCCACGGTTCGTACGTAGAAGGACGCTAAAAGATAGTGAAAAGGAACCCCAACGGCGCGCCAGCAGATTCGCCATGTCTCCCCACCACGTCTCCTCGATCCACTATCTCGAGTTTGCGTCCGCCGCCGACCGCCCTCTCCGCAACGAAAAGCTGTCTTTCAGTCCACCTGCCTCGTCGCGCCCTGAGCAGCCGCCGCAGTCAATGTCGCCCCCTCACACAGCCATGTCGTACGCGGAGTGGAAACGCGAACCCAGCACATTCGACGTGTTCTTCGGGCTCGCCCTGCCGTACCGTCCGCCAGGCAATGCTTTCGGCAGGTTTTTCTGGCGGTGGCGCGTGTGGCTCGAGACGACGTTCGCGCTGTCGATGATGCAGCCCTGGGAGAAGGTTTTCGTCGGTACGTCTCAAGTTTTTTCCCGCCGCGACGTGTTCCTGACTATTGTTGCAGTGGTTGTCGGCTACGTGCTGTTCGTGTTGCTGCTTGCGGGTGTCTGGCTCTACCTCCCGCAGCACTTTGCGTACGTGCATGGCCGCACGATGTACTACCTCCTGGGGAATGAGGCTGGCTCGACGTCGACGTGGCCATGGAGCGCAGGATGGAGCTGGGCGGGCAATGCGACTGCGACGAGTCCTGCAGAACTCGTGTTGAGCTTGCGCGAGGTCTGACGTAGGAGCGTCTGCAGGGCCAGTACGGTTAAGGGCGCGTCAATATACCTGTGAGTTGTTGCTAGATACTTTTTTTTCCAATTATCTGTTTCGTCCCTTGACGCCATGATTTGAGTTAGGCAAGTGCCTCGGCACGATACCCTTGTGCAAAAACTGCGACGTTTGCGCGTGCAGACATCGTACCTGATGCTCCCCTTTCCCGCTCCATTACTGGCCGAATCCATCTGCCCACCCCCAGACTCTCGCCCATACTGGGGAACAGCTGGCGTATATAACAGGCTCGAGTACAAGTACATCAGTTTTAGTCGTCTTTTTTCCGTTCCGCTTGTGTGTATCACTGGACATTGAACTTTCTCTTTTTCAAGGCATCTGTGCGAGTTTGTTTTTCTATCTCATGATACTACACGAATTGCAATGCAATGCTAATGCCCATGACAATCCCTTGCCGGTTGGGATATTTGCGCGAGGGTCGCCGACGTGAAATTAGCGCTGATCATGCTGACCCTATATGGAAGGCCTCTTGCTCGATATGGGGAGAGGTCTTGTCTTCAGCTGTACTTCGTCTATCCTCGTCTTATGATGTCATGTTGGGTTCTGTCATGTCACTGTCACGCCTGTCCTCGTACATTTATAAGGGCGTGCGCCCACCGCGACCCTCGATTCGCTTCTTTCCCCTATACTGCACTTACACCACCTTGCCGGTGACCGAGAAGCCATGGCGTAGAAGCGTACATACATCCTATCTCTTACAGCCACTCAAATGCTTAATCGTACCTCGAGGGAAAGCCCTACCCATAACTCGGCGCGTGCGAGAGTCTCGTGCGAGGCATGATACGTGATCGAGTAAGCCCGGATTTCCCGGCGCTATCGTCCTCCTTGCCCTTCGACCACGACGAGCAATGCGGCCGTCAGCAACAGCACTCGCACTGTCCTTGTTTTGCGTGCATGGCTATGCGTTCCAACTTCCCTTCACCATCCCCTTCCTGTCCAATACACCCCAGAACCCCCTGTCGACCGCATTCCTCCCCGTAGCAGCGCCTCCGAACAAGGTCGCCATCATTGGTGCAGGCGCAGGGGGTTCCTCTGCGGCGTTCTGGATAGCGAAGGCGAAGGAACGATTTGGGCTGGACGTGGAGGTAGACGTCTTTGAGAGAAATGATTACATTGGCGGTCGTGCGTGCGGTCTTATTCTCGTACGGGCGATCCATACTGAGAAGGATTCTGGCCAGGCAGCACGGTTGTGTACCCTTACAACGATACCGAGCTCGAGCCCATCGAGCTTGGTGCCTCCATCTTTGTGCGGATCAACAAGAACCTTTGGCGTGCGACGGAGGAATTTGGTCTCGAGAGGATCAGCTTTGGCGACGACGGCGATGTGATGGGGCTCTGGGACGGGAAAGATGTCATCCTTACTGTGTGTACAGTACGCTGTACTGCCCTCCCCGTTGCTGATATATACTGCAGACGGGCGGTGGCTATGGCGGCTGGTGGGACACACTCAAAATCATCTGGCGGTACGGCCTGCAAGCACCCCGACGCACTGAGGCACTGGTGAAGACCATGGCAGACAAGTTCCTGTATCTCTATGGGTCGTCCGCACCGCGCTTCGACAACCTGACTGGATTGGCGGACACGCTGGACTGGACGCCAGTGATCGCACAGACCGCGGCCGAGTACCTTGAGGCTCAGGGCGTCGACCGCCGATTCACGCATGAGCTCGTGGACGCGGCGACGCGAGTGAACTACGGGCAGAATGTCGACTCGATCCATGCGCTCGAGGGCCTGTGCTCGCTCGCTGCGACGGACGCGTCAAGCGTCAAGGGGGGCAACTTCCGCATCTTCGAGGAGTTCCTGCGGCGGAGCAACGCGTCGGTGCACCTGAACACGAACGTGCTCTCGCTGTCGCATGATGAAGCCAGTGGTGCATGGCTGCTGAGCACGTCCATGACGCGCAGCGCGCTTGCCTACCGTGCCGTCATCGTCGCGGCACCGCTGCACAGCAGCTCGCTGGCGCTGGCGCCGGAGACGCTCCTCGCACCTGTCCCCGAGCAGCCGTACGTGCACCTGCATGTCACGCTGTTGAGCACGCCTAGTCCCACGCCGAATGCGACATACTTCGGGCTGGGCGCGGGGAAGGCACCGACGGAGATGCTGACGACGTACCAGGGCGTGCGCCAGGGCACGACGGAGGAGCCCGAGTTCAACTCCATGACATACCACGGGAAGGTGCAGAGAGCGACCGGCGAGAATTGGGAGGGCGCCGACGGGGATGAGTGGGTAGTCAAGATCTTCTCGAAGAAGAGAATATCAGACGAATGGTTGGCGAACATGTTCGGCAAGGTGGGGTGGGTGTTGCGCAAGGAGGTACGTTCATTCACCACTGCGCTTCCTGGGCCTTGTGCTGATGGGTTCTATCTGCTCGAAGTGGGACGCGTACCCGGTCCTTCCGCCCACCACGTCCTTCCCCCCTGTGAAGCTGGCTAAAGGCCTGTACTATGTGAATGCATTTGAGCCGTACGTTTAGTTTCTCGCGCAGGATACCGTACACGGTGCTGACACAGCTGTCACACCAGATTCATCTCGACGATGGAGACAGAGACGATTTCAGCGCGCAATATTGTTGATTTGCTTTTGCGTGATGAGTTTAACGCCGCTATCTGCCCTCAGAAGGCAGAAGACGCAGAGGAGACGCCGCTCACTGAAAGCGCCGATTTTGTTCTCGGATGGGACTGTTGATCATGGTGACGAACTTTCGGCTACGTCGGTTTGGTCATCGGAAGTAATGTAGTCATGTCGTGTCCCGGATTTAATGGACTGATAATATCAATTGTATACCTCAAATACATTGCAGATCTTTGCCGTTTGCGGGGTTGCTCCGTTCGTGGTAACATATTAGGATGAGTTGTGTGAGATTGTATCTCTAAGTACACAAGGCAGAAAGGTACAAGTAGAACACCCGGGGTAGGATATGATCCTACAGTTCTGGCGCAACTAACAGAACGATTCTCATGAGTTTGCTTGAGCCGACTGAGCCGCCTGTTGGGCAAGCAGTCGTCTTCACAGATGTATTAGCGGGATTTCTTGTATGGCATCACTAAGAGGTACTCACTGTCGGGCAGCCAAGATCATCTGCGCCTTGCGCTCGCGCAAGCTCGCCTCCCGCTTCTCGGCGCTCTCCTCCCACACCGCCACGCCGCCGACCTCCTCGGGCGCCAACACCGAGACGCCGGACGCCGCGGCGGCGCGCTCCTGTAGGTTGTAGCGTGTGATGAGGTTGTCGCCTTTGGGCTTTGCGCCGCTGGTGGTCGCGTTTACAGAGTTTAGTGGGCGGCTGGCGGACGCTGGTGCTGGGTCAATCGCGCGGGGGTAGATCGTGTAATAAGCGGGCGGCGGCTACCGAACATTCATTGAATGAGGAGGATGGTACCAGAGGTAGTGCTCGGGTGCGTACCGCTGGCAGGAAGCCGCGCTCGAGGATGGTAGTCGACGTCTGCTGTACGCTTCCGGTGCGCAAGAGGTCATAGCGGATGTTATCACTGTGGAGGGGCTATATGTCAAACAAGGAGGCGACGGCGGGTGCCCGGAAGTACCTACCTCGGGATGTCTGGAAACATGTTGTGTACTGTGTCTACCTGCATGCAGTACAGTCACTTGGCTGCACTTATCGGGGTCGAGGTACCTACCATGTCCGTTGTGACGTTCTTTGGTCTGAAGCCGAGTACACGGGCTGGCGAAGGCGTGTTCGGGGCATCCTTACCTGCGATGTGTATAGCATTGTGCGCGTCAGAGTGCGTCCCGAGGCGAGGGGAGGCCGTACCCACCAGTGGTTGCCCAGCGCACGATGAAGACCACGACGGCAACGGCGACAATAACGTTGACGACTTCGCCCATTGATGGGAAGATTCAATGTAGGACGGGATGAATATATGACAAGGCCTTGCGTGTGGAACGGGAACGGATTGGAATGAGGTCGGCCTCGGGGACATTTCTCGCGGATTTGTGCAGATAACCCATGTTTGGACTTGCATTGCCGAGCGAGTCAAAAATGGCCAGATCTCGATTCGGTGCGGACCACCGCACTCACCTCAGTGCACCCACCACCGTCTGCTTGCTTTCGAAACGTAATCCTTCTCGACGCTCCTTTACTTTCAGTTTTCACCTGTGAATGTAACTGGCTTTGAACTGCCCTCGAAATGGACGTAGAAACCCTTTCTCAGTCGCAAAGAGAGGCTGTGAGCCAGCTGCAGGCGTTAATGAACGGCGCCGACGCCGACGTCGCAGTCGATGTGCTAGAGAGTGTAGACTGGGATGTTCAGGTATGTTGGCAGCTGTTCATGTGTGCATATTGCATTGAGTACTACTCGAGAATATTCTCGGAGCTCGTCTGCTCCCCTGGCTTCACCGACTGTACTCTACGTGCGTGGCGGCTTGCTGTACGAGGCGCGTATCTGCCATGCTTCGGACAGCATGTCTTCGTGTACATGTAACCTATGTTACTGGCGTGCGTGTATTACACGCTCCAGCGCCTTGCTTGACCGTGTGCGCGCATTGTGAAAGCCCGACCATGCTATCTGTATGAATTGCATCCCTCCTTCAAATGGCTGGGAATTTGATCAGGTCGTGTGCACTTTTAACAATCCTGTGCTCAGTTGCATACTTTTCGACCGGTAGGAGACGATATAGGGAAATATCGTATGACTATCCGTGTACATTCGTCTAACCGTACCATTTTTGGCGATGTCTGGTCGCACGTTGGAGGGCAGTTATACCGATACTCAGCACGGGCCTTAGCCGAGTCCAGACATAAAGACATGGTTTTTTTCGCTGGACATAGTCTTCCCTTGCTCTACCTTCCAGTGCTCACTGTACATTCCCGTACTAAGCTGCCTATTACAGAGAGCGGCAAACATGATATTAGACACCGGAGTACCAGAGGCTGCCTCTGCTACGACGACAAATACCCGTATGGAAAGCTTCGAGATTGACGATTCAGAGCAACAGGGTCTCCTCCGACCCAACAACAGTGGCCGTCAGTTCAGACCTGTGGTTAGTTCAAATCGCAAATCACATTTGCCCTGGCGCTGACAGAACGAATGTGTAAAGAATGCTCAACAGTCAAACGCGGTCACTGTTCGCCCTCTACGTGCTATTATCGCTTTCTTCGCTCTGCCGTTTCGCCTCATCACTTCCGTTCTCCGTTTCGTCTTCCGCCTCCTGCGGATCCCAATCCCGCAGTTTGTACCTTTCACCTGGTCCAACCTCACGTATCGTCCTCTCGGCTCGAGTTCCGGCCATGAAGCGAGAGCCATGGACCCCAAGAGCGTTGCCGAGCGCTGGGTCCGTGCCCTAGAGGAGGAAACGGGTGCTGTCTGCATTAGCCGCAGTGGACGCCGCGGAGATAGCGTGTCCTCCTCGAATGGGCATGGTATCTCGTCTGGCGCCGATGTCGCAGGCCCCTCGGTTCTCACGTCTCGCTCGGGCGCGCACGACGCAAGCGCAGACGCCGACTCGGGTTCCAAGAGGCTGCCCGGCTTCTTTCTGGGCAGCTATGAACATTTTGCGCGTATGTGCGAGAAGGAGGCCAAGGTTGGCTGCATTATCATCGTTAGTGATGAGCACGATGACGTTGCTGAGTTCAAGAGGTGTGTACGTTGCTCATACCTTGTGAAGACTATAAACTCAAGCCTTTGGGTGGTTAGGAGCACACTGACAGATCCTACCTTTGTGAAGCTGATCCAAGAAAACGATATGCTGGTCTGGGGCGGTGACATCAGAGACAAGGATGCATGGAGTGGTAAGTACACATGTCCCTCTATGCCGTTCATCTGGATGCTCACACACATACGCTCCTAGCTGCACAGAAGCTCCAAACGACAACGTATCCTTTCGTAGCTTTCATCGCCCTGCAGCCTCGACGGAGCGCTGCTTCTGGCACGTCTTCCACGCCGACGCTCACCATTCTCTCTCGACACCAGGGTCCCTCCATTCCCTCTACAACTGCGCCTACGGCCGCTCAGACTCTGGTCACACATTTGAACGAGCAGATCTTCCCTCGCGTCAAGCCATTCCTCGCGCGCATCCATGCACAGACCGCCGAGCGTGAGCGTGAGCGAGCGCTCCGTGCGGAGCAGGACCGCGCATTCGAGGAAAGCCGAAGGCGTGACAAGGAGCGCGTCGAGCGCCGCATGAAGGAGGAGCGTGAGGCGGAGGAAGAGCGCCTGCGTCATGCGCAAGCTGAGGAGCGTGCGAAGCAGGACGCGCATCGGTTAGAGGAAGTACGCAAGGACTGGGAGGCGCGCAGGATGGTATGGCGTCGGTACGAGAGGAAGGCGCTCGTCATGCGCGAACCCAGGCCGGGTGGCGAGGCAGGGCGGGGCAGGACGATGCGGGTCGGTCTGCGGATGCCTGATGGCCGGCGCATAGTGCGTTTCTTTGGGGAGGCGGACTCGATGACGGCGCTCTACGCATATGTCGACTCGCAGTTCATTCCGGCCGAACTCTCGCAGGCCAGCGACCCGAAGGAACCGCCGAGCGGACTCGCACCGGGGGAAGAGGGCCTGGCGGAGGAAATTGCGGCGTCTGATCGGTCGCCGTCGCAATGGTGGGGCTTCCAGCTCATGCTGGCGTATCCGCGGAAGGAGATCTCTTGGGAGCCGGCGCGCAAGCTTGGGGATATTGAGGCGCTAAAGAACGGAGGCGGCCAGCTTGTGGTCGAGATGGTCGCGAATGCTAGTGCTGCGAAGGGTAAGCAGAAACAGACCGAGGTTGATGATGAGGATGGGTATGAGACCGAAGAGGACTAGGCGAGTATGGCAAACGGACAGTGGAGTTCTATGGTTATATATTGGATTGGATGTGTCCTAGAACGGATAGTATACGACGATAGTATAATCCTAATGCTCCAGACTTCATGGCCAGTTCTTTAAGCTGTCTATCCGTATATGCACATAGTTCATTAGCTTGCCAGGCAACGTCTGCAAGGCTGGTAGAGACAGTAAATCTGGGTACTAAGTTATGACGGTGACTGCGCGAGCGCGTCGCGTCACACCCACTTGATTGTGACAACCGCGACCAAGTCGCGTGATCGTGACGCTCCTTATATCGGCCATCTAACGTCTTGGATAGCACCAACTTCGTGACAAGTTTTCGTTGTCGTTCAAAGTCGGATTCGCTTTCTTCACGGCGCTCTTGTGACTGCAAATGAATATTGTGGTCGGGAATGACATAGATATTAGTCGACGACAGCCTCCTAATTTCGGCGGCGCTGCGACGATGTCAGCCTCTAGGTGTACGGCCAGTCGCCTTCAGAAGGGCATCGTATCAGGGATGTGATCTTTGCTTTCCGTATCCTGCCGGGCTCGACGGCGGTGCTCCAACATGGGCCTGAAGAAGTCACTGACGCGTACTTTCACCTTCCGCTCGCGGACCGAGAAGCCTCAGGCAGTTACTGCACCTACGGTATCGGAGCCGTCAGAGAAAGTGTTCGTGGAATACATTGAGAAAATTCTAGCTTCTGAGCCGCAGATCGCGACACCCGTGCTGCAACTTCCTGATCTCGGAGACCTGGTGAGTCCATTCCCTCGTTGCCGGGCTTTGATCTAGTCAATTAAGGCCGGTAAGACCTTTGGCAGCATTAATCTCGCCCAGTACCACTCGGAGGTCTCTCCTAGAACTCTCACTTTATCTCCCGAAAGTAGCAGACACGACCTGCCTATCGCCCCTGCTTGCAGCACTATATTGCGCACGCCTTCATCATCGCCCTCGTCACCATCATGTCTCGACTCTTCACCCAGTCTCAAAATTAGTCTCGATGACTTCATATTGCTCAGGCAGCTCGGGAAAGGAGGACAGGGCAGAGTCGTACTTGTCAAACACGTCATCACAGGAGCCGGATATGCACTCAAGATCATAAAGAAGAACAATGGCCCTCTGAATTCGTCTCGGCGTGTCTTTGAGGAAATGGATATCATCAGACGCTCTGCTCTGGCAGATGAGCCGTGGTTTGTCGGCCTTCGTGGATCTTTCCACGATAGCGATCACTTCTTCCTACTCACGGTGAGCATAACCGAATATTATACGTAGAATGGATCTGAGTTATTCAATTGATAGGAATATGCGCCTAAGGGTGATCTGAACATGCAAATGGCTCGCGGAAAAATGATACCACCCGACCTTGTACTACACTACAGCGCGGAGATTGTGAGTACCCAGCAGCTTGGGTGACATGCTTCATTACTGACGTCGACATTGGCGAATACAGATACAAATACTCACGGTGTTGCATGATTCATATCATATTATCCACCGTGATTTCAAGCCCGAGAACCTGCTTATCTCTAGCACGGGACACCTCATTCTCGCCGACTTCGGCATATCTAGGCTGTTCCGCCTTACACAGTCGGACCTGCAGCGCCCGTGGGCTTCCTCATGTCAGTCAACGACTGATGAGACAGTCGGCCGAGATACTTCCGACGCGGAGCGAAGGCTCGAACGGGAGCGCCTCCAAGTTACGCGCAAGATCTGCGGGAGCCCCGGCTACATGGCTCCAGAGCTGTTCACCGGCCCGTCGTACTCGTACCAGGTCGATGTATGGGCTGCAGGCGTGATGCTGTACAAGATGATGGTTGGCAAAGTACGTCCTGGCGGGCAATGTCGCACCTCTTCTCATGTGCTTCGCAGCTGCCGTTCGGGCTGGACCGCAAGCAGAGCACCAAGGAGCTATATAGACGGACGACTACACTACCGCTGGAATTCCTCCTAGACAAAAAACATCCCGGACTGAGCCCAGATGCTAGAGACTTGATAGGAAAGGTATTGACGCGCCTGCTATTCACACGTGCGATCTTAACGGTTAGCCCAGATGTTACAAAGAGATCCGTTCCAGCGCCCGCCAGCACGAGATCTCAGGGCGCATCCCTATTTTCAGTCGATGTAAGCTTTGGCAAATATCGGACGTCATGCCCTGGACTTATGGCAACTGACGCAGTGACTGGGATACAATCGAGAGCATGGATAATCCTGGCCCCGGTATGAATGCCCGAGTGCCGACAAGAAAAAACGTGCGTGATGCGTCGGAATTGTGGTGACCACTATTCAATTTGCAGGATCATTGTAGAAGCAACCTGTGGCCATACCTAGAGGGAAGGCGTATGAAGCTGCTGACGACCCCTTCCCGTGGTTCACCTGGGTGGCGCCGAACTTGGAGAATGTGGCAGATCTCGAAGGCTTAGGTGCTGACAATGACCTGGACCCCAATGGGTGGCCTGCCGGGCTCGTCCAGAAAGTCAGGAATTGGGGAACGACGAGGAAGCTAATCTAGCAGACACGCACTGTTTGATCGCTCATCACAGTGTGCGGATAGAACATAAGGAGAACGAGACGTACCAAGGACGACCCCTTTTCCGCGGATGGCATAGCAAAATATAGAAAAAGCGGAACAGTCAGCAAATAGTCGATAGCCTGTGTTCGGGCAAGGGCGAGTGTGAGGCGAGTCTGTAAGCTGCTCGAGCCGTGAGAGCTGTAACAACACGTACTTACTGCCAATACCGGCGCGGATACTGTTTTTCGCCTAATAGCGTCAATAAACATGAGCTGCAGGTCGATGTGCAAGCAGCAACATGCCTATCGCTTCTGCACAAGTGATATCTAGTTGTCGTAATAACCGCATCAGTCCGAAAAAGCACGGCCAGGGTCATGTTTGTTTCACACGGATACCATAGGGCTTCTAGCCCCGTGCATCGCAGGCTGCAGCATTCAGCAAAACAACAGAGCCATTTGCGCGGAAGGTGAGTACTATTCCTGGGCTCAAACCTGATATCTTATCCTGAGCATCACTGTGTGTAAGCCGTCGTGCAGAATACCTGCCATACCAAATAATGTAAATTGGACGAAGTCAATCACGGCCAGCCGTGTGAGGAGTCAACCCATCGTCCCATCGAATACGGATATCAAGCTTGCCCGGAGAGCTGGGGCGCGCGTCCATTGTGCAGCCGCCTCGTCAATGAGTCCGCAGGTATCACAATTTTCAAGTTGTTGCTGCGATCTCTTTTGTCAATATCGTGCAGAACACGCCTCCATGTTTCCTGTTTTTTTTGTGAGATGAACAGCCGCATTACGATATGTTTTCGCAGACTGAAGCTCGAGGGACAGCTGCGCGTCGCGGTATGTCAACCATCCTGGTTTCCGTGCGCTGTTCACAAAGACCTACATGGTGACGTGTGTTCATTCAGTGCGTAATATTCCAAATTGTGTAACATACCTTTCCAACTGCCGGCACTGTCTGGCGTCATCCAGTATACTCCGACTTGTAACGATCGCCTTGATATTTTAAGTCTCCGCAATGCTGTGGAGGAGTTCTATGACAGCTCACGCAAATTATGCCTAGAGAACTTCAAGTGAAGACGGGTAGTGTCAGCTTGAGGAAAAGACGGCTCTTCAGGATCCAGAGAAGCGCCACATTTGTGCTCCACCGCTGGCCGTTAGACTGCAGTCCATCGTTGCAATCATTCTGGGTTCGATGACCGGTGGCTCATTTCACGGTGATTACGAATTCTGGCACGGCACAAATGGTGGAGATAATGAGGTGCGCAGGACCTGTCGTGAACATATAACGACGACCTGCGTAATTCGCTCATCATTTATGGTGTAGGTACTTAAGCACTGACATAGTGCTCTCATCGACGCAATGTACAGACTCATTGTCATGCGCTTCCAGGCAGACGCGTTCGAGTCTACTACGCCGGGATCTTTGAATGATTCAAAACTCCAATGACATAATGATAACACGTTTTCGATGATACATCGTGGATGCATGGTAGAGGGTTACAAAGACACATACGTCGTCAGGACTAAGCAATACTGCCTCTCGCTAATCAAAATGATGGCCGATACAACAGGGCATACATGATTGGGACACGCCTTTCGTGCTACGATCACACACTGTGCCTTCTGCGACTCACGTAAATAGCCGCTTACTGGGAGGGCCAATTGATGGAGGACAAGAAACTCCTAAGCTGGGTGTCGTCCCCGAAGGACGGGTCACCACCAGGAGTTGACAGAACTTGCGAGTGGGTATACCCGGTGTACTCCTGTGGCTGCGAGGAGAGATTAGGCATTGCATTATACATTTGATGTATCGCAGCGGGCCAAGTAGCGAGATGAGAGGGCGAAGCAATATTCGCCGCTGGAGAGAGCGTGGAGGTATGGCTCGGCAAGTGCGACTGTACACTTGGCCTTGTGTTCCCGAGATAATTTCCCGCTGGCCCCTGTAGCGACTGATGCTGCCCCATGTGCTCAATGCTCTGACGAGTGTGGGCCAGACCGTTGTCAGACACTATCAACTAGCGGAGCTCGGTTTTGGCGCACCTGGAGTTTCAGCTGCGAGGGCGTCGTATGGCTGCCCTTGGGTCCAGCTTCAAAGGACCTCCAAAACACGGTCCACCACCTGGAGTGCACTTGTTATTATTGTACATCACAAGTTAAGGAGTTGATTCACTCGTAAAGGAAGCCATCCTTGGACGGAATGGGCGCTTCGTCCTTGAGGTTAGCCTAGTCCTGGTGAGCCCCCGCTTAACAAGGAGGTCATAAACATAGACAAATAGCCTGCAATTCGCGCAAGCGTCAGCATTGGACGAGAAAAGACTTAGTAGAGATGTATACATTTTTTCATCCTTGTCCATGGGACGACGAACTGGGGTATCAGTAACATGCTCAGCCATGGTAACTGGGAGAGGAGTGGAGAGTGGCTGCGGCGAGGTGATAAAGGGTTTTATAACGAAGTCCAAGCCTGTATCCGCCTAGCAAGGATATCTGTATATCTGTAGGAAAGTTTCATTTGGGCATCAGGCCACACCGCACAAACTTAAAGCAGTTACAACATGACTAGCGAGCGAACGGGCCAACATCGACTACCACGCTTCATGTACTATATGCATGCCTGTTGACACACAGGAGGCCGTCATATACGAGATGCTTGTGCTGTATGTGGTCGTTAGTGGAAAGTTACATGCATGTAACAGGGTCGAGTTGTGGTGTTAATAGACCCTAACCTTGTACTGAGGTTATCCCTGTATCATGCGGCCCGCGGCCACTCCACTTTTCTCCACTTGGTCTTTCAGGCCTAGTTCCGTCCAAACGGAATTCAGTCATGAGCAATTTCCTGAGAAGAAATATGCTCCTTCACGGCCATCAAGCATTTGTACTAGTGGTACTTGAGGTACGTCTGTGGGGTTTTCTTGAATAGTTCAGTCTTTAACTAAGCTTTGAACCTCAACAGTACTAGGAGCATAACACTGCGTCTGTCTATTCACCGCATCTGCACTGCATTTTTACGTACACGGAAGGAAGCCAGTAACACGATGTCATCGTGCTCCGCTGTACACGACCACGATGGTTCTTTGTCGATACCCCAAAACCATCTTCCCCTGTTCTCCACTCACCCGCACACAATCCGGCGCCCAGTGCCCTTCTTACATCCAACTCACGCACTATTTTCTTCGCCCAGTCCCAGCGCAGAGGGATCCAGAATTGTCGACTATCCTGCGCACTGGTCCTCTCGGGCGTCCCGCAAGAACCGCTTTGCTGCTCGCCCTCTGCGCGTTGTCCACTCTGATCCAAGGATGAAAAATGCAGACTCACCCGAGCGAGAACTCGTGGAAAAGGACCCAGTAACGATAGAACAGCGCCTGCACCATCCACACGCACGGTTCAAACTGCACCTAACATGGGACATTTCCTTTTGGGTGGCGGTGACCTTCATTCTTGGATCTACCTTTTGGGTGAGTGTCATTTGCTGCCCGCTGGGGAACGTTCTCGGTTTCCCCGAGCAGTGGGCCATGCAATATATCCAGTGACTAACCTGTATGCGTAAGCCAGGTGATCAATGGCTTCATCCTTTTCCTGCCACTCGCCCCATCACATAGCTCACCCCACGGCAATGCCGCCGCGTGGATTGCCTTCGCCGGCGGGACGTTCTTCGAGATCGGAAGCTACCTCATGTACCTCGAGGCAATCAACGCCGGGCATGAAAAGCTCTTTGGGCCGGCCCTTTGGGGCCTCATAGAGGATGCGGGAGCCGACTGGACTGGCAGCAAGGACAGCGAGAGGAGCGTGCACGATCGCGGTGCGAGCAGGACGCATGTGGATTTCCGGTGGCTGTAAGTATTGCTTAGATTAGCCTACGAATGTGGTTTGTGCAGAAGCTCATTTTTTTTGCAGCGGCAGAGCACCATGGAGGGAGCTCGGCTTCCTCGCATCGGTCGCGCAGCTATGTGCCGCGTCTATCTTCTGGATTTCCACCATGTATGTACGCACATCCCCCTGTGCAACGAGATACTGATCGAGCTCCGCACGGCGTTACAGTACAGGCGTCCCCGGCGTCATCCCGAACCTATCCACCAACCCGCCCGTTGCGATCACAGACGTATTCTACTGGACGCCGCAGGTGCTCGGCGGCACAGGCTTCATCATCTCCTCGCTGCTCCTCATGATCGAAGTCCAGCGGACGTGGTGGCGTCCGAACTTGCGAAGCTTGGGCTGGTGAGTTTCTACTGCACACGACACGATAGCAGGCGTCTTTGACTAATGATGTAACACACACGAAGGCACATAGGGTTCTGGAACCTCATCGGCGCGGTCGGATTTATGCTTTGCGGTGCGCTAGGGTACGCGTCGGTGACGTCCACCAAGGTAGGAAGCCACTATACCTGTACGCGATTGTGCGACGCATTGATTGTCCGTCCTCAGGCTAATTATCAGAGTGTGCTGGCAACGTTCTGGGGGTCATGGGCATTCTTAATTGGAAGTACTGTACAACTGTGGGAGACGTTGTGGAGAGAGGACACGAATCATGGAGACTGAGAGCATCATATACAGGGACAATATACCGTAGCGGAACTGCATGAGTACATTCAAGGACATATCACAGTCTGTTCAGATGTAGGCATTGGAGACGTGTAGAGTCGCTTGATCGGAGCAATCATTCTGAGAGAAAAACAATGCAGAACGAGGAGTGAATTGAAGGTAGAAGGTAGATTGGCGAGGCGTGACAGTAGCGCGTGACCTGCTCAATCACAAGCAGGTATCCACGCGTGACTCCCATGTCTACCGACTTGTCGATCTCCGGCAGCGGAACCGATCTGCTGCACGATAGTCCGACAACGCTCCTTCCCATCTTTCAACTACAGGCATCATGGTAAGTTGCTATACGTTTATCTTGCTTAAGTGTCTGACGCGATACAGAGCGATAACGCGGGTATGTTCCATCGAGCGTGGACGAGGCGGCGCCGAAACTCACTGCGACTTGCACCCAGAGTATAAGGAGGCATTCGCGCTCTTCGACAAGAAGGGCACAGGTGCAGTGCAGCGAGAAGTGCTGGGAGACCTCCTGCGTGCGCTCGGACAGAATCCCACGCAAGCAGAAGTGGCGGAGATCATCGCGGGAGCACCTAGAGAAGGTGCGTTGAACGCGCGTGCGATGCGACTGTGTACATGCTGACCCTCATTTCCGCTGCTTTCTACGCGCATTTCCGCATGCTCTATGATATGTCACCATACGATGTGTGATCGGTACCATAGTGGACTACAAGACGTTCCTCGCGATCTTGAACCGGCCAGACGGCTTCAAGCCAGCAGGCACACCTGGTACGTGAAGTCGACGCGTTTTTTGCATTCTCTTGGGACACTGTCCCTCTAACACGCGATTCCCATGTTGCAGAGGAATTTATCCGTGGCTTCCAAGTCTTTGACAAGGAGGGCAACGGCTTCATCGGTGCTGGCGAGCTACGATACGTGCTCACACAGCTGGGGGAGAAGATGTCAGATGAGGAAGTCGATGAGCTGCTCAAGGGCGTGCCAGTTGGCCCGTAAGTGTTAAGCCCCTCCTGTCGACTACGCTGACCCGTGGTGTGCCGTGCTGCTTGATAGTGACGGCAACGTGAACTACGAGTCGTTCGTGCGCACGATTCTGAGTCAATAGTCTAGTTCAAAGCGACGTATGTTGTGTCGTTCATCTATAATGCGTCTCTTCGCGAACGTTCTGTATAAGTTACGTACGATTGATGTTTCAACTGCACGGGCGAATGTATTCTTACTGATATATACCACTATGCGCGTAACCTGGGCATTCGATGGCGGTGCAGGCCCTGTTCATTGTCACCCAATGGGTGTGCTCAGGTATTAGTTGTTCAAGTCAAGGCTTGTAGTTCCTCGTCTCTGCTTCTGTGCATCGGCGCCCGCACTGACATCAGTGTACACTGGCTGAACCTTGGTGGTTTTCCGCAATGACAAGTTGGAGTTGCGAAAGAGACCATGGGGTGCGACGAGCCGACAACTGTCTCGTAGTAGTCGGTGCGCCACAAGTCCAGCGACTGAAGCCGGTCCATGATGTAAATCAACCGCGCTTTGACATGGGGCCACTAAGGCGTCTCGTAGACAGCAACGTTTCCCTGTGGCTGCCCTCGGGAGAATATGCAATTGTAGCTACCTGGATAAGTCAAGTCGGGATTTGACTGCTTTCAAGTAGTCAGACCTGTGGACCACTGCTTCAAAAGGGTTCGCGTGCTTATGTACCTTGTTGTTCGCGGTTAGAAGCAATTGCAAATCAATTTGCTCGGTTGGTCCCTGGCGGTTCGTCTTCTCACGCACGCTTTCAAACTACACCTCTGGTGACTGCTTTGATTATCTCGGGTATAGACGGTAATGACAGTCTGTAAGGAAGGGGTAAAATATAAGAATGAAGACACTCGGATTCGGCGTGTCTGCTATGTAGGATTGCCTTAATATCATAGCAGACTGGAGTTACATAGTCCGCACCGAAATCTCGTCATGTAATGCCAGGACAATCAATTTCAGTCTTGCATTAGGTCCTTCCAGCGATAATGTCATCAGGTCGCATAAATAACTATCGACACAGAGGGGCGGAATACCGCTACAGATGATGACGTATTCGTGACAATGTTACATCGTTCCCTCACTACGGGCTTTCGCCAAGGTACGCGAGTCCGAAGCCGGTCAAGCTGCCATCGGAGTTGACCAGGTTGAGGGGTGCAACCATGAACCATGCGTAGGCCCCCACAAAGCTCTGATTGTCCATCCACGAGGTCATTGACTGCAGGAAGCTTATCTTCTCCGGCGGCGACCCAGCGGCGCCGAACTGCACATTTAAATTACCACCAGAGTTACCATCAGTCACGGCGCAGAGCCAAGCGGACGGACGCCCACGCACCTCCGTGAGCCAGACAGGCTTTCCGTACGCCTGCGCAATTTCCTCGATGTAGCTCTGGTAATACGGCTCGTTCGAGCAGTAGTCGTAGATGTGGATCGCGACCGCGTCGATCGTGCACTGGCTGCACGCCTGCATGAACGCGTCCAGCCACGCCTTGCCCATCGGCGCGCCGCCGTTCGTGACCGCGGGTGAGACGAGCTTGGCCCTGCCCGCGAACGGCTCCATGTAGGTCATCCAAGCGTCCGCGGCCTCCTGCGCCGTCATGTTAGCCTGCGTGCTGTCGTCGGGCTCGTTGAAACTAGATATACAGGACAAGCGGTGAGTGGAACCCGTCCTGTCAGTCGTTCGCTGGTCAGACTCACCCGAGGAGATACGGCGCGCCATTCGCGATGGCGCTCTCGGCGTTGGCCTGCCACTTCGAGGTGAGCTCCGGGGCTGCGCTCCAGAGCATCGGGATATATGCCACGCCCGAGGGCAGCGTCCCAGAGTAATCCGAGTCCCAGTTGTATGCCCAGCTCACCTGTCTGGGCCCGCCATCAGCGGCGGGCTCGTCTCGAGGGATGATGGATAAGACAGCACTCACTCGGAGGTGAACTGCTGCGTCAAGGAGGCGTCGCTGAACGCCAGGCCGCGCTTGATCCCGCTCGAGAACGCCGCTCCGGTGGTGCGGCGGTCAAGCGCACGCTTATGGTGCATGTGGAAATCGGGGACATGTGCAGCAGCAGCGATGCCGCCGCAAAGAATGGAGGATGAAGCCGCAATCGTGGAGAGCTTCATTATAATAAGGTAACGGATCGCAAAATATTAAATAGAACAACAGGACCGGTGCACGGCCTTGGAAGAAGAGAGAATGCCTAGAAACAAAATCAGGTGGTCGACTTATATGTCTGCGAGGTGGCCAATGGCGCATGGCACCCCTGTCGGAGAATGTTTACAGGCCTCGGAGGCGGTGAACATGTTACATGGTGTCATGGGCATCTTTGAGGTTTGGGCCGCGCGCGTCAAGGCGTGTCCAACAGCCTCTGGTTATCTGCGCGGTGGAGGTGGATTGCACCCGGTGACCTCGAGTCTTCTAAAGGCGTTTCGAATCGCCCGATGGCCGACGCCTGAGTCGGATATTAATAGAGGAATACTTCGAGTGGCTGACCTGAACCCAAACGAGAGGGTGTCACTGTTAAGCCGTCTTTCCCGTCGTGGAAGCAAAGTCTGCGCGTACATCCCTGTCAATATCATTAGAAGTGAGAGACAAACTACAATTTGGATCACGCTCCGGCCGTTGGGGACGCTGCTGCCCCTCCCCAGCCGTCTGGGGTCAGTCCTAGTGGGTCTCAAGGAATGATCGCCACTCTAGATCTTCGCACTGCCCGTGCGATGCTCTCTGATCTTGTCCCTGGCCTCAGCGTCGACGTTTAGAATTAGAATGGAGCATAGCCGGTCACAACATTGATGCCGGCGCGACATCGGTCTGCTCGGTGCTGTGCAGAGGTGATAACAGCGAGTAAGTAAGTCGGTCGATGCAAATTTGCCGCTTCAATGTCGCTGAAAAGAGATCGACTTTTCGCTGCTTTGACAGCTGATTCCATATCGTTAGACCTGTTGAACTCGAGGAGTGCGTAAGCGGATTTCGGGCGCGAATAGGCGGGCCCTGGAAACAACGACCCATATGGTAAATCGTGGCTGTGATGATACTTTCAATTAATGCCGGGTGCAGCGAGGTCGGGACCATGGCCTCGAGCGTTGATCCTGGATTCCGCATCACACAACTATTCTTGGGTATAAGTATTATCTATCGATATGGAATTAGCTGGAATTTGAAGCGCTCAAATGTATCTGAAGGTCGCAGAAACGGTCGCGTATGACTAAGCGTAACGCATCCGTGACCTGATCACTTTTTTGCTGAGCAGCCAATCAGACTGGCGGATGATGCAAGCGTGACATGCCGTAAGCTAGAATTTGCGAGCGCTTGAGACAAGCAATCGTTTATTTGTCACTAGCAATATTAATCTACCAGATCAGATCGACACGCATGTGCACGGTATTCCTGCGCACAAGGCTCGCAGAAACGTCTCAACACCTCAGCCCATGACACAACCACTCACCTGCATACACTCGCGTAGACGCAGCCAGACAAAAACAAAAACCCAGCAGATAACGATACAGCTGATCAAATTGCATTCAATCTAATACGATAGATGCCCTAGTAGCACATTTTAAAGCGAGCATACATCACCAGTACTGTAGTCTAGCAACAGCAGCGTGCACCGCACGGCGCAGAGCACAGGAAGCAAAGGGCAGAGGATACACAGTTGCACAACAGCCATAGGTTATAGGTTAAGCAAGGACATCTTGCTGCGGAGAACATGGCGACCAGGCTGGACATCAAGCCAGGCACGCGCGATCGGCGCCGACCCCAGGCGGCGCGGAGATGAAAATGAAACCTGAGAGGAATCAGAGAGGGGGAGGGGAAAGCAGCCGCCTGCCGCACAGCACACAGGCGGCTGCGAGGAAAGGAAACGAGTTTTGGGACCTTGGAAGCGCGGGGGCACACGCCTGCGCTTAGTTGGCGACGTAAGTGTTCGCGAGGGACGTGAGGCTGCCGTCGTTGTTGACGAGGTTGCCGACCTCGTCCGTGAACCAGGCGTAGGCCGCAACGCCGTCGAGGTTGTCGAGGAACGAGACCATCTCGCCCAGGAAGGTCTGGACCTCCGAGTCGCTGCCGGTTGCGCCGAACTGAGAGCGCGCGTCAGCGTACAGCATCCTACTACCCTGGCGCTCGGGGACATACCTCCGTGACCCAGATGGGCTTCTGGTACTTGGAGACGAAGGACGAGATGTAGTTCTGGTAGTACTGCTCGTTCGTGGCAGAGTCATAGATATGCGCCGCGAAGCCGTCAATCGTGCACTGGGTGCAGGCGCTGATGAAGTCGTCGAGCCAGCCTGTGCCCATGGGCGGAGCACCGTTCGTGACCGCGGGGCCAATCAGCTTGGCCTTGCCCGCGAACGGCTGCATGTAGGTCATCCATGCGTCGGCGGCATCCTGGGGGCTTATGTTGGACTGCGTGTTGAGGTCCGGCTCGTTGAAACTGTAAGCGTGTGATGGTGAATACAGCGTATTGTGCCAGAAGCTGTAGATGCATACGCGAGCAGGTACTCAGTACCATTGTCAATAGCAGCTTGAGCGTTCTCCGCCCAGGTAGAAGTGTAGGTGCTCGTGTTGCCCCAGAGCATGGGGATGAACTGGACGCCCGCAGGCAAGCTACCGGAGGCGGTTTGGCCCCAGTTGTACGCCCAGCTGATTTGGCTGCACAAGGGGTTTATGATGGCTGATTGCGCAGTGTGCGCGGGAGACTCACTTTGAGCTGAACTGGTCCGTCAGCGACGCGTCGTTGTAAGACAAACCACGCTTAATGCCATTAGAAAAGGCAGCGGTGGAGGAGCTACTGGGCGCAGTGCTCGAGCTGGTAGAACTACGCGCATAGTCAATTTTCCTTGTGTTGGCGCCTGTTATTTCAGGGGACTCACGTCGGGGTCGGGGTCTGCGACACCGAGGGGGTGTACGTAGCGGAGGCACCGCTGCGCCGACCAAGAGCGTGCCTGTCCATCTTCCTCATGTTCTTGAGGTTGGAGATGTGCGCGGCCTCGACAGAGCCAGCAAGAAGGAGCGAGAGTGAAATGAGTGCGTTAGAGAACTTCATCGTGAATCTTGGTCTAGGGGGCTAGTGAAAAGCGTCTTGCAAATGAAAGACAGGCGGGCTGAAGGAAAGACACGGCCGGAATGAACGTCGACCTGAGGGAGCGGAGAGACCAAGGCAGAAGAAGGACAACGCCAAAACGAACCAGTCGCGCCTTCTTATATCCTGATCGTTTCGAGGTGGGGATGTGCACGTGTGTTTGACATCGCACACAAGGCGCTGCTGGATCTGATTGGCTCTTTAGCAATTAAGGCAGAGCGCCCGGCTGAGTTCCAGGCCTCATCAGTCCCGACGATCCTCCACCAGGTAATCACTTCATAAGCAACGTGTATGAGCCCATGTGAGTCTATCACAGAGGATGTATGACTTGCCTTCCACCCAGTGTTCGTACTCGTCAGTATAAGAAAACGATCACTTATGATCGCGCGCAAATGCCACTGATCGGCCGGATGCAGGGTCTAGGCCAACTCCCGATCCGGAGCCGCAGGCACGCAACTCAAAATGCCCGAAACGACAACAGCAGCCGCAGCAAGCCGCGACACAACCTTCACATAAAACATGACGAAGCATGCACACAAGCTACGGTGTAGCCGTGGATGCGGGAAGCCCTCGGAAGGTGTGCAAAACAAGTACATGAAACGGGCTGAAGCTTGAAGGAAAGTGGATCGCGATCTCGGCAACTACCGCCCGGAAACGTGGAATACGCCTGGCTCGGGGCCGGGTACACGAATTTGCACAGGCACGGAAAACAAAAGCAAGCCGCCACAGTTGAACGTTGAACGTAGACGTTCCATTGAGTACCGAGGAGCGACGCGCGACGGCAAAGTGATGAAGGATCGATCGCGAAAACATGCGCAACAGGGGCATTTACTTGCAGTCGCTCATTACGCAGCTCGGGCAATGAAGTTGTGACGCCAAGAGACTACTAGTAGACGCGTGGGCTGAGAACATAACCATGCTATAGAACGTAAATGAGAACAAATGTAGCATTCACTTCTGTGAGACTTCTGCGGACAAGGCGGCCGTTGACTAGAGCCAACAGGGAAAAGTAGGGGCAAACGGCCCAAGTCCTGGAGCCAACACGAACAGACGAACAGGGGGGCGGAACGTTGAAACAACACGCCATGTGCCAGCCCGAACCAGCTGGCATGCGCATCACACGCTGCGTCCCGCTTCGCAACGTCTCCGACTCTGCGTATGCGAATGCTGATGCTGAAGTCGCCGTCCCCGTAATAGTGCGACTCACCTCGGCCTCCTGCTACGCAGCGGTGCTAACATGTACAGAGAAGAGCGTCGGTACAGTCATCGAACACGAGGACGAGTGAATGATTATATGGGAACAGGCACCATTAATGAGATACGAGTAGAGCGACGGGGTGGGCATCCAGAAAGCGCATGACAGCGGAAGAGGGAAAGGAATGAACTGCGAGAGTCCGCGACTGGGGTCAGAATCAACTCAAGCCATGTGGCCAGTGTGACGAGGCAAAAGCGTAGAGATAGCACCAGATAGCAGCGAGCGGATTTTCCGAGTGGCTGTAGTCGGAGAAAGAGAACTGTTGCGTAAGGAGCGACGGTCCGGTGCTGATTGAGCTGTCAGGTCTCGAGAGCACTCGCTGCAGGTTGGACGATCCTCCAATCCGCCAAACACCGCAAGCAGTAGCACATCGTGGCTCTTCTTAAGCGTAGCCGCACCCGCGCGCGAAGTTATCCAAGTTTCTTGATGGGAGCTTACAGCTATGTGTTTGACCAGATAGCACTGCGAGCCCATGCGGGTCGCTATTTGCTCAGCCAAGACGCTGAACTTGAGACGTGTTGGACTCTGGACATACGTTGATGGAGTGCGCCGAGGTTGCAGTTTATCTGTTAATCAAAATAGATTCAAGTCGGGTCTAAATCAAGCCAGAACATTTCACGTATGACGCGTCAAGCCGAAGCGTTGTCGGGCTGTTCAAGCCCAGCCTCTGACGCACCAGACATAGTAGCGGAACCACATCTGTGGAATCAATTGTCGGGCGATGGCACTTGTTGTGGCATGCACCCTCGGGCCTCAGGCTTCAGGATAGAGACATGAATGGCATTTCGGAGCGTCGAGGTATAACGCAAGAACATCACCCACGAATCTGAAGACCAATTGTGGTCTTCTAGTGCACGGAATAAAAACGTGTCCTAATATAAGAAGTGCAGACGTCCGAACATGACAGGAGGATTTATTCGTGGTGCAAGACTCTAGAGCGTTATAAAAGTTAGAGTAGGCGCCGATGTGTGGTCACGTGTGAGTTAGATCTGCAAATTTGATCCAGATTTGAATCGGACCGAGATCGGCTCCGCCTCACACCATTAAACGACTTGTCACTGCACTTGCGTTTAGGCTACATGCAAATTGCTCGGAAACATTGAGACAGAAGATGGCACCCAACGACGCATCAACAGGCAAGCCACGCTCAGTCGAAGTGCTCGAAGTGGAGGACGATGATCAACGCCAACAACGCATGAGTTCGCATACTTTTTCCTATGTTCATTCATGCTGCAGCTCTCATCAAGTGGCCGCTAGGCGATATATTCAGGAGATTGAACAGCCCGTCTCAACCTTTACCAGGAGACACCCCGACGCTGCCCGTGCTTCCCCGCAGAGACGACGGTAGCTTGCCCGCCGAGCCGTCCACGGACTGTACGTGGCTTTTCCATCTCTCTCTCATGCGAATGGATCGCGATCATGTCTAATACCGTTCCGCAGTGCTCTCTCGCGTACAAGCGTTCCTTCCACAGCTCGCCGCGTCGAACGCCGACCTGCTTCGCCGCGCACAAGAGGACCCGTCCAGCGTCGACATCGAGAACACCGCCGATGTCGAGCGGATCATAGAAATGGTTGGATATATACCCTTCCCATTTTTGAAGACAGAATCTCACAGTCCTACTGCGCAGAACCTTGGGCTCGGTGTGTTCGAGCAGCGCGCGCCTGCACCAAGCACCACTCCGTATGACGCGGACCTGCGCGAGGATGACGCAGACGCGACGAGGCAGTCTTCATCAGACCACTCAGACACCGATTCTTCCGATTCAGACTCGGAGACAGAGAGCTCCGACTCCACGTCTAACTCTAACTCTAATTCCGACTCTGACGCTGACGCCTCAATGGACGACGAATCCTCTCCAAAGAGACCTATAAAACCACTCCCCCGTGGCAAATCGTCCCGCCCAGAGATAGTCATATTAGATGGTGACCGCCAGCCCACACATTGAACATTATACATTTGTGCATGTGAGACAAATCAGAACGAATTTCGCGGCCGGTTCTCGTCCGCGCCGAGCTTCTACCGCCCGTGTGGACATTCTAGTACATTGTCCGAAATCTAACGATCTTCGCTCTATCGGGATATATAAGTCTCCTCATGCGCCATCTAAGAATACAGTCCATCAGAGCCACCAGCCTGTCGTCGCGTCCTGTCGCACAAAACACCGCCTGGGAATCATGACGCCGTGCTCACTCACCCCCACGGCAATCTATGAACCTGTCTACCATCCGAAGCTCCTGCAACAAACCATCAGCGCGCTGTCTCCAGGACAAATAACCATATACGGACTCCTCGTGAATTTCAATGCCGCCAACAGCCTTGAACTTGTCCCGTGGGATCGTCCGAACCGTCCTCGAGACACTCTCGCCCAGCGCGACAGGACCACACACCCCGACCAGCACGCCCGTGAGTCCCTTGTCGGCCTTGGAGTCGTGCAGGTCTAGCGTGCGATTGACGAGCCCCTCGAGGATTCCGGCGATTCCGGGGCGCCCGGGCAAGAGTGTAAGGCCCTCCGGAAGCGCCTTCAGGGCGAAGAAGGCGGCGTCGGATCGTGGCGCGCGGGTATAGGAGACGGAGACGCGCAAGGTTACCCCCAGCGACTCGGCACGCACGAGGAAGGCGGTGAGGACGGGCAGGAAGGGCCCGAGGGATGCTGCAGATGCAGAACGGCATCGTCAGGACGGTCAGGATGTGTGGTTCGGAGCACTGACCTGGGTCCTGGATGCTCCAGGCGAGCTCAATAAATCTCACCGCGCTGTGGCCGTCTGCTGTCTTCTGCAGCAGCTCGCCGACAGTCCCTAGGCCGTACGAGATCCCGCTTCCTCCGGCGACAATCATAGCTGCCGAGAAACCGTTAATCATCGCGAGTCCTGGGCCACCTGCATTCACGAGGTTCGGTGAGCCGTCAGTATGCAAGAGTATGCTGAGCACGAGGCCTTGCCGTAAGGACCGTCCACAAGGACGTGGACTCTCCGACCCGCGGTAGGTTTGCCGTCTGAATCACTCTGGGCGAGATCGTACAGTTTCGCCGTCCAGTCGCCCGCCTGCTTGCACAGGAGAACCAGGCCGTCGCCCTCAGAGTCCTGGAGACGTATGATAAGTAAGGGGGAAAGTAACCTGTTAACAAAACGATATCACGCATACCTTGCTCGTGCTCGCAATGGTGAACGGATGCGATTCTGCCCAGCCAAACGGCCCCATCCCCGTCGATAACACCTTGATACGGACATGGTCGCCCGCACGCCACCCGGCACCGATCTTCGGAATGCTCAGGCGGACCATCCGCATCTCGGAAATAGGCTGCAGGTGCGCTACCGCAACGCGTGTCCGCACGATCCTCAATCCCCTGTCCAGGCCGTAGACGGCGACAGCAGCCGCTGCATATGGCCAGCCGATATTCGCTGGAGCGTGCTTCCATACCTACATAAGCATACTCATGTCAGAATTTCGAATATACTGACAGCGCCGAAAAGAGACGCTCACGGCTGCGAGCATGACCACCGCGGAGATGACGTGCGTAATATAAAACACATTGTAGAACATCTGACGGAACACGCTGATCGAGAAGAGGAAGAGCAGGTCCATGCACACGAGGGCCAGCAAACCCCATCGTATGAGCGGGTGCTGCGTGTCCTCTTTCCAAGTTCCTGCAGTAGCGAATTCGTACACTAAAACAAGGTTGAATCATGCGTCAGCCTATGAGGAATTGCTGCAGTATATGACATACTGAAGCTAAGCGCGTGGACATTCACCGCAAGTACGATGAATCGTCCGACGAAGCGATGGATCCAGTTCAGCTGGGGTATGCCAAAAATGAGCGATTGTCGCCAACTGCGGCCCTTGGGGTACTTACCTTCTCGTACCCATAACCAGTCAAGGCGCTGACGACATTGTTCTTCGTGGCAACAACGAAAACCAGAGGTATCTGACTCGTTGCGACAAGGCCAGCTCTCGTGGGGTTCGTGAAGGGGTTCGATTTATAGATCCCGGCGTAAAGCATGACACCCAAATATGCGAGCATCAGCAACAGCTTGCCCACCGTATAGCCAAGCCTGACGCTCATAGACAACAGCCAGCTGATGCCTGGGAAAATGGTCGACAACGTCGGCACATGCTTTGGTGGCGTCTGGACTGGCAGCGATAGCGTCTGCCTCGAGCTGCCCATGGGCTGCACCTCGATGACCTCCGCCTGAGATTCGCGCTTATTGACGGTCAGCTCAGAGTTCGTCTTATCGATGCGAGGACGGCGAAGAGTATCCTCGGAAGATCCACGCCGTCCCGAGGAGCCATCCCTGTAGCTGCGCAAATAGAGCACGTCCGTCCATTCCGACATGTGGGTTAGACGTGCCAACATCCGCGGTACGGCGATGAGGAAGCAGAGCCCAAGGAAAGACAGCAAGAGTATGTCAACATGGAAAAGAAGTTGCACTGTAAGATTCGCTCCAGGAGGTGCAGGAGGAGACGAACTGCTGGGACGAGGGGATGCGGAGGTGCTTGCCATGGTGGGAGGCGACGTAGCTGCAGGCCGGGGTATCTAACGAACTGTTGTGAAGGGTGCATGGCCCTATAAACGGTCGCCCCATCCCAGTGTGGATCGCCATCCGTCGTAACCAATCGACGGGACCGCAGAAAATCAATTTCCTATATGGGACGCTCGTTGCGCTAATAAAACGCCAACCCGACGCACGGAGTTGCAGGACGGGACACATTTGATGGTGCAGGGTGTGAGGCTTCGATCTGTGGAAACAACTAGATCGTTAGAGTTGCACGCTATCGTCGCGCGTTCTGCAGCATGGACCAGCTTCGAACAAACCTGTGCGTGGGCAGTATATTGTCTTTTCAGGAGTACAGCGCCGATAAGCCAACACGTCAAGTCAAGAATGCTGGATTCCAGATTCGTTCCCAGCCCGTGGACAGAGGTAATGGCGCAAGATCCGTGAAACTCGCGTGCTGGCCCGCGCATGTATACGGCGGTACGCATACCGCTAAGTATCGGTTCGGGAGCCAAGTCCAACGCGGCAAGATCGCCATGTAGATTCGCGGCGCATCCCACACCCGGCTACGTTCACTGCGGTACATAGGATGTCCCAAACACGGAAATCGAGAAACAATAATGCGTTTCACCATGTTACATGTTCGTCCATTCTGCATGACATAAATCAGAACAGTCGCAACATGAATAATGGACCACTGACATACTCGATTGCCAGGCAAATTTCCCGATGGGCGACAATGAGCGCCCTCACATCGCGTTGTTCCGCAGTCATGATCGGGTAGCAACATGGTTATCCATAAAGTCTATGATTTGTACTGCCCCGAGTAAAAAGGGCTTAGTAAGGCCTATTCTAACCGGTCTTGCTTAGTCAGTTCGCGACGCACGGCCGTTACTCATTTGAAGATTATGGATGAGATGAGAGTGGGTGTTTCCGCTGACGACACTGAGCTGAAGGCGCGTCACGACCTCGGGTAGCCGCGTGAGAGCGATGCACCTTCATGTGTATTCTTCCACTGTTATCAGTGCTACACATGCATTGATCCGGCGGTTGATCGAGTCCGTTCAACGGGGATGAGATAGCGACGCTGCACGAGCGCGAATGGCCAGATGAGGCGGACACCGACGCTTGATGTGAATGCCATATTCGCAATGCCATGTGCATCCTTGACACCTCACGACACCGCCAGATTCCCCCGCGCGCTTGTCGTGCAGTACTAAGTACTTTGTGAACGGTCCGCTTGCAGCAGGGTCCCCGCCACAAAGCAGGGATGATCCACTATAAGAAGCCCGAGCCTCAAGGCAGCTAGACCTGAGTCTAGAAGTCCGTTGGGACTAGTCTGTAAGAGGAGGTGATCAGTGCAAGCAGACACCGATACCATCACTGCTGTGTCCAGGACTGATATCTGGGCGACTGCGCACGAAACAAAGGAGAATCTCCTCTGGGAATTTGTTGCCGTACTAGTCACACTGATCACTCACTTAGGATGCAGCATATGGGTAACTGTTATCCGAAGGCGTAAAGAGCATTCGATTTGGAGGTTCTCATTGCACAACCAACAACTCGATGTCGTGTCGCGCTGGAAAATGTCAACCGGCGGCTGATCTGAAGATGTCAGATTTGAGTCCGTGAAGTTTTACCCTAAACGGGGCCGTCGCTATGTCCATAGGACAAACTATGACAGCTTCGATGATAGTCGAGAAGAAAAACCCTTGTGACACAAACCTTGGCGGAGACACGCGGCGCTGTGCGTACGTTGCTATCTCCGATTGTCGAAAATACGCCTGATACATCGAACCGAAAGATGGAGGGAGTGCTCAGCGCATCCAGCCTTGCAGCCTTGAAAGGCGCATTGTAAATTCACGCAGGGGCCACTACTGCCAGTGTCTATAGAACAAGTTGTGTAATGAAATCTGACAGCGATCAGGCCACCAGAAGCTAAAATTTGAGTCATCTCAGATTGATGAACAAGCAAGGTCTTCCTCAGACTGCGCAAATACTGAATTCTCTTCGGTTCCGTGAACAGCATCGGTACCGTGGTCCTATCGGGAGTTCAAATGGAAATCTGGATGCGACCTGATGAACATGTATACTTATGGCAAATAAATCATTCGACAACGGAGGTGGGCGCCATTGTAAATTCAGTACGCGATCGCAGCAAATCTGGCATGATACTTCTATGTATCGCTCCGAGGGGACGTCAAATGGTTTGAACGAGATGTCCTAGCATCTATCATATCCAACGAATCGTCTGTGCGGGTAACAAGAAACAAAGAGCGTGGCCTTTCACGAGCGTATAGGTTAGCTGAGAATATCGTCCGTTTCCGCTGTCAACCGAGCTCCAACTTGACTAGTCCTAACCTCCTGGACACCAAACTGGGCATACTCCCCTTCACCATCCAAAGCTCCTAGGGACGACCGTCAACTCAGCTCCAATATCATGATGGTACACTTACTTTCCGTGAACTTCTATACCGCCAACAGACTTGAACTTGTCTCTCGGGAAAGCCCTCACCGTGTTCGCGACTTCTTCTCCAAGGGCGAGAGGACCGCATACGCCGACCATGACTCCATTGAGCTTGTTGGAGTTCTTGTCGTCGGGCTGTTCAAGTGTACGGTTGACCACGCTTTCGAGAATATTCCCTAGATGTGGGCGCAGAAAGTGAACGGCCGAAGGGGAGTGTCCTGAATGGCTCGAGTGCATCGTCGGATTGTGTTGCACGAGTGTACGAGACTGATATGTTGAGATACACACACAGCAACTCAGCGCGAGCCAGCAGCGTCGTGAAGAGCGGTAGAAGAGGACCGAGAGAGGCTATGACCCATAGTATATAGTCAGTGCATGCTCGAGATCGAGCGTGGGCCAGTGCTTACCTGGGTCCTGAACGCTCCAGACAAGTTCGATGAACTTGACGCCACATGCGCCTTCTGTTGCCTTCCGCAGCAACTCGCTAACGGTAAATAGCACGTACGTGACTCCGCTGCCACCAGCGACCAACATTGCGGCAGAATAACTAGTCACCATCGCATGACCCGGTCCCCCTGTGCACAGGCGCATCTCAATTATCCATAGAGGTAAAATGACCTGAAAACCCCACCGTAAGGCCCATCTACAATAACTCGGACTCTCCGCCCTTGTGTTACCTTGCCATCCGACGTGTGCTGAGCAAGACCGTACAACTTGTTCGTCCAGTCGCCCGCCTTCTTGCACATCAAGACCAGGCCGTCTCCTTCAGGATCCTGAGCTTACGATGAGTCCGTTTATATCCTACAAGTCGCGCTAAGATCAGCGCGGCACATTCACCTACCTTGCTCACGCTCGCGATGGTGAAGGGGTGTGGTTCCGCCCAGCCAATCAGGCCCATGCCTGTTGAAGGAACCTTGATACGGACATGTTGTCCAGCGCGCCAACCGCCATTGATTCTTGGGATGCTAAGACGAACCGCGCGTAGCTCGGGCATGAGCTGCAGATGAGCCATCGCTACGCGGGTCTGTAGGATCCGCCAGCATCGGTCCACCGCGTAGAGCGCCATGCCCGTGACGGCATGTTGCCAGCCGTAGTTCTCTGGTACATGCTTGTATACCTTGAGAACCCACCGAGTATCAGAGACTATATAAACTAGCAGTAGAGGCATACGTACCGCAGCCAGCATGACTATCGCTGCGACAACATGCGAAGCATAGAAAACCGGGTAGCAGATCTGGCGTAGGGTGCTGATAGAGAGGAGAAATAATATATCCATACAAGTGAGAGCGAGCAAACCGAATCTTATCGGCGGAAGCGTCGTGGCCTCGTTCCACGTCCCTGTTGAAGTTCATTCGTACACTAAACGAAACAATGCGTTAACCATCGTCAAAAAGTGGGATGTGAGCGTACTGAATCCCAGGGCGTGGCAGTTCACGGCGAGGATAATGAATCTTCCGACAAATCGATGAATCCAGTTGAGCTGAAGACACGTATCAGTTGTTACTCACGATACAATGCGTGAGTGCACTCGCCTTCTCGTATCCCAGTCCGAGCAAATAAGTTATAATGTTGTTCTTCGTCGCCATCATAATCACAAGGGGGATCTGACTCGTCGCGACGAGACCCGCTCTTGCTGGATTCGTGAACGGATTCGAGCCGTAAAGGCCGCCATAAAGCATGAGACCCAGATAGGCGAGTATGAGCACAAGCTTGCCGACAGTGTATCCAGGTCTGACTGTGAACGACAGCAGCCGGCTGACAGCCGGGAACATAGTCGATAGCGTCGGTGCATGCTTAGGTGGGTGCTGGGCGGGTATAAGCAAGGTTTGCCTCGAATAGTTCCTCATTGGATGAGCTTCGATTGATTCCGCCTGCGATGTGTCCTGGCTTGTGGTATGGTTCCACCTCGACCTATCGGAGAATATGCTTGGACGATTCCGTGCGGAGGATTCCTGCTGTCGCGCAGGATCACCGGCGTATCTCCGAAAGAATATGCCATCGGACCATTCCGACTTGTGGGCTAAATGAACTAGCATCCTTGGTACAGCGAGAAGAGTGCATGTAGCGAGTAGACAAAGCAATAGTAGGTCAATGTGGAAAAGAAGCACCATCCTCAGAACCCTGTCCTGTGGGTCCATCTGGGCGAGTGGACTGCGATGAAGAAGTGGGATGAGCAGTGGAGGATTGAGTAGCGTCGGACATGGTGTGAATGGTAATATTTTCAGCGAGGTCGAAAGTCTATGCTCCGGATTGAACGATTCATGAGCGTATAAAAGCGGCTGTTGTTTGCAGAGGCTGTGAACGTTAGTAGGATCTAATTCAGATCCCATTTAGCATATGTTCCGTTCATTGTCTCGACATCGTGGTGTAAGCAGGACTTGCCTGATGGAGAAGCGTAGTGACCGACTCGGCTGAAGTCTCAACTACTCGTATGATAACCATCGAAAGAGCGCTGCTCCATGAAAGCATATTTGCTACCGTGGCCGCGGCTGCAAAGCATTGCCCCGAACGTATCAGGAGAATGCACGGTCTTGCGCCTTAAAATCGCCGCTCAGCATCGACCATCTGCTAAGTCACGTCGTGTAAGATTTTGTGTCGCCTGCAACGTGGTATATCATACAACACACGCGGAGGCCGATGACCTTTCGGAGTCAGGGGTGCATTTCGATGATACGTACTCATCAAGGGCCTATGCGGGACAGTACGCGATACGCAGCACTATGCTCCGTTCCTAGCTAGAACAGCCGAACCTGGACTAAGAATTTGTCATAAGTATGTCTCGAAGTACAGAACTAAGTAGGAGATGCAGATATATCTGTGACGCACGATAATGTGTGGTTTGATTATCTTTGAGGTGAGTTGCAAAATTCACCAAGTGAGGACTGCTGTGGTACTCCACAATCACCACCGGCCGCAGCAGAGAAGGTCGATCATGGAATATTGTTGTTACGCAGGGCGTCAAGACCAGTCCAGATCGCCATAGTAGTGTAACAGAAGGTGTCCGCGCACAGTCCGCAGTGAGATCTATCTCCGGTACGCAGCGACGACATTGTCATCTGTAACGCCAAAGGACTCAAGCATACTTTCCGTTAGGAGAATGCCAAACTCCGGTTTCTGATTGATCAAGCAAGGCTCGATCTAAACCATGTACTCGTGAAGGTCTTTCTGCAAAGTCACTAGTCGTAGAGTGGAGTCCTGCATAACAAATCTACTTCCCGGTGTTGCACGTCCAAAGTCAGCGACTCCATCAAAGTCAAATATGTCAGACGGTGAGACACAGTCAAACCTGCAGGAACACGCATATGTGGGGCATCCTTTAGGAGCACCTCGCACACACTTGACAACCTGTCAAGTAGCCGTTCGGCGTCGCCTCAGCAGCTCACCCACACGTGTTAACTAGGTAGAAATGCAATTAATTCTTCCTCGCCTGATAATATGGCGGCGAGGGGCCTGCCTGTGACTTTATCGTCACCGGTGCCCGGCACATTTTCTTCAATAAAGGAACCTACCCTAGAGATGCATGGAAGTTCGCTTTGCGTGAGAGATCGGCAGAATCGTCAATTTCGCAGCTGTACGTACTGAGTTCATGGATTTTGCAACGGAGAAATGAGACGTGTCAGATTTATGACCACTTCGAAATTCTATACATTTGACGGAGCTTTAACTTGGTTAACAATGTCAAGATATACGAGAGCATCTACGCAGTTTCCACATAACGGGTCCAGACGCGCTCCGAAACACGCTTGGGGCACTGCCGACCAGTCCATAGGTTGAACTGCCTGTAGCCTTGCTCCAGCAGAACCTCGACGCCCCTTACACGCTTCCAATTTTTGGCCACTTTAGAAGCTAGTACAAGAAGAGGCGTCTCTGCCGGCTTGTACGCCATATCGACCACAACACCTTCCGATCCAGCCGCAAAAATGGAGCTCGGAAGGTATAGCGCATTCTTGACTTTTAGATCCGCGGTGGTCGCCGAAGCGGGGACGGTCGATATCACAATCGATGGTGACCGACCGCCCTGTGGCCAGCGACCTAGGGTGTCAATGGCCTCTACCTTGACGCCAGGGAAAGCTTCGACCAAAGCCTGCACGCTGCTTCTTGTCCGATTGTAGATGTATACAGCATTGACTCCCAATCTGCCGAGGGCATAAATTGCTGCGCGAGATGTTCCTCCAGCACCGATCACGAGCGCTGTGTCCGGTTTCAGCGCTGCATTGGGCCAAGCAGAGCGGATACACTGCATGATGCCAAGCCAGTCGGTGTTGTCGCCGTATAGCATCAATGACCCATCTGTCCCTCTCCGCGGCACGATCGTGTTGACAGCGCCTATGGCTTCAGCCTCGGGCGACAACAAATCAAGTAACGGAATGATATCAAGTTTGAAAGGGATCGTCACGGAAGCACCGCCAAACTCGGGAGACGCTAGAGCAGCTCTGATTTCCTCCCCGACGCTGTCTGTTTGCAGTAGGTCGTAAGTGTGAGGCAACCCGAGGATCTCGAACGCAGTGTTGTGGAGGGTGGGCGACATAGAATGCGCAATGGGGTTACCGAAAAGGTAGAAGCGCTGAGAAGGGCTTTGACCAATCAAATGGAGCGCAGACTGGATCTGAGCGAAAGACAGTTGACCAGGAGCAGCTTTTGTGGGGAGAAGCGGGTGGGAGACAGGACTGAGCGTTGAGTTCAAGATGCGAGACAGCTGGCCCTCGATGCCCATGTTGATGCCAATCATGGGCTTCGAATCTGGCAGTAAGCGCATGCGCTGGGCGAAGCGGTGCAGTGCAAGGTTATCGTTGAGATCATTGGCCTTGCCCACAATCTTCACAATATCTCCCATGCTCGCGGCGAGACGGTACTTGGCTTCCACTCCTTTCCCGTCCCATTGCATTTTTCCGCTCCAGTCGTGCCAGGACGCTATGATCTGGGAGTGGCCCTTGTGCGCAGCAAGGTTTTTGATTTGCCCCTCTGTCCAAGAGATCTCGACGTCAATGTACTCCACCGCCAGACGAAGCGCAGTATGGAATAATTCGAAAGCTTCCTTCTCTGCATCGTCAGGGAACCGTCCGCCCTGGGACACAGTGCGCACGGTGAAGACGATGGGAAGGGTGGTTCTCCGCCTCAACGAAGTGATCTGATCAGTGACATACTCGACAGAGGGAATGTATGGCTCCAGTTTGACATGGTCATCGTACGACCGAAGTAAATCGACACGCAGCTCGATAGCGTCGACGCCAGTGGTGAGATCCTCAATATGAGACAGGGCTTGTTTGACGTCTGGATACGTCAGTGACAAGAAGTACGTCCTCTTGTCATCCATCGCCGTCAGAGCAAGATTCGGCTTTGATCCAGTGACATGATTGAAAAAGCGTTCAGTCTCATTGCGGAGACTCGTCGAGGAGGGATGCGTGGTTGACTGGAGAGGGACGGCTGTGCCCCCTGCAACGGACTCTTCTGCCGATTCCAGTCCGCCAGTATTGTTGACGAAGACGTAACTGCAGCACTCGGCGAACCACGGCTGGCGACGCTTGAAGACGTCCAGGATAGGTTCTCCATACGCAGGCCGCGCTGTCTCCTCGCCCAGATAGCTCACAATCTCGTCGATGTCCCGCTTGATGTGCACGACTGGACCTCGCTCCGCATACGTCTGGAGCAGACTGCGCGCTGCAGGCGTTTCCACGATCCCACCGCCGAGACTTATTATATGGCCCGTCGGCTTCTCCGCGAGGAGTTCTTGCAAGACCACAGTTTCAGCGTCGCGGAAAGTCGGCCAGCCGTGCTGATGTACGAAGTCACGGACACCCGTCTGGTGCTTCTCTTCAAAGACTGCATCTGCATCAAGGAACTGCCAGTCCAGGATGGACGCCGCAAGTTGCCCGATGAAAGTCTTGCCAGAGCCACGCATGCCGATGATGACGACAGATGCCGACACATCTGCATCGACTGGCCTGCTTGTAGACGTGCTGGACACATGGACAGGGAGCTCCACACCCTCTACTCCAAGACCGATCTACGAATTCCTTGAGAAGCTGTCCTTATTAAGATACAGGTACCGACGCACCTTGTTCTCGAGATCGTCCCACCAGTTAGGCCAGGTCTTCTCCACACAGCGTTTCTCTTCAATAATCGTACCCCGCACGGCAGACGCCAACACGCTAAAAGCCATAGCCACTCGATGATCATCGTAGCAGTGTATACTGGCACCTTCCTTGAGCTCCGAGATCGGCTTGCCGTAGACCTCAAGACCGTCCTCCAGTTCTTTGGTTTCCACGCCAAACTTGGCTGTGAAAGACAATGAGATGGGCGACGTTGGACAGGGGGCTGCACGACTCACCTAGCTGATCGATCATGGCCTGGATACGATTGCATTCCTTCACCCGTTGGTTCGCAATCCCGATGATCCTCGTAGTGGTTAGTCGCGAGCCATCAGCGAGCTCGCGACCCTTCGATGGCGCACCGGTTGCGACCGCTGCAAGGACGGACGCCGTCAGGAACGCATCCGTCATGGGTTCCATGTCCACAGTGCCCAGAGCCTTCAACTGGCCAATAGGGGGACCAGTCACCGTGGTCTCTGTCTCCGTCTGCACCACCTTGCAGCCCATGGGCTCAAGGACCTCCTTCGCGAAGCGCGCATCACCCTGCAGAGACGACGAGCCGATGTTCATGATCGTGCATGTTGTGCCCGTGATTGCCGCGACGGCAAGCGGGTAGGTTGCGCTACTCGCGTCGCTTTCAATGTTGTACAGCGGTGGGTTCGTGTACACGCCCGCAGGAATGTGGTACACATCGAGCGGTGCCCCAGTAGCCTGGTCCACCTCCCTCACGACGTCGATCCCAAACGTCTTCATGATCGCAATCGTCATGTCGATGTAAGGCTGCGAGATCACCTGGCCTCCTGTTAGCTCGAGCGTCACCGGCTCCCGCGCGTACGGCGCGCACAGAAGGATCGACGACACGTATTGGCTCGAGACGCTCGCCGCGAGCTGGATCCGCGCGCCCTTCAGGCCGGCGGGCGCGACGGACAGCGGCAGGCATCCCTGAGACTCCTTGTATTCGATGTCGCTACCATTGGTGCGTAGCGCGTCAACAAGGGGGCCGATTGGGCGCTGCTTCATGCGCGCATTGCCAGTGATGACGGTTCGCTCCCCAGGAGTAGCGCTCTGGACCAGGGTACAGACCGTAGTAAGGAAGCGCGCAGCCGTGCCTGCGTTTCCGAGGTAGACCTCCTTGCCAGCAGGTGGGACAGAAAGAGACCCCTCTCCACCGTGAACAACAAGGGTCTCTCCACCGTCTTCCCAGGAGAAGCGCGCCCCCTATACTTGGATCAGAAACATGTAAAGTTTGTATGATCGAGACAGAGAACCGACCTTCAGCTCCTGAAGGGCGTTCATCATGACTTGTGTGTCATCTGAGTGCAAGAGGTTCTTCAAGCGACACGTCCCCTTGCCCAAGGCCGCGAGTAGGAGAGCTCGATTCGAGATACTCTTCGAGCCCGGGGTCGCCATCCGCACCGGGCTCTTGCTCGGCACGCCAGGCACGACCACCACAGCCTCTGACAGCGTTTTCGCGATCACGCTATCCGCGACGACCGTCGCCTTCTGTTCGTATGTCGCTCCAATCCGCGACAAGATCACGATCTTCTTCTGCGCGCCGCTGTTTTTCTTGTCGATCTTCATGATGTCGAGCAGCCTCTCGACACCAAGGCCCCGTGCCGCGGGCAGCCGCACGATCCTAGAGTCCGACAGCGACACCGGCAGGTTGTACGCCTTGAGGCAGCGCGTGAGGCGTCCCACGGCGACTTGACCGAGCACACCAAGGCTCCTCGCAACCTCAGCCTCGAGGATCATGCCCACGCTGACGCATTCCCCATGCAGCATGGATGGCGTGAGCACGGCCTCGATGGCATGCCCAATGGTGTGGCCGAAATTGACGAGATTGCGCAGCCCGGTCTCGCGTTCATCGACGGTAACGATGTGGGCCTTCACGGAGATAGAACCGACGATCACGGAAAGCAAAAGCTGCTGTGCCGCAGACCGCGTTGCAACCATACGGCCGGAGTTGTCCTTGGACGGCGTCTGGATAGCTGCGAACAGCTCCGCCGAGCGGGACTCGAGCGCGGAAAACTCGTCTTCGTTCCAGATGGCCGCGGTCTGCGATAGACTCGTCCGTACACTGTCACGTCCATACCACGGATTCACACACCTTCACGACCTCCGCCATGCCATTCGAGAACTCGCGCGCAGGGAGCGTCTCGAGGAACGCGGCGTCTATGAAGATGTACTCCGGTTGCCAGAACGCGCCAATCAGATTCTTGCCGTGGGGCGTGTCGATTGCTGTCTTGCCACCCACGCTCGAGTCGACCATTGCCAATAGCGTTGTTGGGATCTGCACAAAGCGAACACCTCGCATGCTGCGCGTGATGTCAGATCCTATGAGTAGCGAGGCGCGTAGCGAACACTCACAATGTAGCAGCGACAAAACCGACCAGGTCACCGATCACCCCGCCGCCGAGTGCGAGGATGACGGTGTCTCGCGTGCTCGCGTTAAGCAATAGATAGTCCTCAATCTCGGCCTTCCCCTCACGGCTCTTGCTCGTCTCGCCAGGCGGGACAACATAATTCAGGAAGCGCGCTTTAGATGACAGTGTGTGCTTCTTGAAGGCAGTTTGGAAGGCGACGAGATGCAAGCTGGCGATGTTTATGTCGGTCACGATGACATATGTCGACGACGGCAGCGCAGTCAAGACCGTGTTGACGATGTAGGGAATGAGGTGGAATCCGCAATGGATGGACTCCTTCCCCAGGATGGAGACCTTCTGAATGTCGGCAGAGGACATTGTGAAGGAGATGTGGGCTGTGAGTAGACACAGGCCCGTTTTTCAAGAAGAGCGAGACGCTGCTTCCCGCGCTAGCTGTGAAGCTGTGAACGCCCGGGGTGTCTGTGGACGGACCTGAGTGAGATCCTCCGACAACTCGGGGTGGCGCGTGTACGAGAAGCGCGGAGAAGCACAGCGAGCCCGACACTCACTTCTTAATTCCAAAATGTAATCTACCACGTTTGGTACGTCTGCTATGATGCATAAGCGATGCTTGAGTTATGGAATTGTTCATGCAATCGTGCATCCTACCTGGAGCGTATCCTGCTCCTTTTCGTCTGTCTCTCGCGCCTGTGGGAAAGGGAGGCGTATCTTTATCTCCGAGGTGATGTCTCAGAACGCTCCCAAGCTCTCCAGAGTTCAGGCAGGAGTTGGATGGGAATTTGGAAAGGGCCAGACATCTTTACCGCGTTCGGAGTCACAGATCGATGCACGATCACGTGCTCGTGATGTACGCGCCCCCAACGCGTCGTCGTACGCGTACCAACAAAACCCGAAGAAGCAGCTACGGGATTCCGGCAGCTTGAGGGGTTCGTGGGTATGTAGTAATATGTTCCGAAATTTTAGACCGTCGCTTTGCGGTGCGATCGAATTGACCTAGCCACCCTTACAATAGCTTGAAGAGAATTTGTTCGCGGCGGAGGCAAGTTCGTATCATGCCGCAACGGAGTCCGAGAGAAGAAAAAGTGGGATCAACAGCCCAAGACTTGAGAGTGAATGTCGCATCGACGCTATCGTATACAGACATTGTATGTGTGCATACCTTGTGCGTGCACTCATGTCGTCCTTTGTCTAAGTACAAGGACGTCAACCCTTCCGCGGAGTATAGCATGAAAGGGTTACTTTTACACATTACGGCCTGCATTTCGAAGCGCAAAGAAAGTCATGATCGGATAATGCCATCACGGCTCATGCACGATTTCCCAAACGCGGCACGCGATGTCTATATCGAGTATTGATGTCTTATTATCAACTCTTGAAACAGGTGTTTTCTTCCCCCAAGTGCATGACTGCTACGCTCAGCTTTGTAGCATCAGACTGACATCCATGCCTTCAATACTCGGGCATATCCTGTATACACATTCAAATGAGATGTATGCACTCACGAGTTCCTGGGGATGGACAGAAGAATGTGCCCATGAGATCATGCATGGTACTCTGGTCTTTTCATTTTCTTGTCAAGGATACTAAACAATTCCGAATTCTGATTCATGTCTCCAAGGCCTGTTTTCAATCCAACGGAAGATCATTCAGTCTGCATTTATTCATGCTCCAGGCAATCTATTTCAGTCCTTTCTTCAAAACGTTAGAGGCCGTATGCACCCGACTCGGGGAGACTTGAAGGTCGCTGCAAGGCAAATGGATATGAACCAATCACGCTGCTTCAATCCTAGAGAGGAACAATTCGGGACGAACGGGTAATCGCGGAGTCCTACTATGTGCGGGGACAATAGACGCTTGTGCGCTGCAAACCGTTCGACGCCGTCAGCAACATCGGGGCGCCGAAGCTGAGACGGGATTTGACGGTGGTATAGGCGGCGACGCCGTGACAGAGCATTGCAGCGTGTATGTTATCCAGCGGGGATATCGTGGCCTGTAAGATAACATCTGCGGGTCCGACCTCGAGTACGCGCAGAAAGCTAGAACGAGAGCGCGGTGAGCTTCCGGAAGTTGCGGGTCCGTGAATGCTTCAAGCGCGAGGGAACGCGGCGTTTGCGTGGACGCGAAATGTCGGAACAAGTCAGAGGCAGCGAGCTGGTGGCGAGGGTAGGACCGGCGCCTGACGGTCATACGAAACGGACGGCGAACGTCACCAGCGACAAAATCTCTTCCTCCCCCCGTTCCCGATAACCCATACTTATACCCGCTCCAGCGCTGCCAGCGTGCCCAGCCCCGTCATGCAGCTCTCTCGTGGTGAGTCTCATGTCGCATTAGGCAGGTCGAGGTGTTTACCGGCAACGGCCCAGCTCGAACCGTGGTCGGAAAAAGCCTGGTCAAGTCTCGGCCGACGGTCTTCACGGCCTCCGCCAGGCTCCAGCTCGTCAAGAGACCAGCTTCGACAGAGTCAGCGCCAATTGTATGTCTGCTCTGTGTTCCCCGAAGCACTGCTTTTGTGCCTGACAGTGATATCTAACTTGCCAGTCACCACCGACGCCCCCGCCTAAGCGGTATTGGTCGCGATTCCTACAAATCACTGGAGGCTTCACGCTCGTGACGGTGGGGACGCTGGGCGTGCTCTTCTATCTCGCCAAAAAGGAAAAGACCCCGGGCGCGCAACTCCCTCATGACCCTGAAAAGAAGACGCTTGTTGTGTTGGGCAGCGGATGGGGTGCGACGAGTCTGTTGAAGTCGCTGGACACGACGGATTACAATGTGGTACGTCATTTGTGCTCCCTGTGGCTTCACGACATCTCTCAGGCCGCCGGCAGATTGTGATCAGTCCGAAGAACTACTTCCTCTTTACCCCGCTCCTACCCAGCGTCGCGGTTGGCACTCTGAACCCGCGTTCCATCATTCAACGTGCGTATCCTGCACTTCTCGCGAGATTGATACCGACTGAATTGGCTCTCGCAGCGACGCGTTATGTCACGCGTCATAAGGCGCGACAAGTCTCCGTCATCGAGGCTTCTGCTACCGAGGTCGACGTGAGTATCACATGTCCACGCTTCGCTTCCCAAAGCCTGCTCACGGCTAATTCTGTCATTTCTGTCAGCCGATCAACAAGACTGTTACTTTTGCAGGTCCGTTGGCCTCCCCGTCTTGCGTCGAAGGATGTGTAGACTCTGACTTGTGCTGTAGACACCTCGGAGATCCAGGGCCAGGTTGCGAAGACGACAGTCAAGTTCGACTACCTCGTGTTTGGAGTTGGTGCGGAAGTACAGACCTTCAATATCCCCGGTGTGCAGGAGAATGCGTGCTTCATGAAGGAGTTGGAGGATGCAGAGAAGGTGTGTGCCCTCCATGTGTGATCAAGTTGAGTTCATGCTGACGTCGTCATCTGCCAGATGCAACGCCGTTTCTTGGACTGTGAGCCTAAGAACGCTTACAAAGGGAGTCAACCTAACCATCACATATTCAGGCCTGGAGTCCGCCGCATTCCCCGGCCAGACGGCTGAGGAGGTGAACCGCTTGCTGCACATGGTATGTAGACTTAGTCGTCCACAGCTTTCATCGCCTCAATGATCCCTGTTGTAGGTTGTGGTTGGCGGTGGTCCCACTGGCATTGAAGTCAGGTATGTCGAGCCCCTCATGCCGTTTTGCACATAACTTATGGTATAATTCAGCGGTGAGATTCATGACTTCCTTGAGGTACATATTCCACTCTTCATGTACTTCTATCACTGTCTGACACTGGTGCGTGTACAGGAGGATCTTCGCTCGTGGTACCCCGAGCTTGCGAACAATATCCGTATCACGCTCGTCGAGGCGCTCCCCTCCGTGCTGCCCATGTTCAGCAAGCAGCTGATCGACTATACCGAGTCGACGTTCAAGGAGGCCAAGATTGACATCCTCACAAAGACAATGGTGAAGGAGATCAAGGAGAAGAGCGTCGTGCTGCAGACGCCCGACAAGAGCATTATCGAGGTGCCGTGCGGGCTCGTCGTTTGGGCGGCTGTGAGCGTTATGTTTGAACGCACAGATTGGCGTCGGCTGACACGCTGCGTGTAGGGTAACAAGCTGCGCAAGGTGACTCAGGATCTCATGGCCAGGCTGCCTCAGGACCAGACCAACCGGAGAGGTATCACTGTCAATGGTACGTGATCGCTCACTGGACCCGCAGGTATAGCCATGCATGCTAACTATCCCTCAGAGCACCTTCGCATGGCGGGTACTGATGGTAGCATCTTCGCGATTGGCGATTGCACTGCAACGTCGTATGCGCCGACGGCACAGGTCGCGTCGCAGCAGGGCGCATACCTCGCGCGCATCTTCGCGCAGCTCGCGAAGCGCGACTCGCTCGAGGCGCGCCTGACTCAGCTGCGCTCCGCCGCGTCGTCGGACGAGGGCCGCGTTGAGATCGAGACAATCGAGAAGCAGCTCGTGAAGGCGGAGAAGCTACGTCCGTTCCAGTACTCGCACCAGGGCTCGCTCGCGTACATCGGCTCGGACAAGGCGATTGCGGACCTGCCCTTTTTCAATGGCAACGTGAGTTTCTCGCATATCCTCTGTGATTGATGTTGTGCTCACAACGATTGGGGCGTAGTTCGCGTCGGGAGGTGTCGCTACGGTGCGCATATACTCTGTCTATTTAGGGTCGATCTGCTCACTTTCCTACTTTAGTTCCTCTTCTGGCGTAGTGCCTACCTGAGCACTCTGTTCTCGGCCCGTAACCGTACTCTCGTTGCCACTGACTGGATCAAGGTCAAGCTCTTCGGGCGGTACGTCGCGCTCTAACTTCTTGGCACACTTCATAAACTAATGTAAACGTCGCGCAGTGACGTGAGCCGTGAGTAGACGCCCGCACATAAGTGTGGAGACCATAGAGTGCATGCGTGGACATGCTCGTTACGACCTAGACTATCTACGATTCGTTTAGTTGGTTCTATAGATGCCGAACCTGGTCTACTTGTAGTACCTTCATGTTAGCGACTGCCGTTAGGGGGTCGTTGTTCGCTTGCGATACACAATACTATCTGGTGTTCGACTATAGTCAGATGTGGCAGGTCTTCGAACTTCAACCACTGGTTCCTGCCAACCTGAGAATAAAGCGGTAAACATGGCACGCGCCCGTGGTGGCTGCTTATCAGTTGCACTCACCCTCTCTCGCATACTAGGACAGATTGTGTTCCATCATGGTCTTATCCCTAGGCGAATCGTTTCTTTACTCTTGTGATAACTGAACCACTTTGAAATGCAGATACCGTGCCCAGAGATTATGTGAGAGCTCCCTGAGTCCTGACACGATGAATACTCTGGCAAGTCGCACACAAACGCCTACCCTTTTGGGGTGAACGGCTCAATACAATCGGACTGTAATACTCAGCGATGGCACAATTTAGTCAAGCTTCTTTGTGGCGTGGGATGCTAATCATTCGCAGCCCTTGGCGAGTGTATAGACTAGAGAGCATGCCGCTTATTTCGCTCTTCAGCCAGGCGTACTCTGAAGTCTGTCCACGGCATGCATTCCTGCTCGCGCGATCCATCGCACGGACAATGAGCATTTGTTGTATTATATACCACCATACGGTCATTTAGACGCTTAAATCACTAATGCCAATGTTTGTTCGGCCAGGGCCGAGAACGATGCTCAAGCTGAGAGACAAGTAGCGGGGCTATAACCTCGACGTATCTCTTAGCACAGGTACTTTGGACATGGGATCATCCCTCATGACGCCACAGGAGTGCAGAAGTGTGCTAATAGGTGTGTCGCTCTATTGCTACTACCGGCGTGGCTGCCACTGAAGATTTCATTGTGTTATACAAGTATGAGCGTCCACCGTCCGTGATGTGATTGGCGCTTGGATCACCAGCTCAGCTGTTGAAGAAGTCGACGACATGACATGCATCTATCCACTCATTCAACAGAAGCGGTTGGATGTCCAACTCGGCGTCGAACGACGTGAAAGCGCGTAGGAGCCCGGGTGAGAGCTGTCTGCGGCTATGTGGCTGACGACTCGGACATCAAGCTTCAAGTACGATATACATACTGCGCGAAGGGGTCGGACTCGTTGCTGGTTTCACTGCCTTTTAGTACGGACATGCCTCATGCAGATGCACCGAGACACGTCCAGGCTGAAACTACGTCCCCGATGACATGATGCTGGTCAAGATCTGTCCCGGCGCGGCCCAATCCCACGGCTTTGGGTCCAAATTGTGTCCGCGAGTGAAGTGTCGCCGAAACAGCGGTGAACCGCGAATGATCCCCGCTTCAGATGGGACCGAAGTAACGGGCGAAGAGAATAGTGCTCACAAGTTGTCCCAGATCCTCGGGTCACCTCCGAGGATATCCCAGCGGCCGGGCTGTAGTGTGTCGAAAGAGGTTCTTTCGTTTGGCACACTTACCTGCTAATTCCGAGGACTTGAATAATACTATGCTAATATTAGATCGACAGCAGGCTCGGCTGATGATGACATTGATCAAGTTACTGCCACCCATGGGCGGCTATGCGTCCCGATTTAACCTTAGCGCTGAACGGAAATAGCACTCCGCCTTCCTCTTTGGTCCTCTCGCCGACCTCGCCCCGCCTTCGAAGGCGGTTGCGTCATGAGAAGTACTTCTCGGTGCTTCTCTCGATCTCCACATAGTGTATATATAAAGAGCTCAATGAGCATTCCAGTGTGCGCCTTTCTTTTCCCTCATCCCCCATCTCAGCGCTTCGAATTTGCCCATGATGCTTCAGCTGTCACAGGCAAATTTCAGTGATACGAATGCTCGGCCGTATCTTTCTCTAGTCCCGCATGCGACTCAATGCACAGTTAGAGCCACCATTTCATAGCGATGCGATGCGGTTTGCGCCTTCACGCCGGAAGCCTGCGGCTTGCCCGCCACGTCGCCGGTCTGTATAAATCAGGAGCAGATGCGGCACTGTTGAACGTCATCATTGCGCCATGATGAAATCCTCAATGTCAGCTGCGGCCCATCACGGTGTCCTGGTGGGCAACATCTCCACGTCTGGGAACCATCCACGTCTGTTATACTCATGACCAGCATCACTGTATATCAGGCAAAGATGCTTAAGTCGCGCCTGGAAACCAACACCGGAACAGCATCAGCACAACTCGCGGACATGTGAACAATCAGGACGGTGCTCCGAATCCGTCCAGATCAACAAAAGGCATCGCACACCGGCCTATCTGGCAGATCCCACATATATCCTTTTCACCGGTGTCATGATGGTGGAAAAAGCGCCGATGAGGTATTTATCAATTCCTTAAATGTCGTCGAAACATAACCGACTTGAGATGCAACAGGCCTAAGCGGAGGCAGTCTGGTGTGGTTATCGACGGTGTATTTGACCACAGGCTACAATCGTATCTAGGTACATGTTGCGGAAATCCCGCCGTGGGTACTAGCGTACCTAAATATAGACCTCCGTCTGGTGACAATGTGTCGAAGTTGGCAAGTGATGGGCGATGCCCGAGACTGTGAGTAACTCCGTATTTGCCGATGTCATGGTGTTGTGGTACCAACGCGGCATATGGCAATCTCTCAGACAATTGGCGGTATTGTGGATCAACGGTGAAAGGGACAGGCGAATTGCAGTTTGCAAAAGGGAACGGGTGCGCATACACTCTACTATCCAGCAATACAGAGGGTTTGCTGACAGCTTTCCAATTGATTGAAGCCTGGATATCTCATGTATAATGCCTCGCTATTCGGAGCACACATAACGTGGATCCCGGCGTGGGCGGCTATGAATATCCCATTGGCAGGTGGTGATGCTATCAAATGGCATCCATGACAAGACAGTGGGACGAAAAGGCTGAGCTTGTAAGCACACTGTAACCACCTCATTTTGTTGGAGCTTGTGCGTGGGCGATACGTATCGCTTGGTATTCCTTGGTGGGCCGACCATCGGTTGACAGATAATCATGATACCCACCGTAGTTCGTCACGCATTCGTCATGCACGTCGAGGACGAGCTCGCCGCCGGGGCACGGGATAGTTGACAAATCCGCAGCCTCCAGTAGGGAAGAAGAAAGTGCAGAGTACTGGCTTGGCTGCAAGATAAGTAGGGTGCGTCGTACAGTGGAGCGGTCGTCTCTGCCAAGAAGTTGAATTTCGTGGGCGTTGCGTTGGCATCTGAACAGATGAACCTATAACAAAGAAGCATAGCGATATGGACGGACCCGCACAATAGAAGCCTCATTACTCCAACAGGCACGGTAGGTAGCCGCTTGTTGCAACATGCGGAGCGCTTGCCGTGGGAAGCAATGTTCCAGATCAGGTAAGTAACCTTGGTGTACCGTGAGCTGCTTTCTCCCAATCATATTCCCGTGCGTAGTCATCACCAGGCGCGGCGAGCAGAATGCGAAAAACATCATCGATCCGTCCGAGGTGGTTACCAACGGTGCGGACCGGCTGCAATGCTTGGCAGCAAACATTCAGCGCCTAGACAATAATAGCCACACCGCATAGGCACCGACGCCCACGATCTCGATCCGGTAGCGACGCCCGTGAGCGTGATGGCCCGCACATGGCCGTGGATCAGCACTATTAATTGGACGCGTCCGTCAAAGCACGTCCTTCCTAACGTTCCGTGACCCGCGTTGTGCATAGGCTGAGCCTTGAGTCCTTGCTTGCCTTCGTTCCCCTGCCGGCGGGGTCTCTGCTCCTTTCAACACTTCGCTTTCTATTCTTTTGGCATAGGTCCATTCCCATTTGTCCTTCGATTTCAGCACTCTCTTTCAGCATGCCTTTCCTCGTCGAGCGAGCTCCTTCGGTGGCTGCAGCTGCAGCCAAATCCGCCGCCACAACTGCTGCCGCAACGGTGGCAAGTGCTGCGGCCAAAGCCACTGCAACTGCGAAAGCGGCGGCTGCAGCACCGGCCATTAACCAGGCCATGCTCGTCTATCGCCTCGACATTGGCCTAATCTGCTTCGCCGGGCTCATCATCTTATTCGCGTTGCCTCGGATGCTCGCACGTCTCTCCCGTCTCTCCGCTTGGGCCGAGGGCACGATCTTCCGCCGCGTCACTATAGCCTCACCCCTGTATTTCTCGAAGCACTTCGACCCGTCTAAATTCGTCAGCACGGACGAGATCAATGCCGAGAAGGACTTCGTCAATGTCGACGTCACCTCATCGGAGACACACTCGGACACAGCGGTCAACTGGTCAACGTCGACGCTCAACGTCGACGCCGTGAACGGCTCGTCAAGCCCGCCTGTGTACATGCCATCGTGGTCGACCCTGTTCCCGTGGGCGAACTTTATCCTGTCGTCGAAAGTGCGCCCTGGATACTCCTTGGGCTACTGCATCATCCTGCTCGCGTACACGGCTGTGGTATCGTATGTTAGCCTGGTGGACGTGGACCTCTTCACGAGCCCGTCTCGGTTGGGATGGGTCCCCACAAGCCAGATACCGATCATCTTCATCCTGGCCACCAAGAACAACGTCCTGGGAACTTTGATTGGCATGGGATACGAGAAGGTTGTATTTGGACTACTCCATATTGCGTAATCAAGCAGAGACTGAACAATGTTTGCACAGCTGAACGTGTTTCACCGATGGGCGGGCCGTTTCGCAGTCCTTCTGGTGGACCTGCACGCTCTCGCGTACTGTGCGTACACGCCGCCTTTACATCGGTGCATTCTCAAGATGTTGAAAAATGTTTCTAGTTGCCAAGTGGGCTCAAACTGGCACCATTGCGTCCCACATGGAGCCCTATGTCATCTGGGGTTGCATTGCGCTCGGCGGAATGAATATCCTCTATCTTCTCTCTTTCACCGCCCTGCGCCAAACCTACTACCAGCTTTTCTACGTGTCGCATATTGTCGCTGCCGTGGTGGTTCTGGTCGCTGTAAGCCGCTGCCGCCATACTAGCATTCCTGTGCTCGCGTTCTCATCGCAGATTTAGGTCCCCTATCACGAGGCGGGCTCGATCCCCTACATCATCGCTGCCGGAGCGCTGTACGGCTTTGACCGCCTCTTGCGTCTCATCCGTACGCGCGTCACCACCGCGCACATCCGCGCGATGCCCGAGCTTGGAACTACGCGTGTTGAGGTGCCCAGCATCAACGCAGGATGGCGCGCAGGTCAGCACGTCCGTCTCCGCGTCTTGAGCATGGGTATGGGTGGCTGGGGCTTCGGCTGGACGGAATCTCACCCGTTCACCATTGCGAGCGTTGAAAAGGTGGGCCTTTTCTGCTAATGTCAGCGAGGGAACTCGAGTTGACCATGTCTGCTGCACCGATAGAGCCGCGGTGAGGAGGGTCTGGTTCTCATGGTCAAGAAGGCTGGCGACTGGACGAACAAGCTCTTTGAACTGGCCCAGAAGTCTGAGTACCGCGACGGGGGTGAAAGAAAGGTCAGAGTAATGATTCAGGGACCTTACGGTATGTCTTCTCCATGCCTACGAGACATGTAGGTCTGATGTGACTGTATGTATTAGGTGGACCTGGGCACGCGTCCGTGGCGAGCTTCTCCGGCGCAATGTTCGTCGCAGGTGGAAGTGGCATCACTTATGCCCTCTCGACACTGCAGGAACTTGTCCAGAAAGGAATGGACGGCGGCAGTCGCGTGCGCGCTATCGACCTCGCGTGGAGCATGACTGACCCTGGTACGCTTCTCTCTCATTCGCCTGCGCCTACGTTGCTGACATCCATCGTCTGCCTAGCTGGGCTGAAGCCTATGATCCCGACATTCGCCGCGCTCCTCGCGCAAGCCCCCAGCGCTGGCATCAACCTGCGCATCTCCGTCTCGTACACACGCGCACTCGTCGTCCCCGAGGCAGATGCCCTCAAGGACTTCCAGCGACTCCCGCTCGGTCTCTCGATCGTAGCCGGGCGCCCGCGTCTGCCTAAGATGCTTGACGAGGTCATTGATCGCACGTGCAATGCGAAGGGCATGAACTCGGACTCGTTATCCGGTGTCGTCGTGGGCGTGTGCGGTCCGCCAGCCCTCGGTGATACAGTCGCTCGCGCTGTCAGACGCGTAGGCGGTGACAGGAGGCGTGCCGTTGGCGGCGTCGAGCTGCACGAGGAGTACGTATTTCTGATTCAGCTCCTTGGACATTTGATTGACAACCGGCTCGTTGTAGGATTTTCGGGTGGTGAATGTCACTCCGCTCTCATAGGCTTCAGTCAAGTGCAGCTGTATTTATCAAGCTTTCTTCGCCGCTGCTTGAAGCAGCGTGCTTTCATTCTTTCAGTCATCATTCCCTTCGCTGCACTTCCCTCATCCTTGCCTGTTGTACTGCAAGACTCGTTGCACGACGTGGGTTGCGATATCAGATCACTCTTTAGGCCCCGGCACGCATGCAGCCTCGGGGTCCTGTACGCTCCCGCCTGCTTTGCATATCGTGTACATTAGCATGCATGTACTCGGTTCTAGATTGCAATAGCGTGATCTGTTATCCCGATTGGTTGCAGTGCTAGCGTGTCTCGCCTACACGTTTTGGGTTCATGTCACCGGTAACCATGGAATGCACTCGCAGCAGCAGTCTCGACTCTCGTGGAAACGCTACGACGGCGAATGAGCACTTAGTCTGGTCCCATTCGGTGCCCACAGGTTGTCATGTCAGCTATCGTGCTGATCATTCCTTCCAGGGTGCGAAACGGACCGCGGGATGCTGTTGTGCTTGTTGGGGATGAGTGTTGGGGATGAGGGGCTTGGCGATAACTGCGAAGGTGCAGAGCTGTTTGCTCAGTTGAACGTCCAATGAGCGTTGGTCGTCAAGTACGTCTTCTGACGAACATTCGAAGCAAGAGACTTGAGGACGGTCTGCTGATACTAGACGCATCTTCAATGATTGGACACAGCCTACATACCACTCCCATGAGAGTCGGGGCAGTCCTTGTCTCGTACCCAGACCCACCGTATCTTTTCGCGGTGGTTGGGTGCGGATACGGTGGGTCCGGGTACGAGAGAACGGCAGTCCCTGTGTGCATAATACAGTGGGAAGCCCAACAGCCCAGGCTCGCATCTTCATAACGCCGATCACTCTGTGCCAGATGAATCTTTCGAACCGTGGCATACCTACGAGAAACTCTCCGGAATCCGGGGGGCTTCATGCTGTGAGGGACCCACTAGTACTGCGACTGCACAAAATGTTGCAATGTGAGCAGAGGGATGTCCTCGAGCTACGTCATGTACGTCGTCCTAACTCACAACGGTGACGACTATTTAGAGGACGCGCACGGGACGCTGGTGCGACTCGACAAGTTCAAAGCCTTCGACGCCGCCAATGATGGTGCGACGGCACGGAAGACGTGCGGGAAGGGGTTGCCGTTGGTGTAGTGTGTGGTTGATGTGAGGGGGGAATCTATGGTGACTCGTGTGAGGAAACTTACGCAGTCATCTCGAGCAGACGGTTTCATGCGATGCAGGATCTGACCTTGCGGATCCAGGCGGTAAGTTCGTCTTCGAGTTTGCCCTTAGAGGGGCCGGTCAAGACGCAGCGCGATATGAGGTTGCTCGGTGAACGCGGTCTGCTGGAACGCGCCCCTGGAGGTCGTGCTATCGATGCCTTGGTGGGTGTTCCGCTCGAGCGCGAAGCCGAGGGTGTTCGCCAAAGATTGTTAGTAGGGTAAACACAATACAGTAGCTAAGCAATGATGCGTTTCGGATACAGTCCACACATGAAATCACCTCACTTTGTTCTGACATGCATCATGTAACTTGGCCACCAGCCCAAGAAAGAATTTTGAGTCCAGGAGGACGTCTCCATACAACATACAAATACAGCCTTGTGTGATTTACCTCTGACCAAGCATAGCATACGCTTTACTTCCAGTCGTACTTCGGAGAGTATCCGAGCACACGCTTCGCCTTGTCAATGCTGAGCAGCGTGTCATTTGCGCCTGGCGTCGGTTTGTATGGGACACCCGGGAAACATGCCGCCACTAGCTCTGCGTTTGGCGCGCGCATGGTCGTGTTCTGCAAATGGTGAAGGCATCAACAGAAAATTCGGCACTGGTGCGCAGGTATGGTGACAGATGTGAGCGCACGCACATTGTTCGCAATAATGAACTGGTGATGGCCCGTCGCCTTGTATTCGAGGGACTTGCGGATCGCTTGGGCACCCTGCACACCATGCACGTAAGTACGGGGATTGCCTCGGCAACACGAGAAGGAGTACGCACATCCCGAGCGTCGATGTATCCGAACAGACTGGCAACGGAGCCCACGGCATTAGCTACCACACGCAGGCGCAAGATCAGGGCAGCAAGCTCCCACGCACTTCCACTTCCGGATCTTCGGGTCGTCCTGCCACGTCTCGAACGCGGCAAAGTCCTCTGGAGACATCACGTTCGAGAAGCGCAGCGAGACGATCTTCGTCGTCGAGTCCCATCGCGTGTACTCTTGGGCCATGACCTGCGGCGAGTGTCAGCGTCTGTAATCCAGCTTTGCTTATGGCCGAGCACACCTCGCCGACGAGCTTGCTGAGCGAGTACGCCGTCTCTGGCCGGCGGGGCGAGTTCTCGTCCATGGGGATGTAGTCTGGCAGCCAGGGGTTGAGCGGAAGACCGAGGAGAGTCTCGGACGAGGCGAGCACGAGGTTTTTGATACCGAGCTTGCGCGAGGCCTCGAGGATGTTGTAGGTCCTGCCGTGAATAGAGGCATCGTCACGGGCCCGGCAGGAGGAATAGAGAATGCGTCACACACGACATCGCGTTCAACTGGAACTGCGTCGAGGACGCCATCATTCCGGGCGCAGGGAGGGCCGCGAGGTGCACAATTGCATCGATGTTCTTGTATTTCTGCGCTCCAGCTTCAGTTTACCGATCCGCAACAGCACGGCACGAGTCCCTCGACCCACCGTATCCACTTCGATCAGGTTCTCCATGACCTGGCCCATGTCTTCAAGGTCCGTGTGCATGAACTGCGCCTCCTTCGGCGCAGTCGGCGGGGGCAGCTGCTTGTCGAAGTTGATCACCTCCCAGCCGTTCGCGACGAGCTCGACGACTGTCGGACGGCCAAGCTTGCCGGATCCGCCGGTCACGACGACGTGCCGCTTGTGCGTGGCGGCCGCGAACTCATCAGCGGCGACACCGAGAGCCCGGGTGGCAGTGAAGGATACGGGGCGGGACATGGACCGGTCAGTACGTCAGTGCAAGGCAGCGAGAAGCTCAGGGCTCGAGGCTGGGGATCGGCGGCGCCAAATCTGCATTAGATATATGAAGGCGGGCGCGGCCATCACTCCGTCGGTGTCCCGAGGACGCGGCAATGCTTGTCAGCAGCAGGGGAGGTGAGGGGGGCGAAGAAACGAAGGGCGCAGTTTCTGAGGGCGGACCGGACACGGTGAATAGACTCGTGATCGAGTCCTGTTGTTGCGCCCGACGTGCTCGCGATATCCTCGGAGACACGTCTATCTCACCCAGCTGTCGGTATCTAAGGCATTGTTTCAGATGACCTTGTTGCACTAGGATCGCTTCCCCCTTTTACTGCTAAAGGGAGCTCGGCTTCCTGCAGTGTTTGCTTCGCTGTGTGAGCGAACCATATAGTTGAGTAAGGCGTGGCATCCCCCGGGATGAGACTCTGACAGCCCTTCCGTAAAACAGATAGTCATGAGGTACGTTACCGTTACCACAGTAAGTAGGTCTCCGACGTTCTCCAGCTATGTATTTCTGCTGCCCAATACTCACTCAAGATCTCAATGAGCAGCCCGAGGTGACATATGCTATTGATTGGAAATTGCCGTAGCTCCGGTCTCAAGTCATAGGAGCTGATAGATTGCTGTCGACGGTAGCCGTCGACAAAGACCAAGACCAAGACCGCCGAAGTAGCACCTGCCGACTGAAAGCTATTTATCGTCTCTTTTTCCGCGTCTTGACATGCACCCTTGAGGGGCAACGACGAAGCCAGCTGTCTGTCACGAGTCGTTCAAATGTATTCGGCCGGTAAATTCGTACTTCGGAAGGACAATGCATAACAGAAATAGCGAGCACGATATTCATACGAGTCCAGAGTGTATCTTCATGTTCATGGGAGTCAGAAATGAGCTGAAGACTTTCCTTGTTGCTGATATAGAGCATTTCTTAACGCTATATGGCCTTGTTTGCGTCTTGTGGCGGAGAAAGTAGCGTAAAATTTTCTTTTTGGAGAGTAATCGTAAGGGAACGGATGTTGAGACATGAAACTGCCAGGAAGGTTAAGGCTACAAGATGAGCCGACAAAGCTAGACAACTCACCAAGAGCTCGGGGTCATTCACGGGTGTTGGGACTTCAGGATACTGTCCCATCTATGCGCAACTCGTTGTCTCTGCTCCGCGATAGCACCATGAAGTTGCCACTGTAATTTCTCCACATTGGCAGGAATATCATCATCGAGGCCCGATTCCCCTACATCTCGGAGGCTCTCGTTGTCATAGTACTGAAACTGTGAGAATAGAAAGGCAAAAATGTAGCCACCAGAAAGAATCCTGGAAATCTCTGCATATGGCGGAGAGAAATGGTAAGTATCATTGTGATGTCAATGAAGTTTGACTAACCGTCTCTCTTTCGTGGCTCGGAGCAGCGTCTATGGGCGAGGAGGGCTATATATCGACTGAGTCCGAAGTGAACGGTGCGAATTCGAGCAAGCAGATTCTACGATATATGAAGACATTCGGATACATTGCGTTAAAATAGGACTTTCGAGGATAAGCATGAACGTACCCCAATATCCAAGTTGAGTTCATTAAGTCGGTGATAGAGCAAAGACAACTCTACCATGTCGTACAGTAGTGGTGTAACGATGCTGTAATCTTCCACTGCCACGAGTGACAATATCCTTAAGAATTGTTTTCGATTCTCCAGCCATGGATGAGGATCGAAGCCGAAGTACGGTGCCTTGCATTTATGGTACCATAAGTCACGCGACGAAATCTGTGCATGAGGCTGCGATGGATGGTCAGCAGTCTGGATGTCACCTTCGGGGGACAGTACAGCTAGGATATGGGTGATTACGGAGACCAGGTTGTCGGAGATGTCGAAGGCCTCCTGGACGACCATGTTTTTGTACAACAGTGATGATGCCCTCTAATTTATTCACAGTGTTGTCTTTGTATCCTGCGGTCACCATTGCAAACCAGAGACGTCAAGATGCGACTGCTTTCACTGTCTGGATTTGGGTTTTGCAAGAAACTATGACTACTGGGCTCTCAGACGGCAATGTCAAGATTCCGCAGGCTCTCGATGTGCGGACACCATAGCTTCGTAACGAAAGGATATAGGCTTGGTTGTGGGAGGGTTATGAGGTTCACGAAGCCCTAGGTGAGTAGTGAACACTGGCCCCTAGGAGCGCCATTGTGTATGTATAGTGTTGTTGACTTCAGTTCCTCGCACTCGGGACAGACAAACTCTCCAGCACTGGGATTGTGAGTGCGTATTATTTTCTCTCTTTTAATACAGCTCATCATAGTCTGTCGGCTGGTCCACAAATGGCATCCTCGAGTTCCTGCAGCTCAATCCAATGGTCGCTACGTTCAGCTGGGCAGCGATCCTGGCCGAAACACTCGAAGATCGCGAGCAGAGACAGCACCACTTGTGGGCCAATGCTCGCCTCCTGGCCCACATGGTGGAGCACATATTCTGGTGGCGGCAGTTCCACCAGGCCTGCAACGTAGTCCCAGAGTTCACCTCATCGCAGTGCACAGACTTCACAGACTTCACCGAGCGGTGCGACGTGGACATGCGCGCCGAGATCCTTCTCATCCTGTGGGGTGAGCATGGCGTTGACACGGATGCCACGCCGCATCCAGCTGTCTGAGTAGTGCCGACGCTGCTTCCCGGTGCCGCGGGGAGTGCCATTCGACGGCCCCCCCTGGACCCTCCTCCCTTGCCTCGCTGTCGAACAATCGATGCAGCTCGCCGTGCGAGGACCAGCCATACAATGACCCCCCAAGCTAATGCATGTAGCCCACCCAAAACACGTAGGGCTAAGACATCGAGAGAGCTGCATTTTATCATGCCGCTCCATATAAGGGCGTGGATCCCACTCATAGGAGCTCCTGAGGCTCGGTTATACTCTACATGTACATATGTCTAAACTTGCAGAATGAATACTACAAAAAGGCAGAATGAATACTACAAAAAGGAAATATGAGCAATTGAAAATGAGTGTACAGAAAGATCGTAAAGCTCACACACTAGGCCTACCTATCGGCATGGAGTGTTCACGGCATGTTCTCGCTGAGTTTACAACATAGCGGGATCCTCAGTCATATATCTTCCCCTGAATGCAGCTTTCCTACTCGTAACTACTATGTACAGAGAATGATGATATTCTTGAACACCATACCACGAGATGGCTGATCGCGCAGTGTCGTGCATGTTGTAGCACCTAAATCTGTATATACTTTATACTTCAATACTATCAGAATATCAATAAATATCTATGGAATGTACTCCAAGGCCTTTGGTCCATGCACAAAGCCCGCGAACTTCACTACGTGTACATGCCAGTGACTCGGCCGGCGCTTAACGATGATTGAACGCAGGTCTTGTTATACAGCCCGCAATATAGAAACAGTTGACACCCCATGCCAATTCCTAGAGTTAAATCGAGAGGATCTATTGAGCACTAGAATATTTGGTGTTCATACTTACAAGGAATCTGCACAGGGTATCCACCTTACGACATGTACTGCGAGAGAAACAGTGTTCTCCTAGGCCCTATGTTCTGCACAAGTGAGCCCACCTGTTTCATGTCTCCGGGGATCTTTTGAAGGTCTACAAGAGTTATGTATCTTTGAGATATGGCCGCATGAGTACTGAGGACTGTACGCAATTTTCTCAATTTTCTTATTTTTGTTTTTTGTTTTTAAAAGTCCGTTCTGCGGATTTCGGACATGAATTTCGGAAAGTGTTGTACTTCCGATGATACTCCGTGATGCAGTGCAGCATGTAGGTGAAGAATGTGACTCGGAAGGACACTTCACAGACATCATGGCAATCAGCTGCATATGTGAAATGGTAGAGCACCATGCCTGTGATGTAGGTGTGAGAACGACGCCGGAAAGACCGCCGGCAGCCAACGTCCTCGATGGACAGGGATCAATGGTGGATAAGGTTACAAACCGATGGGGCTACCTACGGCGCGCGACACCTACATAAGTCCTATTCCCACACCGGCGCACGACCACGTGACCCGGGCCGGCAGCGACACTTGCCCGACATACCCAAAAGTCAACACTCCCCCTCAAGCGAGCTACCGTTAGCCTACACCCAATCAAAATGCGAAGACATCCTCCATGACCGCCAAGCTCGCATGAGTCCTTTTGTCCGGACAATTCCGTCGAATGTGCCCAACCTTCCCACAGCAAAAACACGTCACCTTGCCACCCGAAGCTCCCCCTGAAGCCGCAATGTTGGCGACAGTCGCCTCGCCATTGTCCTGCCGCTTCCCGAGCCTCGTCTCCTCATTCAGCAGCTTTGCACACACATTGTCGAATGTGCGCTCCCTTGTCAGCATCTCGTCAACCACCGTGACCACCCGCTCGAAGTCCTCTCCCAGTCCCATGATGAGAACAAGGACCTTCTGCTGGTCCGATACCTCGACGTCGACATCCCGGAGCGCCCGTGCGTAGCCTTTGACCTGGGAGATCCAAGCCTGTGCTGTCTCGCCACCTTCCATCTCCGCGTGGTAAAACTGTCGCCACTTTGCCAGCTCCGTGGCGAAACCTCGTGAACGGTGCGCATCCTGGAGGACCCACCAGCACTCATGGGGGTCCGTTTCGTCCTGCAACAGCTCCAACTGGTCGTCACCAACCCGGAGCACGATCTCCGCCCGCGCCTTGGCCATGTCGGCCTTCTTCCGCTTTTTCAGCTCCTTCGCTAACGCCTCAGCCCTGTCTTCCCCCTCCTTGGGCTCCACCTCGACTTCCACTACCCCCCACAGTCCCTTCCTAACCAGCTCCGCCTCCATCTTCATTGCCCAGACCCGATACTTCCCCTCGACCAAGAGGGGGAACTTGGTGTCATGCTCCGAAGTCATGTTGGTGCCAGTACCAGACGAGAGAGTAGTATAGCGAGGTTCTAGGCAACAGCAAAGCACTTGATTTGTCGATCGGTTTGTGTGAGAATGACGCCGGAAAGACCGCCGGCAGCCAACGTCCTCGATGATACAACGGTCTATACTCCTATATCGATGCCTGACTCGTAGACGACGAGTGAGGGCTTATGGACGGTGTGTCGTCCTGAAGATTGAGCGAGGAAGTCGAGAATGACCACTACTCCAAGTGAAGAGGAGCAGAGACTTGAATGAATAACCAGGTTGAACTTAGGGTTCGACTGACTAGTGGTACAACTACTTATACAAGTACCGACTGCGCACAGACCATCGTGTCTATGTGGTCGTGTTAGTGAAGAAAGAAACGTAGTGGTACGATGCCGAGTACGAAGTGCGCACGGACCCCATTATGTAAGCTACATATTGTGCAACCTGCGGGTGGGTGCTAAGACAGGTGCCAGTATGGGCGCTAGTAGTACAAGGAATAGAACGGAAAGACAAATGTTTCATTACCCCCCTGCCAGAGTCGAAGTCCCATTCGACTACTTACTGCTCACCATCTCCATACAACTCCCAGCCTACACTGTCGTCCTCCTCTTCGTCAAACCACTCCTTGCGCGTGTTCCTCCCTACGTTCGTCCATTCCTCGCCAGAGAGGTGCTTCTGATTCGGCCAGGAGCTGTCCCAAGTCCATTGAGTGGTGTCGGGTGTCCAGTCGGGGTCAACTTTGCGAAAGACGACGGGTGTATCGGGGCGGGGGCGCGAAGGTCCCGCGATGGGACTGGTTGGGGGTTCGGGGTTAGCGCTGCGCGGTGGAGGAATAGGTATCGCTTTCGTCTGCCTTTCTTTCTCCTTCCTCTCCTTCGCCTCGTTGATGATTCCTTCGAGGAACATGTTGTCGACGACCACCCCCACGCGTCGTGCAGGTTCTTCAGGTGGTGCGGATACGTGTCGCTTCATCGGCCTGGTTCCGCACTCTCGCTCCAGGTGTCCAGGGGCTTCTTTTCCGCATCCTGCACATCGTACATCCGGACAGTCCTGTACCCAGTGTCGAGATGATCCGCATCGCCTGCAGCTTCCCTTCGGGGTCCAACTAGGGTTGGGTTGCCAGTCAGCCGGGATGGTAGTGCTCCGCGGCGTTGCTTGGAGGAAAGGGGATGGGATCGGGGGGCGCCTAAAGGCAGATGTCGGTAGGGGTGCGGGTAGGGGTAAGTACGTGTTGGGGATGGCGCGCGGGATGAATTTGTTGTGTCGTGCCCGGATGCTGCGTGGTAGGAGTGGTTGAAAGCGATGGGCAACTTTCAGATTATCAAGCTGGATGAGCTCGGTGAGGACGCAGTCGTCCTGTTGGCATAGGAGCCGTTTGTGGTGGTCGATGGCCTCGTTGGCTGCCTTGACAGCCTCGTCGTAGTCGCGGCGGGCGGAGAGATACGCTTCTAGTGTAGTGCGGTCAGTGGCATTGGTTGCCTCGGGGTTGTGGGCTTTGAGCTTGTTGAAAACATCGGTGGGATTACTGAGAAGGAGCGTCAGCAAGGTGCTGTCACTGACGTGGGTGTGCTTAGGGGTGTAGATTGAGAGCCTTTTCCCGCCTTCGGTCGAGGGGGCATTGAACTGGTCGAGGAACGAGAGGGTGGAAGACATGTTGGTGCGAGTGGGGATGTAGCAACTGGGTAGAGCTGCTAGCGATTCAGCTCAAGTCCTTCCTGTTCTTATACTCTGCCAACACTTCGTCAGCCGTTCCAGTCAGGTTCGCTTCGGGCTCCCATGAGTCATCGGCTGTTGAGTAACCCTTCCACCTGACGCGATATTCGCGGCGCCGCATCCTCTTGTTCTCTCAGTGTCCGATGATGGCTTCGACTTCGTAGTTATCTTCGCCTTCGATAAGGTCAGGGGGTGGCCTCGTGTAGTTCGGACCATGGATCTCCGTTTCCGAGTAGGGAGATAGAAGCCATTCGTGGAAAACGGGGTGGACTCGCCAGGTGCTAGGCAAGTCTAGCTTGTACGCGACCGTTCTGATCTTGTCTAGGACTTTGAATGGCCCTTCTCGCCTCGGGGCTAGTTTCCTGGACGGGTACAGCAGTTTCAAGTTCCGGGAATCTAGCCATACCAGCTGACCTTTATGGAAGGAACCCCCCTTCCTTTTTACTCTCTTGGCCAGGACATTCTGGGCCATCTCCATTGCCACATGTGCTTCTTTGCGGATGTTTTGCAAGTCCTTGAGGCGATAAGCTACTTGGGGCGTGTTTGATCCGGGGTGCGCAGTGGGTATTCCATGAGGTTCGTATCCCATCATGAGTTTGAACGGGGACACCTTCGTCGTGGAGTGCTCGCGGGAGTTGTGAGCAAATTGCGCGGTGTGAAGATGGTCAGCCCACTTATCCGGGTCATTGGCAGTGAAGCAGCGGAGGTAGATCTCCAGCTCTTGGTTCACTCGTTCTGTCTCACCGTCGGTTTGCGGATGGAATGCCGTACTCATGGCTGATTGAACCCCAGTCATTTTGCAAAGTTCCTGGAAGACTTTGGATGCAAATTGCGGTCCTCGGTCACTGATGATCTTGTCTGGGAGTCCAAACCACTTGTAGACTTCTCGGTACATTGCATCTGCCGTCCCAAGAGCGTCAATTGTTTTGTTGCATGGGATGAAAATTACCCCCTTCGTAAGGTCATGGTCCACTACGACCAAAATGGAATCAAAGCCATTGGATGGTGGCAGGTCGGTGATGTAATCGCACGAGAATGTGCTGAAGGGCTTGGCATTTGCGCGGGGTCGAATGGGGGTGATGGGCAGTCGGGCTGGATGCGTGTTAACCTTCATTTGCTGGCAGATGCCACAGCCGTTAACATAGTGAGCGACAAACTGGGCCATGCTCGGCCACCAGTAGTCACAGCGCAAACCGAGGAGGGTTTTCTGAACCCCGGGGTGTCCTGCGGAGGGGAGGTCGTGATAGTGGGAGACAAGACGTTTGTGAAGAGACTCATCTGGGGGTACATAGACCCGATCCTGGTATAAGAGGAGGTCATCGTCGATGGACCAGTCTGTTCCAGTGCGTGGTGCTCCTCCGGTGCGCGCCGCAGTGAGTCCTTCCTTCATTATTGGGTCGTCTTTGAAAGAAAGGATGGTGTCACGGGTGTCGATGTCGATGGCAGCGACCCATACTTCTGGTGGGAGCATAACAACATCGGTGTTGTCGTTTGAGCTGTCGTCATGGTCGGGTTGGCGGGAGAGAGCGTCGCTCTGCACCATTTGGGTACCAGGAACGTGCACCAGGCGGAAGTCAAACTCGGTCAGTTTACTTGCCCAGCGTGCTTGTCGTCGGTTCATGTCTTTGGCCTGCTTCCAGTATGTGAGATTCTTGTGGTCGCTGAGAATCGTTACTGGGTATGGGCTGCCAATGAGGTAGTGCCTCCACTCATCTAGTGCGCGGATGACCGCATATAATTCCCTGTCGTAGATGTCGTAGTTTCTTTCAGCCGCATTGAAGCTCTGGGAGAGGTATCCGCAGGGATGCCAATCGCTGTTGTCATCACGTTGGCGTAGCACCGCTCCAGTGGCGAACTTTGAGGCGTCGGTTTCGATGGTGAAGGGTCGGTCGGGATCCGGCATACGTAGTACTGGTTCTTCTAGGAATGCCTTTTTGAGGGTCTCAAAGGCCTTCTGTTGGTCAGATCCCCAGGTCCAGGCGACGTCCTTCTGGGTGAGAGCAACCAACGGTTGCGCTTTGTCCGAGAAGCCTTTGATAAACCGGCGGTAAAAGTTTCCAAATCCAACGAAGGCGCGTACTTGCCTGAGGTTGGACGGCACCGGCCAATCTGCAATGCCAGCTAGTTTGACGGGGTCCATTGCAATTTTTCCTGGGCGGATGATCATGCCGAGGAATTCGACTTCGGTGACATTGAAGGCACATTTTTCTGGTTTGAGGTAGAGGTCGTGTTGTCGAAGTCGTTCGATAACACGTCGTGTTCGTTCTTCGTGTTCTGCCTTGTCCTGGGAAAAGATCAGGATGTCGTCCATGTAAATGCAGAGCCAGCCTTCTTGAAGCATGTCTGCAAATATTGTGTTCATCATCCGCTGGAATGTAGCGGGGGAATTACACAGCCCAAAGAACATCACCGTTGGTTCGTACAGCTGCGGCGGTTTGCCATCAGTTCCGGGTACGATGAACGCTGCCTTCCATTCGTCCCCTTTCTTGATTCGGACATTGTTGTATCCGGCGCGGAGGTCCATCTTCGTGAACACCTTGGTGTGCTTCAACTTGTCCAGGAGGTCTGATATAAGCGGGAGCGGGTATCGATCCTTGACTGTGTTCTCGTTGAGCAGCCGGTAGTCTTGACAGGGATGTAGTGAACTGTCCTTTTTACCAACAAAGAAGAATGGACTCGCCAACGGGGATTTCGAAGGGCGAATGTACCCTTTACTCAGGTTCTCCTCGAGGAACTTGTCAAGTTCCTTTCATTGCTGCGGGTTAAGCGGATAGACCTGTTGCTTCATGTCCGCGAAGCCCTCCTTGAGGTTGATTTCGTGGTCATATTCGGTGTGGTCTGGAAGTCGCGCAGCAGTGGCTTTGTCGAAGACGGGGAGGAGATTGTGTAGGTAGGATGGTACCATCTGTGGTAGCGTTTTTTCTGTCTTGCCTTGGGCGTTCGAGGCTGCGAGTTCGGTGGAAGTGGTGACGCGCCTAATGTCGTGGTGGATCTTCCAGATCATGCCATTGTGAAGTCATTTGTAGCCAGATAAAGGTTCAGGGAGTCGCTCCTTGAACGGAACGTCCCTTACTGCTAGGGGTTCCTGTTTCTCGTACTTGGTGATCATCGGCGCTCCAGATAAGTAGGAAATGATGAACTCATCATCATCGATGTCCTCCGCTTGTTCCTCGATGGACGCAATACCCGTTGACCCAAACCCATCCTCCCCGCGCTCAGTTTCGTCGATGCAGTCGGTTAGAGTTACTGGTGGAGTGCTTATCCTTTCAAGGATGAGCTGGGCAACTCGGTCGCCAGCTTTGACGGTGAATGGGAGGTCAGAGTTATTGACCAGCAGGACTGAGACCTTGCCTCAGTAATCGGAGTCGATTACTCCTGCAGCGACATCGATTTCCTTTAGCGCTAGACCGGACCGAGGTGCAATTCTTCCGTAGTGTCCCTTGGGAATAGCCATGATAAGGTCGGTGCCGACCAGGCCTTGTCGTCGGGCGGGGATGATGAGGTGGTGCGCAGCAGAGATATCATATCCTGCTGCGCCACTAGTTTTCTGTTCAGGAAGGGTTGCGTGCTCTGAGGTGGGGATGATGACGAATTCGTCCTCTGTTGGTTCTGGGAGTGGGGTAGTTACGGCCTTCTTTAGTTCTAGCCGAGCCACTCGCCTTTGGTACAGGTCCATCTTCCAGGCCCTGGTCTCGTCTTTTGTCCACCGGTGGTTCAACTCCACTCGTCCGGTTTTCCAGTCTATCTTGGGGTTTTCGAGTTTGAGCCAAGTGTGGCCGAAGATGATGTCTTCCTTGCCGATGCTGGCGACGTAGGCTTTGACAAATCGGGGTTCTCCACTTATCTTGTAAGATAAGAGAGCTCTTCGCGTAATGAGTGCTTCTTTGTTCGGGGTTCCATCCACGTTGAAGACGGGGATGGGTCGGGGAAGGGGTTCTGTCCGAAGTCGATGTTCTCGGATGAATCTTGGGCTGATGAAGATTCCTGTTGCGCTGCTATCGATGAAGGCGCGCGCCTCGACGTCTTTTCGTCCCACAGTAATCGGAATGTGCAGAGCGCGTTCATTTCGGACTACTAGAATTACACGGGACAGTGAAACGGATATGGGCAGTGGTTGCGTCGGCTCACCCTGCCCCTTCAAAAATCCTCCATCGTAAGTTCTTTGTACAGCTCCCGCTTCTCGTCAGTGGAGAGTGCCTTGATTCTGGCACGGAAGTCGTCCTTCCCAGATCCTCCCTGGTTCGGCCTCCCACCCCCTTGTCGTGCGGCCGCTTTCTTGCGGCAATCCTTGGTGCTGTGGCCCTTGATGTGGCAGTAGAAGCACAGGTTTCCGTCCCTGTGGAGCTTCCGGTCGGCCTCATTGAGAACGGCTCCTAGTTCCCACTTCCTTCCTCCCGATGTGGAGGCAAAGGTTGCCGCGACTGCAGCGGCATCAATATCTATTGGCTCACCGTAGTCCCTGGTGTCTGTGACGGTGAGGGCCCCTTGTTCGGCAGCGTCAGCGTTTCGGACTTCGTCGTACCAGGCTTTCATGGTGTTGGGTCGGTCTCTAGCGACCCTAGTTGTGAGAGAGACATAGAGCTCCTTCGGAAGTCCCTTGACGAAGTTGGCGTGGAGAGTGTGGTAGTCGTTCTCGGTGCAGTTGACGCCATTGACTTTGGCGTCCTTGAGCTGGGCTTTCGACGCTAGCTGCTCAAAGCGGGTGACGTAGTTTCCAAGGGAGAGCACCGTCTTCCTATCCTTCTGTCGCCTTGATTCGCGTTCCGTGCTCAGGAAATGCTTCCTCAAGGGTGGTGGCGAAGGCTGCCCAATCGGGATAGACCTGGACTCCCCCTGCCGACTTCTCGTAGTATGCGTCTGCCCATGTCTTCCCTAGGTCCTTCCTCATCAACACTACAGTGAAGGCGATCTTTGCTTCATCGCTAAGTCTGGTGTTGTTGGTGGCGACGAAGTAGGAAAGGACACATTGAAGGAAGCGTCTAAGATCCTCTGCCTTTCCGCTGAAGGGTTCCGGAGCGGGGATGTCGAGGCGGAGGGGTCGATTGGCAGTTGATTGTTGAAGTCAGTACGTATCGAGAGCAGCCGCGATGCGCTGATCGATGTCTGCTTGAGTGAACATCGTCATCGGGGGTTCAACTGGTGCGTTGGTTGGTGCGGATGAAGCAGGTGGTGGTTCGGTGTCTGGAGCCTCGATGGGAACGTACTGAACGTCCGGGAGTTCGAACAGTTGTTTGTTAACAGGTGACTGTAGGTTCTCTGTTGTTTGTGCTGGTTTGACGTTGATTCGTAGGATGGCGAATACGTCTTCTGGGTGAGCGGGAGGGTGTCTCTGGTAATAGCTGACAAGCTGTTGATGGGCGACGATCTGCGGGTTGGAACCTTCTGCGCGAACCCAGGAGCCGCCTCGAGGATAGATGGGAGTCCTTCTTGTGGTGGTGACGAAGCAACGGTCTGCTCAGTCATACTGGAGAAGGGGAGATCCTGCGAGGGCTGGTAGTCCCAAGGGAACCGGGTTTACTGCGTTGTTCGACGTGATGGTGGATGAGTTGTTCGACTAGGTGAAACTAGGAACGTAGCTTAGAAAGTTCGACCTTTTGATACAACGGTCTATACTCCTATATCGATGCCTGACTCGTAGACGACGAGCGAGGGCTTTTGGACGGTGCGTCGTCCTGAAGATCAAGCGAGGAAGTCGAGAATGACCACTACTCCAAGTGAAGAGGAGCAGAGACTTGAATGAATAACCAGGTTGAACTTAGGGTTCGACTGACTAGTGGTACAACTACTTATACAAGTACCGACTGCGCACAGACCATCGTGTCTATGTGGTCGTGTTAGTGAAGAAAGAAACGTAGTGGTACGATGCTGAGTACGAAGTGCGCACGGACCCCATTATGTAAGCTACATATTGTGCAACCTGCGGGTGGGTGCTAAGACAGGTGCCAGTATGGGCGCTAGTAGTACAAGGAATAGAACGGAAAGACAAATGTTTCACTCGATGGACAGGGATCAATGGTGGATAAGGTTACAAACCGATGGGGCTACCTACGGCACGCGACACCTACATAAGTCCTATTCCCACACTGGCGCACGACCACGTGACCCGGACCGGCAGCGACGCTTGCCCGACATACCCAAAAGTCAACAGTAGGTCGACAGGGATGCATAGATAATGAGAAGTATCTTTTGCGGGTTAGAGTGTGCAGAGGACTAGATAAAAAGTGTAACGACTGTCTTAGTCTCGCTCTCGTGAATGCAAAAAGACTGAGGTGGGTCATCTGCGTGATTTGATATATAAGGCTAACAATTATTGATCTTTCAGGTACAGTAATGTGTGGCGCATGCATCGCACAATCGTCAGGCTGCCACACCCGACACCTGGCGTGTTCCGCCTCCTGATGAACCCGACTCCCATATTTCAACATGCCCACTTAGCAGGTGGCAGATGTAACAAGACCCATCCCCTCCGCGAAGCATTCATGCTTCTCACGAGCCAATGCCTTCATCAAGATGTCGGCAACTTGGTCTCCCGTGGGCACATACTCAGCACGACATTCTTCGCTGTTGATCTGCTCATGAATGAAATGGTGCTGTACCGCGATATGCTTTGTACACTCATGAAATGTCACATGCTTCGCAAGAGCCATTGCAGGCTGGTTGTCAACAAGGATAAGAGTGGCGAGGGAGGGAAGTAGCCTTAGTTTGGATAGCAGTAGTCGTAACCATATGGCCTCCTTCGATGCACTACACATGCCCATATACTTGGCTTCTGTGCTTGACAGTCACCAGTACCTGGTAGCTCCATACATTATCTAGGCTGACTAGCCTTTCCTTCATAATACAAAATCAGGCTAGTTAGCCTATGCTATGCTGCCAGTGCGTCATACATTATACATAACATGTTTCTCATCTGGGTGTATATAACATGTTCCTAATCTGGGTATCATACATAATCATACATGACAGGTTTTGTCACGAGTTGACACGGCGCCTAGCCATCTTGTTAATTTTTTCCTTTTCGTGGGCTCGAACCCGCGACCTCTGTACTATATGCCTGAAACGGACATTTCCTTATCTACTGTATGATCAGATTAGATGGGCGGCAGTGCGCAGCACAGCTTGGGCCCCGCTGACACAGTCGCTCTGACTCACCGGCCCCTGGGGCTGCATCAGCATGCTGTGCACGGACCAGCTGCGCATGGACCAGTGCGCACAGCCTCCCCTAAACTTCCCCTGTATATAAGCCGGCCTCTGCTGCCCTAGGGACCTCAGTTTCGACCTCTTGTCCCTAGGTCAGTAAGCATCCCTTGTATTCCTTTTCTTACTTCACTAATATATTATTATCTTGTCCCTAGCCTTAGGTTTGAGCGCTGCTCACCATCGCTTCAGTGAGACCCAGTCGAACACCCCCAGCTTTTAGGTTTTCCCCTGTCGCTTGACCTCAAGTCGCGACAGCGACCTCTGTACTATACGCTCTGTGCTTGAACGGACAAGCCTCGCCGGCACA